GGAAAAAAAAAAACAACACCCCAGAAAATAATTCTGCTGCCTACAAAAGGGAGCGCATGCAGAGTGAGAGCCCTGCCTGAGCTCCAGGCTTGCTCTGTGCTGCCCACAGAGCCTGGAGTCGCCACTGGTTCGTCCCCAACGAGCCAGGCTGAACGGACATGCCCCTGACCCACCAGAAGCGTGTTCCCTCGCCTCCCAGCCTCACAAGCCACACCCACGTTTGCCTGTACGTCTCTGCCATCTGACAGGCTAGTTGAGCCCTTGTGTAATCTTTGCGTGTGTATCGACAGACCAGAAACTCAGTAGGTATTCATAAGCTGGGTGAAGCCATACTAACAGTGTTCTGGGCCTGATGTTTGTAAAAACCCAGGGGAGGCAGAGCAGCCAGAGACGCAGCTGGGGCAGAGCTGGGCCCTAGACGTGACCCCGATTCTTGGAGGAGATGGATACCTGCATGCTGGTGGGGAAACCAGAATGATTTTATTTGTTATTTGGTGTTTGTTCAGTGAAGTCTGGCTTAAAAGAGCCGTTGCATGCCCCAAGGCTGCTGTCTGTAACCTTGCTTTGTAAAGGGCCTGGTAAATACCAGTAGTTGTTGCTCTGTGGGCCCTATGTGGCCTCTTGCAGTTTCCCCAGGCTGGCTGTGTGTAACTGGCCCGCCCTGCTGGAAGGGAGAATTGGGCCTGAAGGAAGTCCATCTGTGCACTCCTAGGTGGAGCCTCATGATGAACAAGTGTCAGGCCCCCTCCCCCACAGGGGCTGTTTCCATAGCGATGGTGACTCAGTTGCATTGCCTGTTAGCACCCCAAATTTCTGTAGGAATGCAGAATCCAGTCCCGATGTGTGGTGAGATGCTGCTTTGATAATAAACCATGTAATTCCATGGCTGTGGGCTATTAACATTGGGTATGTTTGATTTTAGAACCCGTTGGCATTTGTGAAATCTGGCTGTGGTCCCTCAGTCTGTGTGGAAAGACTGAGGCCTCGAATGGCCAGCAGTGTTCTTAAGTGGATAACTTGGTTAGAAAGTAGGAAGAGGGCCTTCCAAAAAGTAGCCTGTGGGCTCAGAGCAGGTGCTAGTCCAGCGCGCCCCTGCCTTGGCTTCACTGAGGGGCTTTTTCAAAAGGAGTAGAAAGCATATTCCCTAAACGTAGTAGGTGCTTACTTAGCATTTGCTGAGGGGTTGAGTTTGTTTAGAGGATGTAATTCAAGCAACAGTTGTTGACTGATTAACATTTCTTAGCTCCCACTGGCTCAGATTTTTTCCTTATTTTTTTCCAGGATCCCAAGAGTGGGGGTGCGGTCAGGTCTGGTTCCCTAGTGCTTTTTGGGGGTGAGTGTGGGGACTGGTTAGTTCTGAGTGGCGTGGTGTTACCAGGAGACCCACTGAGTGCTCAGTGTCCACTCTGACTGATGTGCACTCTGACCTCTGCCCCTGGGCCCAGACAGTGCAGAATCAGGGAGATCTGTTTGTATCAGTGAACTGGTGGAAATTTGGACTAAGGAATGCTTCTTAAGATTTACTTTTTATTGAGGTAACACTGGTTTATAACATTGTATGTTTTATCTGTACAACTTTGTGTTTCTATTTCTTGTGCCCCAGAGCATGCTGACCACAAAAAATTGAGTTTCCATCCCTCATCATACAGATGTTCCTCTTTGCCATTCTTTCCACTCCTTGTCCCTCCCTTTCTGCTCACCACTGTTCTCTGTATCTATGTGTTTTTGTTTGCTTTGGTTTCTTCATTTATTTTTTTGTTTGTTGGTTTGATTTTTATATTCTACCTGTGAGTTGAAATCATACAATATTTGTCTTTCTACATCTGATGTATTTCACTTAGCATAATACCCTAAAGGATCATCCTTGTTGTCACAAATGGCAAAGTTTTGTCTTTTTAAATGGCTGGGTAGTATTTCATTGTGTTTATGTATCACAACTTCTTTATTCATTCGTCTTTTTGGCTATTGTAAATAATGCTGTGATGAACATTGGGGTACATACATCTTTTCAAATTAGTATTTTCGTATTCTTTGCATCAATTCCCATAAGTGGGATTGTCAGATTATGTAATGGTTCAAGTCTTAATTTTTTTGATTGCCCAGAATGTCTGATGAATAATTTTTATTTCACTTGTCTTTGTTGGTTTGGTTTTTAGTTCAGTAAGGAATAGTGTATCTGGATTTAAATGGATGATGCTGCATCTGTAGTCCTGCAGGTCTGGCTGGAAGCCTGCACCCCTCTGCTCTTAGTCTCCTTCCAGCTTTAAGGAGCCTTACTCCAGCCTGTGCTCCTGTTAACCACCCAGACTCTGACCCTCCTGCCTCCCTCTCTTGTGATTACATTAAGCCCACCTGGATAATCCAGGATAATCTGTCCATTTCAGGATCCTCAATTTAATCACACCTGCAAAGTCCCTGTTGCCTGGGAAGGTAACATACTCACGGGTTCTGGGAATTAGGGCATCCGCAAGTCTGTTACTCAGCAGGCCTCGGGAGTTTGTGGAGAGTGCTCAGAGTCCTCTTGGAGTAGTCTCCTACTAATGAATAAGAAACTCCACCCCTCTGCCTGGGCCTCTCCCACTTTGTGTGGGTGGGGTGCGCCTGCTTGGATCCCTGCTGGAGCTGTAGGGCCTCCTCAGGGGTGCCCATCTATTTCCCATGTTCAGGTCGTTTCCTTTTAGATCTAGAGTCAGCAGATTTTGCCAACCACATGTCCTGTTGCATATTCTTTGTTTTTTAAAAACAAGTGTGAAAATGTTGGGCGGGGGGGATAATCTTTACCTTGAGGACCTTACATAATAAGCCATTGACTGTGGCCTGACTAGTATTTTGCCAACCCATGGTTTGACTGAACCCTGCAGGCTGGGGCTGCCTATGGCTGTCACCTTGGGGACAGTTCTCAAGGGCTCTTGTTAATAGTGCGATGTGAGCGCGCATGTGAGTGTATTGGGAGGGGTTCATGTTCCTACCCTAGTGAACTTTTCTATTGTTTCTTCTATCTGACAGAAACATCTGAAAATTAGATCTCATCTAGTCTTAATGGAGAATTTCAGGTGGTTTTCCGTTTGAAAGCCTATGATTACTGGTCGTTCTGACACTGGACAGGATCCAGTCTCTTTCCTGCAAGGCCTTGCAGCCCAGTGTTGGGAAGCAGCCTGGGGAGGTTATTACCAGTTCTGACTGTGGCAGAAACTCCCTGTGTGCAGCTTTGGGGGCGGGAATTTAAAGATAGAAGGTGTGTCTGTAGCCCCCTGGCATGTGGGCAGGCACCGGGGAGGGAGCTGGCGTGGATCGCTCTGATGGGTCATCTTGGTGAGCACTTGAGGTTATCGCTGCTCCTTTGCGGAGCCCGCTGGCCACTGCTGTGCTGTTGGCATCCTGGGGCCTAAGCGCTGTGCTGCATGGGGGCCTCTTCTTGGCTGGCTGTGGCTGCCTAAACCGGGATCTGAGTGAGGAAGGGAGTTAAGTACCCATCCTGGGTGGCTCAGTGGTAAAGAACCCACCGTCTGCTAATGCAGGGTATGCAGGTTCCATCCCCAGGTTGGGAAGATCCTCTGGAGGAGGAAACGGCAACCCACTCCAGTATTCTTGCCTGGAGAATCCTATGGACAGAAGAGCCTGGCGGGCTGCAGTTCATAGGGTCCTAAGAGTCAGACATGACTTAGTAACTAAACCATACCACACTGCACCTGGGTGGCTGAAAGCCTGTTGGGAGGAGAGGGGCGCTTCCGTGGAGGAGGGTGACCACTGGGTAGGTGACCCCTGCACATCGTATGCAACTCAGGACGCTCACCCCTGGGTGTCCATGGAGGTGCTGGAGTGTTTCCAGATACAAATTGCGTGTTTATCTGTTCCTGCGCCCGAGACAGTGACTGGCAGGGCTTGAGTATCGCACTTCATGTGACACGAATGAAAGGACGGATGCTCTGGCCGAGGTGGCTTCAGAATAGGGCGAAATGACTGACCTTCCTGGAGCAGCTACGCCAGGTGCCTGTTATGAGTCATGGATGTTTTCACTTCCATTTTGTCATTGAAAACATCTTATCAGTAGGCCTAAGTTGATGCTTTAGCTTTTTTCCCATACATTAATTCCAGTGGGAAGTAACAGTCACTCGTACAAGTTTTTGTTCTCCCACGATCAAATTTAGAACCTAAAGCCAAGGGTGAGTGTAGAATGAAAGCACTGGAGCTGCTGGTCCTCAGTGCCTGGCACGTGACCTCACTGGGTGTTTAAATCGATGCATGCCAAAGCGAATGAGGAAGGTGCTTCTGGAGGAGCCGGCGGAAAGGTAGAAGGTGGCACTCGGGAGACGCTGCTTCCTTGGCTGACCTTTCAGGATTTTCTCCCAGTGGAGGGCAGACGTGGACAGTACTGCCCACATGGGCTCCTCTCCCCAAGGGCGCCTGCTCTCTCTCCTGTCTATGCCTCAGAGAGCCCTACTCTTGGTGCCTGAACAGGTGTTTCCCTCTGGGTGCTGCTTCTTTGGTTTGGAAAGCGCCCATACCAGCTACTTCAGGTGATTTCCTGGCTGTGCACTTCTCTCTTTTGCTCATCCTGGGAATGGACAGCTTTCCATGAGGAAGGCGTTATTTGTGACATTACACTGTTGTGCTACAAGGGGATGAGGCTTTGTTTTTCCACCTTGAGGAGCTATCCTTGATTCGGAGGGTCTGATGTATGAGGTTTACCTCTCATTGTGGCTGGTGAGTGAGAGAGTGTAGCTGATTTTCAGGCAGGGAGAGTTCCTATCATTGGAGGTGGGGTGGTGTCTACAAAATGCTCTTTAAATGTGAGAAAGGCTGCCTCTGCGTGGGAAGGGCATCTTTCTAGGGATAGAGTCCGAAGCTTTCTTCACATCTTCAAGGAGATCCATGATCCCTAAGGATTCAGTTCACTGGATCAGAGATTCTGGAGGATTAACACTTTTTTTTTTCCAATTCAAAGGCAGATCGGGAGCGGTGCCGAGAAAAATTTCCTTACTAGATGACATTTCATCGCAATGTCCGATCGTTTGGGGCAAATAACCAAGGGCAAGGATGGGAAAAGCAAGTATTCGACTCTCAGCCTGTTTGACAAGTATAAAGGAAAATCAGTAGATTCAATCAGATCCTCAGGTAAGAGCGGGTGGGAGCCCAGTACCCTATGCTTTCCCTTAGGCGAGACTTTCAGGTCTAGGACCAGGAAAACCTAGGGTCCCCTGTCTGGTCAGACAGATGTGGTCCACACAAGCCAGTCTTCTGGGCCCATGGGGTCACGCCCATAGTTCTTGGGGAGCCCATTATCCTCTACTTCTATGTGATGTCCTATTTCAGACCCTGGACTATCCTGACTGCTGTAGCAGGATTATTTCCTCATCTGTCTTGTCTTATTGAAGCGCTGGCTATTTTGAGCCCGATGGGTAGAATGGAATTTAATTTGCGCTAGAGTTACCCTTTTTAGCTTTTGTGGTTCTGCTATTCCGGAACTTGGTGGGAAAATTTCCTGTTGATTCTGTCCACACCCCCTGAGAATCTTCTGAATGTCGGGGGCCCTGCTCAGGCTTGGCTGAGGCCCCGCAGTCCTGCTGTCACGAGCCCAGAGCAGTCTCCCCTTGCAGAGAGCTGGTGATTGTGTGGGATGGAGGTTTTGGGGCCTGGTTTTCCACTGTGTCCTAAACTTAAACTCCCTGAGCCTACTGCCCACAAGTAACCGGAAGCCTCCGCAGTGGCTTCAGCAGCCTGTGTCTCTGAAGTCCTCGGTGAAGAGCTTGTAAAATGACTACAAGTGATGACCAAGCACTTTTGTGTATGTGTGTGTTTTTTTTTTTTTTTTTTTAATATTTTCATTTATTTATTTGGCTGCACTGGGTGTTAGTTGCCATATGCAGGATCTTTAGTTGCAGAATACGGGCTCTTAGTTGTAGCATGTGGGATCTAGTTCCCTGCCCAGAGATTGAACCCAGCCCCCTGCATTGGCACTGCAGAGTCTCAAGTCACTGGGCCACCAGGGAAGTTCCTTCTGTGTGTTTTCATGGCAGATCTGTCCCTTGTTTTTGTTTGGTTGCCGTTGTCATCATCACTTAGAGTTTAGGCGAGCAGCTGAGTGAACCCAGCGTCTCTGCTTCAGTGACTTCTGTGCAACATCTCTTTCCATCCCTCCCTCCGCAGTTATTCCTCGACATGGCTTACAAAGTCTCGGGAAAGTTGCCACGGCCCGGCGCATGCCACCGCCTGCAAACCTGCCAAGCCTGAAGTCTGAAAACAAAGGAAACGACCCCAACATCGTGATAGTACCCAAGGACGGAACAGGATGGGCAAACAAGCAGGACCAGCAAGACCCAAAGAGGTGAGAAGCGAGGGGTGGGTGGTAGGCAGGGCTGGAGGACGCCTCTCCTACCTCGACGCCTGCTGCTGAGTTGTTTCTCGCTTCCCGGCTCCTAGAGCCACAGAGGCAGGGCTTCTGTGAGCCACCTTGTCCCCAGTGATCAGTGTCCCTTGTGCCTTATTAAGAAAGCCCTCATCACTCCCAAAGGAGCTTAGGCAATGACTCGAGCCAGTTCCTGCATGAGCCACTGTGGACAGAGCCGAGTGCTTGATTCTGGTTGGGGTCCCTGGGTGCTGGGCCCCAGGTGGAGGAGGAGCCTTCCAGGTTGTGGGACTGCAGCGCCCCACACAGGCGGCTGCCCTGCTCCCCACCACCCGGTCACTGAAGAGAGCCACCCCGGGCCCAGGCACTCTGGGTCAGTGCGCAGCTGCCCTGTATCAGGGAAAGGCAGGGCCTCACTGAGGCCGGCAGGCAGAACCCGGCTGCTGGGGTTTGCTTGTCAGGCAGTGGAAACGGAGCAGTCTGGCCTCGTCCACCTTTGTGCCCTGTGTCCCTGAAGTCCGGCTGCTGATACCCTGGGCCCAGAAAGTAAAGGTGGCCCAGATCACAGCCTGTCAACAAGGGTCCTTTTCTCTAATTGAAAATGGCCCAAAGCTTCCTGTAGTTACTTCAGACAAGATGTAGAGAGTGAACAGATTATTCAGCCAGGTAGTCAATCAGTAATAACCAAATATTGTAAACATTTCCTAACAGTCTGTATAGGGATCGTCCTGATTCATGGTATAGTGTGACTTGTAGAATCAGACACTGCTCTGTGATTTCTAGCCAGGCTGTTAATTAGCTTTGTGGATACTGGGGAGCCATTTGACTTCTGAGCATCGGTGTCCTCCTGTGAGGTACAAATAACCCCTGGCTCCAGGAGAGGGATGAGAGGACACGGGTCACATGCTTGGCACAGGGCCTGGTGGTTGGCAGATGTCAGTGTTACTGTCATCATTCCTGTCAATCATAGACACTGCAGCCTCTAATGAAACGGCTGCTTCACGTTTCAGTGTAAGCAATGAAATGCTTCTGCTACTGCTAGCTCTAGAGAGAGAGGACAAAACCTCACTCCTTGCTTTTATCCGGTCTTAATGCTCCGTTGGCGCAGCAGCAGGCAGCCTGAACGGGGCCGGCGTGCTGAAGTATGTTTGCCAGTGAGAAGTGAGGAGCGGTGGTAGCGGCAGCCGGCGCCGCGTCTCTGCTGCCCTCTTCCTGGCCGTCAGGGAGGTGGCCGAGTGGGGGGCAGGGCACACCTGCTGGGACTCAGTGTTGGGAGTGCACAGAAAAGTTCATGTGGTTTTATCTGTCATGGAAGAGAATCTGGAGATTGGCACATTCTAGGCCATCCCCCTGTGTCGTTAGAAGAAAGCAGTGGATCCACGTGTGTTGGCCAAGTTACTGAGGTGTATGTGTGGTGTTAGCCTACTTGTGTTAAAAAGCACTATGCTAACGTGTGTAGAAAAATGTGTTAGAGTTTCTCTCTGGAGGATGAGATGGTGACACATTCTGCATTGTATGTATTTATTTTTACCTTGAGCATATATTTTTTCATAAACCAATAGGTTAAAAAAAAAATCTGTTTCAGAGTGGTCTGCCCCTGAGGAGCTGTGAACCCTTGGTCAGGAGTGAGAGGCGGGGGTCCTCCACCCACTGCTGTAGCTGCCCTTGTGGCAGATCCTTGTCTCTTTGTTGTTCACAGCGGGCTTTCAGTCTTTGCAGGCAGAAGGTTCTGCAGGAAGGCAGAGGACTGGCCGTCCTGTCAGGGGTCGGTGAGCAGACCTCACATGCTGTCCAGTTTCTCATTCTCTTAGCCAGCCTAGGAGTCTGTCGGGGGCGGGGGGGGGGGGGCGTATTTTTATCCGCCATCGGAATGTGGAGGGACCCTGAGGCCATGGCCTGTCTGATCCTCACGTGTGTCCTGCCTTTGTCCAGTTCCAGTGTGACGGCCTCTCAGCCGCCGGAGTCGCTGCCGCAGCCGGGTTTGCAGAAATCTGTCTCCAATTTGCAGAAGCCGACACAGTCGATCAGTCAGGAGGTAGGTGCTGGGGACCCTGTCGCCAAGAAGGGTGGCTCCATGTGACCTGCCCATTCCAGAGGCCAACCTGAAGAGTGACTTTCAAGAAAGACCCCAGATTCGGGATAGAATGTAGATGCCTAGTTGGATTCCTGTTGGCTTAGCTCGAGGTGGGCAGCTGCATGCTAGATCGGGGCCCCCCAGTGTCTCCCCGGAAGCAAGAGCCATAAGGAGACAGCAAGCGTTAGGCCACAGAAGGTTCAACAGGCTGGTGAGTTTGGAAAACAAAACAAAGCAGGCGCCTTTGCTGGGTTCCTTAGTGTCAGACTTTCTGTCTGTGTTTCCAGTGTGCTGATGTGTCCTGGGTCTCCAGGTGAAGGACATTGTGGACAGTAGGCCCCGAATTTACTTGTCCTTGGAAATGTCTTTTAGTAGACTGTCTCTGGGGACTAGTGTTTCTCAGAACACGCTTGTGGATTAATGAGCTATAATCCTTCATTTGTAGATGCATTTCAAACACTTCTTTAAACAGAAAGTCATGATTAATCAAGAGCTCATATTGTACTTGGTCCGTCAGCGTCTGTGGGTTACAGAGGCCAGCAGCTGGTAGCTGGAAATCTGGACAGATACCTGGCACTCGCTGGCTCTCTTGAAAAGAACCACTCTGTGGGGAACGTTCACAGCTTTGCCAGAGGGACACCCTCCTCCAGCTAACACTGAACTGTGCTTTTAAATCAAAGGAGAAGAAGGAAAAAAAAAAAATCCACATTCATGTGAGACTCCATGTTCACCAGCCTACCTAAGTCCACTGAGCCCTGTTGAACAGTGGGTAGCGTGGAGTTCGTGTCTCTTTCGCAGATTTGAGACCAAGTGTGGTTAAGGGACCTTGGTTGTTTCTGCAGCCCTGGTTCTATGTCAGAGCTGGCTCTGTGAGCCTGTTGGAGATGAGCTTGCTGTGTCCCTGCCGCGCAGGGCCTGGGCTCCCCTGGAGAACGGGTGCTGTGGGACTGTCGGGGTCGGGCCAGGACCTGTCCTGGAGCCAGCCCGCGGCCCATGTCTGGCGCTTCCTGGCTTTCCTCTCCTGCAGAGATGGTGAGGGGAAGAGACCCCCAGTGTTTTCTGACTTTGAAACCTCATCTCAGAGGCAGTTTGACTCTGGGCACGCGATTTGCTGCAGCGTTAGTAACCCTTCCTTGGCTGGCCCCATAGGCCTTCTCTTCCAGTTTGGTGCCCTTGGCGGGCGAGGGCCCGGGGCCCTGTGATTGCAGACCCCAAGGGGGCAGCTGTGGCATAGCGGTGACCCGGGGCCTCTGTCTCCTGATCTGGAGGCCCACCCCCCACCCCAGCTGTCCAGACCCCCCAGGGCCTGTGGGCATTCCAGGCCACTTGGGGAAAGTCTGTGATAAATGGGTTGCTGGACCTGGTGAGCTCTGCCTTGGAGGCTGGAGAGACCGCCGTCTGCCCTGAGCGTGTGTGGAGGTGGCAGCAGGGGAGGACAGGAGGAGGGAATCATTTGATCTGGGATCCAGTCCAGTGGGTGATGAGATGTCACGCTGCGTCAACTCGGTTTTGTGTATCTGTACCTTTGGTTGTTAAGGCATGTTGCTGGGAGAGGCAGCTGGCTCTCTGTGATTGGGGCCCTGACGGGGCTTTGGACCCTGGCAGGGTGGGAACAAGGCCTGGTCCTCCCTCCCTAGCTGGGTGTCTAACCCAGGTGACGCCGGTGTGCCTGGCACCTGGCCTGCATGTAGGGAGCTTTCAGCAAAGGTGCACTGAGCCGGCGAGCCCAGATGCGGGGGCGCGGAAGGCTGGGCTTGGGGAATCGGGCCTTGGAGGATGACAGTAGCCGTGGGAAGTGGTGTTGGGCTGGCCAGCGACGCAGCTCGCTGTGTCGACACAGGCACGTCAGCTTACCCATGCGTGTGTTCTTTTAGCAGCGGCACAGTTTTTAAGGCACGCACTGGAGTTGGGGGTTGGTCTTGTCCCTGGAGCAACACACAGGAGCTCTGTGTGGGCACGTGTTCTGGGGTGCAGCTCCGGCTCTGCTCTGGGACCCTGGGCTGGCCGCTTGCCCTCTGGCCTGCTCTGCATTTGTCATGTGGCCAGTGCTTCCTGAGCCCGGGCTGCTTCCTGAGTGGAAGGCTGTGTGGCAAGCACGTGTGCTTGGGTGTGCCCGGGTAGTGGTAGTGGGTGCCGTGATGTAGCCTCAGCGCAGCTTGCTGTGACGTGGTCGGGACGTGGACAGCAGCCCTCTGGGCTGGCCCTGTTCTCATTCTCTTTCTTCTTTCAGAATACAAATTCAGCTCCAGGTGGACCAAAGTCATGGGCACAGCTGAATGGAAAGCCAGCAGGACACGAAGGTGGTAAGTGTGCGTGTGGTGTCGTGCTGGGTCTTGGGAGGGACGAGTACCTTTTCTGGACTGTCCCAGTTCAATCCAGGCAGTCTTTAGCCTGAAGCTTTGTGGACTCTCCTCACCAAACGAGGTACTGCCTTTGTGTGGAGGCACTGATTCTGCAGACCATGTCAACTCTCTGGTTTCACTGAACATTATCACTGAAGACAATCCCCCAGCTATGCGAAGGAGACCCCAGTGCTGGCCCTGCACACCCCGGTTGGCTAAGCTAATGGAACAAGTCCTTGCTCAGCAAGCACCTGCCTCCTCCCTCGTGGGGCGAGGTGTCGTGTGCGGGTGCACTGGCTTGCGGCCTGGGTTTGTAAATCAGCAGGCCTGGGAGCTGAGCTGCTTGCTTTTGGATGGTGGCACCAGAGCTGGCAGAGGTTATATGGGGTTTGTTTGCCATGGTGTCCCTCCTGACACAGGGAGACACACTCAGATGACTGTGACGGTTCAGCCCAGGGACGGTGGAGGGTGCGTGGGAGGAGGAAGTGTCTAGAGCCTTAGGTCAGTGCCGAGAGGCGCGCTGAGATGGCTCCAAGGCAGGCCGGGGTACAGTGGTTGTGTGGTGGTGCCGGGGAACCTGGCTCCCTTGGGTCTGTGGGCCCAGGGTCAGCAGGTGTTTTTGCAGGGAGCCAAACATCTGGATTTCTCTCTGGACTCTCCTGGTTTTCTAGTGTTGGGGGCATGATTCTAGCATGATGCGGAGACAGCGCCAGGCAGCTCCCCGAGCTGGAAAGAGAGGGACGGAGGTGTGAGCGGCTCGACCACAGCTGCCCTTCCCTCTGCGACCAGCACAGGCCAGCGTCTTTGCCCTCAGCCCTGTCCTGGCATTGCCGCTGTCTTCTGCGCGTCCCTCCCGCAGAGGCCTTGCCAGGCCTCACGTGTCAGGGTCAAGAGTAGATACCAGCTCCGCACGCCAAGTGCCCTGCACAGCCGGCTGCTCTGATGCCCTGAGCACGGGCCCTTCTGGGTCGGGCTGCCCTGCGGGTGAAGGCTCGCACTGTCCTCCGTCTCCAGTGGGGGCGTCAGTCGGTGTGGCAGGGGACACGCAGCTCCAGCCGGGAGGGCGAGGTGGAGGGAGCCAGACAAGCAGAGAGGGGTGGGTGGGGGGTGTGACAGGGCCTTTCAGACCTAGACAAGGTTCTTCCAGAGCCTTTGTGGAGACTGTTCACTGGGCTGTTCACAGTGGGTCTTTGCTCTCTGTAGCCTCTTATTTCTGTGAGGTTGAAATATTTTTAAGTAAATTCAGTATATTTGTTTTTAATTAACAGGAACGGTAGAGGTTATTTGAATTAAAGTTGGCACAGCTCTTGTGGAGGGCAGCCTGGCACTGCCTATCAGTACCAGCCTGATAGCCTCTGACCTGGCAGTTCCACTATGGGGCAGTCACCCTGCAAGTGATACCTGTTACAGCTGAGTGACACAAGATGACTCACTGCCACGTTGTAATCGCAAAAGATTGGAAGCAGCCACTTGAAATGTCCATCAAATAATGGTACTTAAATGAAATGTTGTTTGGCTAGAAGGAAAAAAATGCAGTTTTCTAGTGATCTGGCAAGCTTTCCAAGACATACTCTTAAGTGAGAAAAGTGTAGAACAGTACATAGAGTATTTTGCCATTTGTGCAAAAAATTGGGACGAGAGAAAATATGTTTCTAGAAAATGTATGTGCATTAAAAAAAAAAAAATCTTTGGAGGGAAACATAAGAGGAAGGAAGGGAGGGAACGAAACAGAAAAGTGCATATTTTGTGAGGACATTTGGTGTAGATCAGGGCTTCCCTGGTGGCTCAGACAGTAAAGAATCTGCCTGGAAAGCTGGAGACCCCAGGTTCGATCCCTGGGTTGGGAAGATTCCCTGGAGAAGGAAATGGCTACACACTCCAGTATTCTTACCTGGAAAATCCCACGGACAGAGGAGCCAGGCAGGCTGTAGTCCATGGGGTCGCAAAGTCCCACACGACTGACCAACTAACACTTTCACTTTTCTTTGATGTGGATAGATGGGGCACCTGGGTGGGAGGAGGGCTTCTGTTGATTCTTCTTTAAGGCTTTTTACCTTTGAACCTTTTGATCTACTTATGGAAATAAAACTTGGTTTAGAAAATAATTCTAAAACACAGTAAAATATCCTGTCAACATGCGGTAGCTTGTCTGGGAGGCGGCAGAACCCAGTAGCCCAAGAGAAAAGAACAGATGTGTGCTGTGTGCTGTGACCCCTCCTGCACGGGGGTTATAGCCTGTGAGGCTTCCAGGGCTGTGCATAGACATTTTCACGACTTTAGAACTGTTGAGGTTCTTCCTGAGTTGACAGACTCTGCGTGTGGAAGGTGGTCCCTGGCCTGTTTCACCTGGACCAGGCCCAGGCCTGGCTGTGTGGTTCAGGCAGAGTCTGGAGGTGTGTGACCCGCAGGCTCTGCTGTCTGAACCACCAGCAGCTCCCTCTGGGGCCTTGCAAAAAGCCTCTGATTGTGCTGCCTCCGTTCCTCCTGGCAGAGAACAGAGGGCAGGAGGGAATGCTGGGTGAGCATTACAGGGCATCGAAACCTTAGGAATACAACTTTGCTGTGAATGTTTGAGTTCTTCACTTTGTCCTGTTTATCTGTGGAGGGTAAGTTTTATTCATGATTAGAATATCACCTTCATGATTATCAAGACGGGAAAAAAGTATTAGGCTTTTGTTGTTTTTTTGGTTATTACTTTAACTTCAAACTGTCTACTTTTTTTGTGTGTGCGCCCACACAACATGTGAGATCATTCCTTGACTAGGGATGGAACCTGTAGTCCCCTGCAGCGGTAACTCGGAGTCTTAACTCCTGGACTACCAGGGAAGACCGTCTATTCATACTTTTAAAGTATTGACTTCATATTTCACTCCTGCCAATGACCTTTTGATACAATGAGGCAACTGTGAGGGCAGTGGTGCTCCTTTGTGACACCTGGCGATTATCTCTCAAGTGAATCATTGGTTAGTAACGTGTCTGTTACCCCCCCTGGTGGGTTCATTTAATCCCCCTGGACCTTTTTACTAAGGGGGTTGGTGAACGGATGGCCACCTTGAGCTTCTGCACTAACCCTGCTGCCTCTTTCTGACAAAGCCTGCTGTCGTCAGCAGGTCTTCTGATCAGTAATACCTAGGGACAGACTTGGGTGTATTGCCTGGGAGTCAAGGTGAGTCACAGTTGGATATTTTACTGTGTGACATTGCTGTTGCTAAGTTTGTGTGGTGCTGCACATGCGCTGTGTTCACTGAAGGGACCAGATCCCACTCCAAGCCCTAAAATGCATCACTTGTCAGTACCCGTTCATCGAAGAGATGATGGCAGGGTCCCAGTGCTCTTTGCTCTGAGTGATAGGAGTGATGCTCAGGAAAGGCTGCTTCTCTGCAGGGGTTGATAGTGTAGGGGGCTGAGTGAGAGAACAAGGAAAGAAGTTGTTCCCGGGATTATAAGGGTTAGAGTGTTTGGCCTTGCAGGGCTTGAGGAGCTTTGTAGGAAATGGTTTAATGGAGTGGACAGACAGTCCAGGAGGCAGTGTGAGCTGTGAGGTGTTGGGGAGGGGCATTACGTCCACCCAAAAGCCACTGACCTCACTGACAGGTTTCCCCAAAGACCATGCTTGTCTCCGCCCGCCCAGGAACACCGCGGAAAGGACGGTACTGCCTTCCTCCAGGGGTGGGAAGGGAGGCTCAGACCGCAGTAGCTGCCGTACCCGACCCCTGCCGTCTGTGACCAGCTCTGGCAGCGGGCCTGCTGCGGTCTGTGGGCAGCCTCCCATCGTCACCCTCAGGAAACCCTGGTGCTACTCTGTGGGCACCAAAGGCCAGCCCAGATGGCACCGTGGGAAGCAGCACCCTTTAGGGTGGTGGGGCTACCAGTGTGCTCCAAGGCTGAAGCAGAGAACCATGGATGCCAGTCTCATCTGCCCCCTGAGTCTTTCCGATTCTCTTGACAGGTTTAAGGGCCTCAAGCCGACTGTTATCCTTCTCTCCCGAGGAATTTCCGACGCTGAAAGCAGCTGGAGGGCAGGACAAGGCTGGCAAAGAAAAGGGCGTCTTAGATCTGTCGTATGGGCCAGGACCAAGCCTCCGCCCTCAGAGTAAGTGAGCTGCAGCCCCCGTCTGGAAACAGCAGAGTTCCCCTTCAGCTTCTGCCCCTCTTAGACACAAGCCATCTTTCAAGCGGCCAGGCTCCCTGCCTGGAGAGCACGGCTGGCGATCCTGTACCTGGGTCCTTCTGTCTGTGGACTGGAAGGACTCACTCTCCGGGCTGGGCTGGAGGTCGCGCCTCCCTTCCTGTTCTTTGGGTCAGTCCAGACCTGTGCACCTTCCCAGCAGTCACTGGAGGCTATGCTGTGCCTGGGTGGTCATGGCAGGGACAGCTGGACCAAGGGCGAGTTAACTTGATTCCCAGTTCAAGAGCTTGTTTTCTAAGCAGTGGTTTCCAAAGTCCTGTCAGAATCACTTGGGTGTTCGTTAAGTCTGATTTCCAGCCCTCTCCAGCCCCCCAGCCAAATTAGAATCTGTTTTTTAACGTGTTTCCCTAGTTGAGTAGCCAGCCCAGCACTCATCTCCATGGGCCCTTATCTGGGGTCTGGCCAAGGGGTAAGCAGAGTTGTGTAGCAATTCTTACTGGTAATACTTTTTTTATCATGGCCTTGGGTGGTTAGAATTTAAGGTGTTGTTTGGAAATGGGATTTTCCATCAGCTCTAATCATGGATTCTGAAATAGACCTTGGGGTGGGGAGTTGATCAGGTCTTGAAATATGAGAGACTTTTTTTATCTGCTTGTTTTGATTAATCCCCAAGGTATCCCAGAGTCAGAACGGATATCCTATAAATGAAATGATCACCGTGCAGCTCTTTAATAAAACATACTGTCTTCTCAGTGGTCTATGCTGGGTTATTTTGTTTGTTCTAAATATATAATCAAATTCCTTAGGCCAGAAACATCAACTTTCTGGGATTAAGTAAGATGAACTGCTGTAGGACTGTAACAATATAGAACTAGAAGAAGCTTCTGGAATCAGTTCTGTTGCCTTGTTTGAGAAGATGAAGAAGCAGATGACCTCGGGTGACCAGGGCTTGGCCAAGGTCATGTAAAAGGTGGCTGAAGAGTTGGGAGCAGTGTGACTTTGTGGCTTCGATCCTGGGTTCCATTCTCTTAGGGGTCAAGTACTCGGGGACCTTTCATGTTTCAACTTCTCTAACTATAAGTTGAACGAACGAAAAGAGGAGTGTTTTTGGCTCATCTGATTTCTTGTTGGCCTATAATCCCACCAGGCTTTGCCACGTTGAACAGGAGAAAATGTCATCTTAAAATGATGGTCAGAGAGGATTGGCAGATTTCAGTCTGTGGCCTGCAGGAGGTCCCCCCAGGCCACTGTGGGAGCGGGTGGGATGAGGCCTGAGCAGGGGGACCCAGACTCTTCCAGCCCCTACTTGAGGGGGCCAGTAGCTGTTTTCTACATCACAGCTAGGGAGTCCCTGACTAGAGTTGGCACTGCTGAGCAGGGTTTGAACTTGGGTCAGGAATTCCAACATCAAGTCCAGTGCCAAGCCCGGTACCAGTCCCGATGGGACTGGGTTAGTGTTAGTGGAAACAGTGACCCAAGACTGCCCTTTCGGGGCCTATGGGTCTCTTCGGGGTGTTAGGTCTCAGGTTGTGCGGTCTCTTGAGTTGATGAAGGAAGACTTGTTGTTTACACTTGCCTTCCCTCTGAGCAGACCATGTTTTGTGTTTCTCTGACAGTCAGACACCCTCAGCAATTTCATACTCATTGGCTGGATGTCTGCCCCCCACCTTCCCTGACAGACTAGACCAGTCAACTCAATTCTTCACTTTTGGGTGGTTTTTTTTTTTTTTTTTTTAATTTTTGGTGAGTGAGGGGGATCCCTTGACCTTCAGAACCTCATAAATCCCTCCTCCCCCCTCCTCTTTCCTCTCCCCTTTTGCCCCCTTTCAATTTCCAGATGTGACAAGCTGGAGGGAGGGCGGTGGGCGAAACATAATTTCTGCCACGTCTCTGAGCGCCTCCCCAACTGAGCTGGGCAGCAGGAACTCGAGTGCGGGAGACGGAGCCCCCTCCTCGGCATGTACCAGCGATTCTAAGGACCCCTCTCTCCGCCCGGCTCAGCCTGTCCGAAAAGGGGCTTCACAGTTCTTGGGGAATGTATACCACCCACCTACATACCATGACATGCTTCCTGCTTTTGTAAGTCTTCAGAGTGTGCATTCTGTCCCCATAGTGTCAGATTGTTCATGTCCGGCAGAACCTACTTCACGTGGTTGAATGTCCACCGTGGGTGTCCCCCGCCATCCCACCCAGTCTCTTTGCCCTGGTACCTTACCTTGGAGGTTTCCATTACTTTTGCATTTTCACTCCCCCTTTTCAAGTTTTAAGGGCCTCTGGCTTCTTTCCCTGGTGATGTGGATGTTATCTTAACCTTAGTTCTTTTAGAAGAAGGAGAGGCAGGTATTCCCCAAGACACATGTCCCCAGATTTGTGTACTGATGGCAGGAAAAATGGGGGAGATGGTGATAGGATTAATTGGGAAACCCCAAGACTTTCCTATTTCTGTTTCCCATTTGCCAGAACAGATTCTAATGCCAGTGGAACTTAGACTCTGGGCCATTATTGGAAAACCCTATTTATTGATGTTATGTTTCAGATGTGTTCGCCACAGTCATCAGAGAACCAGGGTACAGTGGAACGAGGATCTTTTCCCCTTCCTCAGCTCCGTCTTGAACCCCGTGTTCCTTTTAGACAGTTCCAGATGAATGACCAAGACGGGTAAGGCCATTGCATTGTAGTCACGTATGTAGAAGTCACCCTGGTTGGTGATATTGGGACAGTACAGTGGGTTTACATAGGAAACTGCTTTGACTTCTGGAGACCTCAGAAGCTAGAAACCAGCCTCATAGCCCAGGGTGTGTGGGAGGGCTGGCCGCTGGGGCAGGATGAGAGGAGGGGTTGTGAGTTCAGGTTCTGGTAGCTGTTTATTGCTGTCACCATAGATTTAACACTGAGCATCTAAAACTGCAAAAAGAAGCAGAACTTCTCTTGAGGATGTATTTGTTGATTTTATGTTCTTTAAGGGGGGTGGATTATAATTATCAAGGGCAAGTGTGAACCTTTGCAGTGGGGGGACATAATTTTGGAGAAGTATTTGGGTTTGCTTCCATCTGTGTACTTGACACCAGCTCAGCGTCTTTACCCTTCTCTCTGTCATCAGAAAAGAAAATAGACTGGGAGTGAGCCGCCCAGTCCGTCCACTGAGGCCACTGGTGGAGCGGGTGCCACGACCCACCATCGTCAACGCAGAAAACCTGAAGGGCCTCGATGACCTGGACACCGATGCCGATGATGGATGGGCAGGTGGGTGGTGCATTTGCCAGTGGGCTCTCAGCTGACAGTTCAGCAGGCGGGGACCACACTCTTGTTTCTGCTTCTTGCCAAGGTTGGCAGTTCCCCTGACACAGAGTCTACAGGGAGCCCTGGGGGTAGGGAGCAGCAGACAGCCTTGGGCCCTGAGAGATCCTTGCTGGTACCCTTGCTAGCAGTTGCTTCCTCACACAGCCACGTTGTCTTTGTCTTGGTCGTTCGTCTTACTCTTGGAGGGAGAAAGATTTTTTTTTAATTTTCTTTTTTTTAGAAAGAATTTTTGTAACAAAAGAGTTAAACCAGGAGTGTGATGAGCCTCACAGTAGCGCTCTGTCACTGCATTTCAGCAAGTTCCTACATTATCATAATCACCCACACTCTCAATCTGATTATTTTCTTTTAAAATTCCTCTGGACGTTTGTTTCCAAGTAAAAGGTGCACATTTAGTTGTACGGGTTTGATAAACCCACGTGCTTGAGCAGCACAGCTACGTCAAGACACAGTACTCACTCCGTCCCTCCCTAGCCATTCTTCCTCCCGACTCTGCCCAAGGCCTCCCCCTTCTGATGAATCCTAACTGCAGATGGATGGAGTGGTGCAGCTTTCCTTCTGTAAGGTTTGCGAGATCCATCAGTGTTATTACATATGTTGGTGGTTGCTTTTAATTACTGCGGTATGTGTCATTGTATCAAATCCTGTAATTTGCCCGAAAGTTTATTATGGATGCTGTTCTCATTTCTCTTGAGTTAGTGTCCAGTAGTGGAGTCGTTGGTTAAAGGGGAGGTGTGTGATTAGGTTTGTCAGAAGCACCCAGGCCTCTGTGGTGGCTGGCTGGTGTGTACTCCAGCGGCAGTTCTGAGAATTTGGCTCTGCATCCTCACAGTGCTCTGATGTTAGTCTCTTTAATTTTAGCCATTCCAGTGGGTGTGTAGCGTTAGCTCATTGTGCTTTTAATTTGCATCTTGCTGATGAGTAATCATACACTCGTTTTCATGCCGATTTGGCTACTGGTATCTTTTTTTGAGTGTTCATATACACATTCTTGGAGACTTAAAAGTTTTTTCCCACTGCCTGCCTGATCCATTTTCTTAGCACTGCATTTTGATGAGCAGAAGTTTTAAATTTTGATGAAGTTTAACTTATAGATTTGTGTTTTTTACTTGTGTTTTTATTTGTGTTTTTACTATTGTGTCTTTTATAAAAATCTTTGTCCCTCCTGGTGGCAAAGATACTCCCTGATGTTTTATAATTTTAAGACTGATTTTTAGATGTGTGGTCCATGTATTAATTTGTATATGGTGTGAGATGGGAGTCGGGGTTCATTTTAATCCAACAGGATACCCAGTTGTTCTGACCATTTGTGACAAGACTTCTCTTTGCCTGTGGCATTGCTTTGACACCTTTGCCAACAATTGATTGATCACCTAAGTTTGGGTCTATTTCTGGACCCTGTTTGTTCTATTTATTCATCCTTATGCCAGTACCTTAGTAGTAAGTTAGTGTAAGTTTCCCAGCTTTGTTCATTTTTAAGATTATTTTACTCTTCTAAGTCTATTTTCATATAAATTTAGAATCTTTTTTTTTAAAATGATGTATGTAAGATTTGTAATGATATAGATATCACTCTTTTTCATCCCTGATAATTAGGTAATTTTATTTTTTTCTCTTTTTCTTGTTTACTTCTGCCAAGGGCTCATTAGTTTTACTCATTTTTACAAAGAACTTTTGGCTTTAATTTTCTCCATTGTTTGATTGTTTTCTAGTTCACTGATCATTTTAATTGGAACTTTGTAGATTTCTCATTTAATTCCATTGTAGTCACAAGGGCATGTTCAGTGTGACTTCTGTTCTTTCCAGTTTATTAAGACTGGTTTTATCACCAGGATATGTGGTCTGTTTTGGTGAATAGTCTAAATGCATTTGAAAAGAGTGTATTCTATAGTTGGATATCACATTCTGTATGTATCAGTTTAGTCAAGGTGGTTGGTAGTGTCGTTCAGGTCTTATGTACTGACATTTTTGTCTAGTTCTATCAGTTATTGAAAGTAAGGTATTAGACTCTACTACAATTGCAGATTTATCTGTTTCTCCCTTTAATTCTGTCAGTTTTTGCTTCATTTATTTTGAAGCTGTTACACACATTTTTTAATTTTTATGACTGATGTGCTGACCATTTATATTGTTCTCACATACTCTTCATCGCTCCTGACACGTCTTGTCTTGGAGTCTGTTTCGCTCTGTGTCAGGTCATTGTTCGGACAATGTTTATTGTTGTCGTGCTGTGTTTTCGCATTCACACCCTTCAGCCCATTAGTATCTGTATGCCCTTCGAGGCTCTGGGAGATAGCGTGTGATCACACTTGCTTTGTCGTCAGATCTAACTCTTTAACTGGATTGGGCTTTTAGTCACATCCCTTTTTTCAGTGATATAATTCATGTGACAGATTTTCGTATTATATAAAATTTGTCCCGTTAAAGTCTACCATTCAGAGACGATTAGTATATTAACAAGTCATCCCTACTGTGGAATTCCAGAACATTTCCATCACCCACAGACGAAGCCCTGAACCCATGAGCACTCACTCCCAGTGACCCCTCCCTCCACACGCAACCTCTGGCAAGCACATCTACTTTTTGTGTCTGTAGATTTACGTGTTTTGGACATTTTGTACAAATGGAGTAGCACAGCAGGATATGAGGCCTTTCACACCTGGCTCTTGTCATTCAGCATGATGTCTTCAGGGGTCATCATGTTGTAGCTTGTGTGTGAACTCTTTTTTTTTTTTAATATGGCTAAATCCTGTTCCATTGTGTGGATCTACCACATTTTGTGTACTCACTCATCAGTTGATGGACACTTTCTGCCACCTGAGCCACTTGGGTTTGGGAGGGCCCTGGGGCAAAACATCCACTCACAGATCTCACTGCTCAGGAGAGTGTGTTGGCGGAGAGGCCTCCTGGCTGGTGTCTGCCTGCTTCTGCTCACTTCTTACCTTCTAACATACTTGCAGAAAACTTGGTCTGCACAGATTTAAGGACTGTTCTCTTAATGGAGTTAATCTAACCAGAGAGGCTACTGTGCTGTGACTGTCTTTCACTTGTATTTTTGTTGTTGTTTGTTTATTTATTTTTTAATTGAAGGATAATTGCTTTACAGAATTTTGTTGTTTTCTGTCAATCCTCAACTTGAGTCAGCCATAGGTATACATATATCCCCTCCCCTTTGAACCTCTCTCATCTCCCTCCCCATCCCACCCCTCTGGGTTGATACAGAGCCCCTGTTTGAGTTTCCTGAGCCAGACATCAAATTCCCATGGCTATCTATTTTACATATGGTCACTTGTATTTGTTTTAATATGATTTTTATTTATTTATTTGGCTGCATCATGTGTTACTTGTGGGATCCAGATCCCTGAGCAGGGATCAGGCCTGGGCCCCCTGCACTGGAAGCGTGGAGTCTTAGTCCCTGTCCTCCACTTGTCTCTGCAGTGTGTGTTCTGGTGGTGGCAGCCGGGGGTGCCCCTTAGCCAGGCGGGCTGGCGCCCTTCCTGCCTGGAGGCAGGCTCCCCCCCCCTGCCTCCAGCGGTGCTCTTACCACTGTTGGGATGTGCATCTTGTCTCCTTCTTGCTGGCCCTCCTCCTGTTGCAGGCCTCCATGAAGAAGTGGACTACTCCGAGAAGCTGAAGTTCAGTGATGATGAGGAGGAGGAGGAAGTGGTGAAGGACGGCAGGCCAAAGTGGTAAGGGCCCCATCCCTGCTCATAGCACTGCTCCCAGCTTGGGGGTTGGTGAGGGGGGCATGTGACATTTAATGGACATAGGTGCACTGGTGTTGTCCGTGAGCCGTGCGTGTCCTGGTCACCCCGACGACCTCACGTGGGCAGATACTGTTACCATTTTGCAGATGGAAGGACAGCTGTTTGGGGGCGGGGAGCCAGGGTGGGCACCAGGCCTGGCTGGCTGAGTCCTAGCCATTTAGCCACCGTGCCCACATTTTCCCAAGTGTGTCTTGTAGACTGATTGTTCTGCAGATTGCTTTGAGAGTGGTTCCCCTAAAGGTTTCTTTGGCCAAGCAGATTGGGGAAACTGCCTGGGTTCAGCTCTACTCCAAGGGTGCCCAGAGCCTAGGGTGTGCGTGCTACAGCCTGCCTGCTGGGAATCTGGGAGTTGGGGGAGAAGCCGAAAGCAGGGTATGCCATGTTGCCTAAGCATATTTGACCACTTGAATCTTTTCTCTCTCTTTTTTGGGATCATTTTGTTGGACTGATTCTTGCTCCCAACACCATTTGGAAAAAACTTAAATTGTAGTCTAGCTGGTCTAGTTTTCAGCAGAATACCAGTAACATTGGCTTGTGCTTTTAAAATAGTATCTATGGTCGCTTTAATTTGCGTGCCCACCCCACCACCACCCCAGTATTGGCAAATATGGATGCTTCTCTTTGTATGGAATTGCCTGTTTCCTTTGTATATATATCTGTTAGACTTACTGTGTTTTCTGTGAAAATGTGATTACTGTTTTATATTGCTTAGATAGTAGTGCTTTGGTATTTTTTTCCCTTTGTCTGTTTTACTGTCAGTAATTGAATGTTTATGTAGTTGGGTCTGCAAGTCTTTGTTGTGTCATCTTCGGCTTCACAGCTCCTCTTCTGCAGGGAGCTGGTAACGATCTTCTGTCACTCTTTCTCAGCTGGCACACAGACAGTTAGCTAATTGAGGCTTCTGTAATTTATTTTAATGCTGCTTGATTTCAACTGAAGCTTTGGATGCCCTTGGGAAATAAATATCTATGGGTCAGTTTTTGGAACTAAGCTCAGAAGGAGATGTGATCCAGAATTTAAATCAGTGGAAACGTGAAGCTTTGCAGATTCATTGGAGGAGCTCTGTTCCTCTCTCTGAGTGGATATGACTTGACTGTCCATCTAAAAGAATTAAACTTTGGCTGTAGCAACCAAGGACACACCACATTGAGTCCCCAATCCGGCCACCACTCAGCGTTCTCTGAGTTGGCTGCACACCCCCACCCACGATGGGCTCCTGAGACCTCCCTGGCTCCATCCCTTTCTGTTCACTGTCCTGGGGCCACTGGGACCTGCATCCTTTCCTTCATGCACCATCCAGAGGCTGGCTGGCTGGTCCCTCCTTCCTTGTCACCCTCGCCCTGTGGTCTAGTCATCGTCTTTGATAGACTCGGGTCTTTCCTGGCAGATCGGGAACCTTTTGTGGACACCACGCCTCCTGGCTTGCTGTCAGGAGGCACTGGCAGTCATTGCCCTGTCTCTGGTCTCCTGACCCTCCTGACCTGCCTCATCTCCCTCTACCTCCAGAGCGTTTGTGCGTGTGTGTGTGCACGAGCACGTGTATTAGCCAGGCCTTGGCTCCCTCGCTTTCTCTGTACTCCCCCTGGGCTTTTGGGCACCACTTCTGCAGTAGAAGAGGTGCGCGTAGATGGGCACATGTTTTGTCACAGAGCCTCTGTTTGCCCTGCAGCGTGTAAGGGTGAGCACTACTCAGCGAGCCTTCCCGTAGCCTCTGCTGGGCATCTGTCTCCTCCTCCTCCATCCAGTGTGTGCGTTGCTCCTCTTGCTCTTTCTAATGCATCACTCAGCGAGCCCTCTTCTGCTGTTGTGAGGAGCATTTGTTCATTCCGGGGATGGGGCTTTGGCATAGACAGAAGGGCCTGCAGTGGGAGTCCTGGGTTCAACTCTGTTAGCTCTTTCTTGTGAACAGTTCCCCCACCTCCTGGAGACTCAGTGACCAACCCTTTAAAATGGAGGAAGTAGAGGCATTTTTGATGGACGAAGTAGAGGCGGGTTTTTTTTTTTTTGCAGTAGATGAAGTAATGGGTGTGAAGCATCCTGCCTGGAGCTGTCTGTTTAGGGCTGACTTGGTAAAATGGGTGCTGGTGTAGGTGCTCTGGGCGTGTCCTCTCACCCATCAAGGGGGTGCGCGGTGGATCTTTTATGAAGGAAATCGGTTTGTAAAAGCTAACTTTAGAATTCCTAATGGTCTGACTGGGAAGATGAGACCGTGCCTGGGGCGACCAGGAAAGCCAACTCTTGCATGGTTTGTCCTAGGAACAGTTGGGACCCCAGGAGGCAGCGGCAGTTGTCCTTGAGCTCTGCAGACAGTGCTGATGCCAAGCGCACCCAAGAGGAAGGAAAAGACTGGAGTGAAACAGGAGGCATGACCCGTGTCGTCCGGAAGGTGCCGGAACCTCAGCCGCCTTCCAGGAAGCTGCACAGCTGGGCGTCGGGCCCTGATTACCAGGTACCGTGGGCCCTGGGGGAGGGCTTCTGTGCCCGCCTGGCTGGGTGACATGCATGTGCGTGAGCGCACACAAGCCCTTTCCAAGTTCAGTTGACCAGAGATCCAAGGCAGAGACTCCAGCAGGTCACCTGAAAGGCTGTTCTGTGCATTTACAATGAACAGGAAGGGATGAAGCCAGGAGGTTTCAGGAGCCCATCGTGGGTGGGGGTGTGCAGGAGGAGTCTCAGCCAGCTCAGAGAATGCTGAGTGGTGGCCGGATTGGGGACTCAGTGTGGTGTGTCCCTGGTCACTACAGCCAGAGTCTTAACTCTTTCAGATGGACATTCGGTTAGGTTTCACTGAGTTCAGTGGTCTGGTTGGTTTTCTGAAAAAGTCTAAGCGGACATTTCTCTCTCTCTTTTTCTAAGTTATTTTAAATTGGAGGATATTTGCTTTACAGTATTGTCTTGGTTTCTGCCCTACATTAACACGAATCAGCTGTAGGTATACATATGTCTCCTCCCTCTTGAACCTCCCTCCCTTTTTGTTTGTTTTTGACCACACTGTGCAGCATGTTCCCTGCTGAGAGACTGAACTCGAGCCCCCTGCATTGGAAACGCAGAGTCTTAACAACTGGACCTCCAGGGAAGTCCCTCTTTTTATTTTTTTTTAAGTTAAAAATTCTTCTTTAAAGATTTTGAGAACAGTCACAACTTACAAAGAATTTTTTTTCCTGAGCCATTTGAAGAGTAAGTTGCTAGTCCGATCACCACAGAATGCTTCTTAGGTAAGCACAGTCAAATCCAGGAAGCTTGCATTGACATACCACTGCCTCCTCGTCCGCAGACCCCGTCCCACTGCCCCCACTGTCCAGTTGATGGTCTTGATGCACAGGGATCTGGGTCAGGGTCAGGCATCCTTCAGTGTGAAGTAGACCCTCAGCCTTTGCTCAGCTTTCCTGAGGCCGACGGTCTGGAAGATCAGAAGCCACTGCTTTGTATAGTGTGCCGTTCGTCTGGAGCTTCCTCATGGTGGGGTTCAAGGCTTCCCTTTTTTGGCTAGTCTTTCGGAGCTGGCACTGACTCTTCTCATGGCTCCCGCCTGGGTGACCCTGATCCCTCTCTGCCTGCTGTGACAGGCTTACTTTCATCTCAGGATTGAGGTGCTGGCTACCGGGTTTCATAACATTGAGCTTTCACACGCGCTGCAGATTCGTAATTGATAGCAGTTTTGTGGCTAGTTACTTTAAGACTATGAATATCCTGTTTATCATCAAATTTTTAATTAACTCATTGTTTCTTTGGATGTTCCGGTTGTCTTTGGTTTGGGAGCTTCAGACTGGCAGCTGTGTGCTTTTCACTGTTTCCATTCTTTTTTTTTGAGGGATTCCTTGCTTTCTGGTAGAACAAGCTTTTCCAAGCTCATTTTGTCCTTACCTGGCCTTGGCCCTGGAGTCAGCCTTTAATGACACTTCGAAATCAGTACGTGGGCACCAGGAGTGCCACTACTTCTGGCCTTTTCCATGGATAGTTGGGGAATGTGTGTGTGTGTGTGTGTGTGAGACAGAGACACACACACACTTCATTCTGGCTATTTCCCGTTGTCTCCCTAGTCTCCCAGTTTCTACCCTCACCCTCTCCCTTGCACAGGTGCCCTCTTCAGCTCCTCAGATGTCAGCCCCCCCTCTCCCAGAGACCCTGAATTTCCCTGCTGAGCCATCTAAGTTCCTTCCTCATCCCACTTGATTGGGCTCCACCTTCCTCATCAGCCACACCTCCATGTGGACACCCTGCTCACCTGCCTGGGCTCTGACCGCCTGCCCTGAGCTGTCTGACCCCCTGGCACCAGGTGCAGGCCTGCTTCTGCCACATTGCCTGACTTTGGGATGGAACTGAGCAGGGAGGGCAGAGCTGCGGAGGGGAAGGCATTAATTTAAATAAACTTGGCAGACTTGCCATTTTCAGTGCACTTTGCTATTTAAAGGACTCCTGTTCCACACCTTCCTCTAAAGTGAAAATACCCTTTATCTTGAGTTTTTTGTGCTGAGCACATATCATATCTTGCTAGGCATTGTGCTCGGTACAGGGGACACAAGAATGAAAATAGACACAATACAGCTCTTATAAATTATCTTGCGATTAACCCAGATTTCATTCCTACATTGGGGTTGCTCAGTATTCAAAAGAAGTTTTTTTTACTTTGATCTGCTCATAACAACGCTGAATTATCTTGAGTGTTTTTTATTATTATCTAGAGTCAGCAAAGATAAAACCTCTTATCATTTCATGAATCCAAATTTCTGAAAAGATTGTCACAGCTTAAATGTTTTGCAGAATATTTAGTTTATAAAATGATAGCTCACTTCGGGCAGTTTTGAAAGGCACATCTGTAGTTTTCATGATATGCACATACCCTTTGATTCTGGTATTTCATTTCTGGGAAATTGTGAAGGGAATAATAGGGGTGTGCCTTAGGGATCATCCAGGTGTCCTAAGCATCAGGGGGTGAGACGTGTCCTGGTGGAGACTCGAGGTGAGACAGTACATGGCTGTTATGGTGCGTGGACAGACGGCAGTGGTCGGGGCAAAGTAAAAGGAGAGTGCACACTTGGCCCCAATTATATTATGTAAAAAGTACCTTTGTGCTTCCAAATTAGACATTTATAACCTTGTAGTAACTGTCTCTGGATTATAAGAAGTTAGTTTTTAGGAGAAAAATCACTCTCTACTCTCACTGCTACTTACTGCTTTTATGGAGGTGTAATTTTACCATAAAGGGCTTCCCTGGCTTCTCAGTGGTAAAGAGCCTGCCTGCCAGTGCAGGAGACATGGGTTCCATTCCTGGGTCAGGACTGGCCTGTGGAGAAGGAAATGGCAACTCATGCCAGTATTCTTGTTTGGGAAGTCCTGTGGACAGAGGAGCCTGGCGGGCTACAGTCCATGGAGTCACGAGGAGTCAGACACAACTGAGCGACTAAGCTTTATTCTAAACCTGAGGCAGCCTTTTTCTTGAACTTTATAGTCCATGGGGTTGCAGAAGAGTCATATAAGACTTAGCAACTGAAAAGTAACAATTAAAATACAAGAAAAGACACAACAGATCTTGGTTTTATATGTCTGATGACTTTTCAACAGTTACATTCATCTGTGCAACTATCCCTCAAGACAAGAAGTTGTCTGTTTTTCTGCCAGTTGTATGTTGTTAGACTTCCAGTTAGACTTCCAGTTAGACTTCCATCCTTTGTACTGCTGCATATTCTGCCTGCAGTCTCTTTTCCTGATAATCAGTGAGAAATCTTCCCAGAATTGAGAGGTTTTCACACTGCATCGCTGGCACCCTGGTGGTTGTCTGGTAACTTAACAATCAACTTGAGACTTAAAAGTAGATAAAATACCTTAAAGAGATGCTTTTAGAGATGCTGTTTTGTTTTTACATTTAATCAGTTTGAAACCTCACTGTGAGTGTGAGTTCTGGTGTCTTGGGGCTCTTTGTATCAAGAGGTTCATCTGCTGTCATGGGAGGAGCAGTAGGGCAGTTCTGTGGCTGAGAAGTGATGAGCATGTGGTTTTCTGCTCCTGTTCTTTAGCTGTGGACACCCTGACCTTGCGTGCCCAGAGATGGCTGCAGGAACGCCCATTCTCTTGAGTGTTTCCTGCATTTTAGTCATGGTGTTAAGAGGTTTGCAGACGATTCCGTGCACCTTTACAACTTGGAGGGCTTCCTTGTTTATCAACAGTTTCCAAAAGAGAAATTAGGGTTTAGACTGTTGGTGCTTGCCCAGCCCCCTTTCCAAATACAATGTAGGGCAGAGCAGGATTGAAGCCCAGGTCCTCTTGCCAGAGGCCTCTTGAAGGTACCCAAGGGTGTTGAGAAGGGAGCTGAACTCCTCCAGGGAGTGGCCTGTCTCTGAGTTGTGACATCCTCTGACCGTCTTCTCTCAGCAGAAGTCCTCCACGGGCACCATATTTCGGCAGCAGTCTGCCGAGGACAAAGAGGACAAGCCCCCACCGCGGCAGAAGTTCGTCCAGTCGGAGATGTCCGAGGCTGTGGAGCGAGCCCGGAAGCGCCGGGAGGAGGAGGAGCGCCGGGCGCGTGAGGAGAGGCTGGCTGCCTGTGCCGCCAAACTCAAGCAGCTTGACCAGAAGTGCAAGCAGGCTCAGCGTGCGAGTGAGGCCCAGAAGCAGGCAGAGAAGGAAGCTCCCCGTTCTCCGGGGGCTGAGAAGGTGGCTCCCCAGGAGAACGGCCCTGCCGTCCACAAAGGTGAGCAGTGAGCGTGGCCCCTGACTTGGAAACAAGGGCTGTGTCATTGGGCATCTCCCTGGCTTCTTAGGACGAACTGTGGCCAATGGGTGGACACACAGGGATCCCAGTTGTTAAGAGTTCAGGCCTGGATCAGGGACCTGGGTTCACATGCTGTTTTCACCACTGAAGCCAGCTGGCCATGTGCCTCCCCTCTGACACCTCCCCTCTGACTCGCCACTTTCCTCGCCTGTGAAGTGGGTTGGAGAGCATTTGTACCCACCCCCACCCCCTGGGCTCAGGGTCCTGGGAGATGATGTCAGGAAGCACACGGCACATTTCTAGGTGCAGAAGCACCCGCCTTCTCATGGTGTCATCACTGTCGTCGTTACCACTACTGCTCTGCAGTGGGGATGTGGGTACTGGAGGACCTCAGTAGGAGCCCAGCACTCTCTGTGACGCTGAAGGAAGCTTGCCCGCTTTTTAGAATACATTTTCCCTGACATTAATCCTAAAAGGACTGGATCACATGGCTGCAGCAGAGACACCGAACAATGTTCAGTGGTGGAGGGTGTCTCTTGCTCTAGTTTTTAATAATATGATCAGAAGGGTCCATCTGGTCAAGGCTATGGTTTTTCCCGTGGGCATGTATGGATGTGAAAGTTGGACTGTGAAGAAAGCCGAGCGCCGAAAAATTGATGCTCTTGAACTGTGATGTTGGAGATGAGAGTCCCTCGGACTGCAAGGAGATCCAACCAGTCCATCCTAAAGGAGATCAGTCCTGGTTGTTCATTGGAAGGACTGATGCTGAAGCTGAAACTCCAATACTTTGGCCACCTGATGCGAAGAACTGACTCATTGGAACAGACCCTGATGCTGGGAGGGATTGGGGGCAGGAGGAGAAGGGGGCGACAGAGGATGAGATAGCTGGATGGCATCACCGACTCGATGGACATGAGTTTGAATAAACTCCGAGAGTTGGTGATGGACAGGAAGGCCTGGCGTGCTGCGATTCATGGGGTCGCAAAGAGTCGGACATGACTGAGCGACTCAACTGAACTGAACTGACTGATGTTCTTTGTGACTTTCTTAAATGAACTCAAACCAAGTCTCTAAAGTAGAGAAGGGCCTGATGTTAGTTTTTGTTGCTGAAAGCTTCTCAGATGGAGGGCGTACTGGTGACCTGGTGGTTGTCAGCGCCCTTCTGGCCAAGGAACTCAGACCCTGGTTCTTCTGTAAATGTTGTGTCACTGAAGTCTGAAGTCTGGGCCCAGTGTCAGGGACTTAGGAGGCAGTAGAGAGTCAGACAGTGGATGGCAGGGTGCAGAGTGGGCCTGGGTGTGGGGTGTGTCCCCGGCTCTTCCATACCCACCCCTGCCAATCAGCATTCCTCTGGGACACTGTGCCCACCCCCAGGCTTTGCACTGATGTTTGTTCTCTGCAGTAGATTTCTTAAGAATGCAAACGTCAGTTATGATAAAGCTGGAAAAAAGAATGCAAAACTGGGATGGGGAAGATAGCAGGGGATTCCAAGGGTCATAGTCTTGGAGACCATGGGGAACATTTCGTTTGAAGTACACTCCATGGACCGGCTCAGTTAATCCTCACAGAAGCCCCGTGGGGTGGTTGCAGCTGTCATCCTCAGAGGGGCTGCCTGGCCGGCCTGACTCACATAGCTCTGGGTGGAGGTGGGGGCATGTGGGCTCTCTTTGAGGCCTTGTCACTCTGTTGCGCTGGGTCCATTTTAATAGACCCTCTCTCACCTGGAATTGTATTGCAGCTCTACTGCCGACCGTGCGACTTCAGGCAGTTCATGTAATCTCTCCACCCTTCGTTTTCTCATCTGTGATGGGGGAGGCTGTGAGCTCGGGCATGGGAGGTGTTAGCCCAGTGCCAGGGTTTGGGGATGCAAATAGTTTAGCAGTGGAAGGTATGTGCCAACAAGAAAAAGCATTTGCCATTAAATATTTACTCAGCCAAGCTTTCATGAACTCAGCTGGCCGCTTCTCCACTTTCTTGTTCTGTAGGCTCCCCTGAGTTCTCTGCCCAGGAGACCGCCAGCACGTTTTCAGAAGAAGTCCCCACAGCTCCTCCAGCAGTGGCTCAGAGCGGCGGCAGTGAGGAGGGGCCCAGGGAGGCTGGGTCCCCTGCGCAGGAATTCAGCAAGTACCAAAAGTCACTCCCTCCCAGGTTCCAGCGCCAGCAGCAGCAGCAGCAGCAGGTAAACAGGAGACACTTAGCCCATACTGTAAACAGGCCTACCCCTCCGTCTCCCAGGCCCCTTCAGTTAAAGCAGATGACGCCCACCTTCCTGTACCCCAGTCGCCAGCAGGGATGTAGAGAGTGGGGGCCTTGGAGATCAGCCCTGGCCTTTCATTTCTCCAGGTAATTCATCCTCTGGATGAAAACCTTTGTTGGTAGTTTGTGGACCCTGTTGTCTAGTGTTCAAAGGAATGGTCAGTGGTGTCTGAGTGATTTTTTTCATTGAGAGTTGTACAGTGTGGCCACTCTTCACACAGACAGCAGCCCCGCCCTGGAGCCTCTCCAGGAGGAAGAGGCCTGGGGGCCGTGTGGAGAGCGCTGGAGAGGCATGTTGGCTTTGAGTTAAGGGCGGAGGTTTGTAGGTTTTGCGTCAAACAGCTTTGGGTTCTGGTGCTAACGGTGCTGCTTATCTAGCTGTGTGGGGCCTTGAACAGGTCAGTGTGAAGCAGAAGGAATGAAGCCCTGACTCTGCATGGCGGTGAGGGGCCCTGCGATGCCTGTAGACTAGTATATCGGTAGTCCAGTAGTGTCTTTATTGGTGTTCCCTCAGTGTTCTTAAAATATTGAGTCTCTCTTTCTGTTTTGGCTGTGCTGGGTCTTCGTGGTGGCAGGTCAGCTTCTCCGGTTGCAGAGCATGGGCTTAGGTGCCCTGTGGCATATGGGATTTTAGTTCCCTGACCAGGGATCAAATCCACATTGCCTGCATTGAAAGGTGGATTCTTAACCACTGGACCCCCAGGGAAGTCTGGTAAATTATTGTTAGTAATTGAAAATGTTCCAAAATGTGGGTGCCCTGGGGAAACAGATCAAATTTTACACCTTTACCCAGAATTTTTTAAAGTTGCCTTTACAACCTTCACCCCAGACCCTATTTTCCCTGGGCTCCTAGGAAGCATTCCAGAAGCCCACCGTGGCCTGTGTTCTGGACAGTTAGGTACATTCATGGTGCTGCTGTAGTTTTGTACCATGAGCAGGTGCCACTCAGTCACTCCTGGGCTTGGTGAAGATTTACTGCCGACTGGAGAGATCTCTGGAGTCACTCCAGCCAGACACAGTCGTAACAGCTGCTCTAGGGAAGTCTGGGGAGGGTGGGGATGGGCAGTGACAGGTAAATCCTTTCTGAAGAGTAGGGGGAAGTCTGAACATGCCAGAGTAGCTGGAGGGAGTCTGGCAAACGGACTGTCTGGTCAGCTTCCCTGGGGACCCGGGGTCTAGACAGGAGGAGGAGCTGTGGGCAGAGCCCTGAAGAGCTCCGCTTACTGAGTGCCGAGCGCTCCTAAGAGGTGCTGGGAGCACCGGCAAGCTGTCCAGGGAACCCAGCAGAGGCTGGAGTTGAGCCAGTCGGCTGGTAGGATAGGGTGTGCCGGGTCAGCTGTCCTGCTTGTTTGACTGCACCTGTGTCCAGCCAGGATGCTGGTTCGGGATGCGCTTTTAAGGGAAGCCCCGGGGGTCATCGGTGCTGTGGAGCAGGGTCTGAAATGAACTCTCACTGAGTTTAGGTCCTTGATTTTTAATACTCTTTTGATGTGTTAGTTCATCCATTGATGCAATGAACTTTTTCTGTACCATGTCTGATGGTAGAGGTGAGTGGACTGCAGTGAACTTGGCACTCGATCTCCTAATACAGGGAGGGAGGCAAATGCAGGAGAAACACCAGTGCTGTGAGAGCCGAGAACAGGGGACCTGATCTTCCTTGGAACTTGTGGCAGGCTTCCCAGAGGAAGTGCTCTTCAAGCTGAAACCTGAAGGAGGGGTGTGGGTGAGCAGGTTTGGGGCCCAGGGAACAGATGGCCCAGCGTGTTTCCAAGGCCTGAAGCAGGCGGGCAGACAGGTGTGTAGACTGGAGGCCAGGGCAGTCGTGGAAGGTGATGCTGGAGAGGCAGATGGGTCAAGACCCGCAGGACCCTATAGATCACATGCAGCCCTGTGGGATTCTGGCTGTTGGATGGAGAGCTGTGGAGAACCCAGGAAGACTCCAGCCGTGGTCAGGGCATCGGAGTGTGGAGAGTGGATTGAAGGGACAGTGGGGGCTGGGGGTGGGGAGGAGCATTGGGGAGAGGTGCTCTGAGAGGTGTGCTGGTCACGTGTCAGCTCCAGGAGAGCCTTTGATCTGTGTGAGCACCTCGGCTGTCGTGTGTAGTGGAGGAGCCTGAGGGCCCCGTGTGACGATGGCATGACTGTGCATCCGTCCTGGGGGAGGGCCCGGGCCTGAACGTGGTCATGCATACACTGGGGCCTCCCCTCTCTGGTCTTCTGTCTGGGTGGGTTTTCCCTGGAAGCGTGTGTGTGCATGCACGCGCAGCCTGTCTGCTCCACAGCACCTGTGCAGCCAGGTCTCTGTCTCTGCCAGGAGCAGCTGTACAAGATGCAGCACTGGCAGCCGGTGTACCCTCCGCCGTCCCACCCGCAGCGCACCTTCTACCCGCACCACCCCCAGATGCTGGGCTTCGACCCCAGGTGGATGATGATGCCCTCTTACATGGACCCACGGATCCCGCCTGCTCGGACCCCAGTGGATTTCTATCCCTCGGCCCTGCATCCCTCGGGTAAGCACCAAAGTGCAGTGAAGGCCAGGGTATGTGGTGTGGTCAAGGGTGTTGCCTTGGGAGGTAGACAGACCCCACCTGGATTCCAGTCTGACCTCTTTGCAAGTCACATATCCAGTCTGAGTTTTAACTTCCTTGTTTGCAAAATGAGGGTGTAATAGTACCTCCCACAAAGAATTGTTAGGAAGAGACTTCAAGACTATGAATCATGCTGCTGCTGCTAAGTCGCTTCAGTCGTGTCCGACTCTGTGCGACCCCATAGATGGCAGCCCACCAGGCTCCTCCGTCCCTGGGATTAATTGTCTTAATTTTCATATCTCTGCCATGTAGTTTTGTCCCTCTTTCCATTCTTTAGTGTTCTTTGGGTTCTTTCTTTTCCTTGATTAGTATTTCCCAAGGTTTGTTGAATGCCATTTTTTAAAAAGTATCTTTTGAGGTTCTTAATTCCTGTCTTTTATTTGGTTTTTATTTCATTAATTTCTGCCCCCCCTCATTATTTCCACTGAAATTATTTTGTTCTTTTTCCGATTATGTTGGATGCTTAATTAGATCATTAGTTTCTGAGTTTTCTGATGTATTTATATCTCACCTGATTTTATGAGCCACTGAGTTTTAAAATAACATTTTTATTATTATACAGTTTTAAATACTAGTCTGATTTTGAGTGATTTTTAATGGTATGTGGTAAAATTTCCAAATACAGAGTTTTAATATCATCCATATGTTGTTAATTTCTACTGTGGCTGCCTTTTGGTGATAGATCATGGTCTGTATGATATAGACTAGCAGTCAGAATTTTTTTCTATTAATACCAGATAATAAATATTTTAGTCTTTGAACTGCTACTCTGGTTTTGCTGTCGTAGAACAAAAGCAGCTGTAGACAATAGTCACTGAATGGGCGTGGCTGCTTCCCGGGAAAACTGTAGTTTAACAGGTGGCAGATCGAGCTTCACTCAGGGACTCGAGAGGAACGCGTTTCCTGCTGGGCCTGGCCCGTTAACGCGCGCCGTCTAGCTGTGCTGTGGAAATATGCGTCGTCACAGCTTTCTTTTATCCCCTTGATCAGTTTCTAAGAGGTGTGTGAACATTTTCCACCATGATTGTGGATTTCTCAAATCTTATAAACCTGTCAGTTTTTGTTTTACCTACCTGGAAGCACATATGCTTGGGATGACTGCATCTTGTTTCTTGTCTCTTCGTATAGCACCTTTTTTTCTTGGGTTTCTACCTTTAATGTCTTCTTTATCTGGTGATGATTTCATTCCAGTTTTCTTTCAACTAGTACTCGTGTGGTATCGTTTTACCCCAACTTTTTATTGTCAGCCTGAGCCCTTTTCAGAGGAGAATATCTTTGTACATTTAAGATGTGTCTGGTTTTACCCACATTGAGTGGGTAAAGCTGTGACTTTAGTTACCAAAGTTGTTCCCTTTAGATTGGGGGAGTGGGTATCAAGTTTTCTGATTCTTTTTGTTTTCCTTCTACATTCTATTTCTACTGTGAGTGGTTAGGTTAAATTCTAACATGCACCCTTGACTTAACAAAGGCTAATCAGTTTAACCTGAAACTGAGCTCTAATTCAGGAGTCTTGTAATTTTTGCCTAGAATTTTAATTCTTCCCTTGTTTTCATGCTTACCAAATTATTATCTTTGTTGTTTTATTCAGTCTATGCTTGTTCAGATCTGCCTGTATGTTTACTGGTGTCTTTGCGGCTTATCCTTCCATCTGGGTTCCATTTATTTTTTCAGAACATATATTCTGTCAAGGCCTCTACAAAAGTTTTTTGGCAATACATGTTCTTCACATGGGGCTTCCCAGGTGGCACTAGTGGTAAAGAATTCGCCTGCCAGTGCAGGAGACATGGGTTCCACACCTGGGTCTAGAAGATCCCCTGGTGGAGAAAATGGCACCCACCTCAGTATTCTTGCCTGTGAAATCCCGTAGACAGAGGAACCTGACTGGCTACAGTCCATGGGGCTGCAAAGAGTTTGATGCCGCGGAGCACTATTTCTCACCTATGGCAGCCTTTCTCTTGGACGATAGTGTAGCTGGTACAGACCTCTAGGTTTGCAGTTACTTTATTTTAGGACTGTGAAGGTAGTATTCCTTCTCTTCTGGCTCCTGTGTCTGGTTTGTGTTGCTTTAAGATCTCTTTGTCTTTGGTCTCCTGGAGTTCTTTCTCAAAATGCTGTGTCTAGGTATGTATCTATATCTATCCTTACTTTATTCTGCTTAAAACTCACGGTGCTCAAATCTAAGGTTGTATCACTCTCGTCACTTCTGGGAGTTTCTCTTCTAATTATCGTGTTAACTATTTGCCCTTTTTCATTCTTCGTATCCTTTCTTCCCAGGTCACCCACTTAGATTATTTGTAGTGATTGTGCTGTACAGATGCCTGCATCATCATGATTCTTCTCACTTTGCCTCCAAGTCTCTTGAATATATGAGAGCTGATTTCTGTGGTGCCTTCTGGGAAAATGCTTGGAATTATTTTCTAATTCCATGTTCTCTCCAACTGTGTCTAATCTGCTGTTTTTATTTTATTTTTTACTGTCCAGTGGGTTTTTAATTTCAGTGACTGTATTTTTATTACTAGACTTTTTCTCTCAAATCTTTTTTTTTCTTGTGTCTTGTATTTTTTGTGAGTTTTCAATTCCTTATTTGCTTTTAATCCTGTAAACCATAATTCTCTGGTGTTTAACATTTTGATCTGTTTCTGAAGTTCTTGGGGATGGTGCATGAATCCTGTGGACTTGCTTTGGACTTGTGGTGGATTGCTTCCCGCCCCCCCACCCCCCCACCCCATGTTCTGGAAGTATTTGACTCATGAGTTCATTTCCGGCAGAGCTGTTCTTAACTTGGGGATTCGGTGTAGCTTGGTTTGAGAGCGTATCCCTCCAGCGTGGCTCTGTCTTTTCATCTGCCAGCCTAGAACTACCTTTTATTATAACTCAGGAAGTTTTTGGAGAATTCTAGGGGTGTAAATCTGAACTCTACTCTGCTACCCCCAAGCCTGTGTGAAAGCTGGCACGTGGCCATGAATTCCTCACTGGGGACTGTTTTCCCTAATCTGACCCTGGGCAGGACACTAGCTCAGTCATCTCCCTTTCCTAAAGAGTGTGAGGTTTTTCTGGTCTGCCTTGTAATTGAATGCATAGCCCTTTGAGGGTCTTTGTGTAAGCAGCACCTCAGCTGTAACTCTCTGCCTTGTGCAGAGAAGCCCCATCTCTTGTCGGGAGTGGGTGAGGGGGTGGTGTTCAGGAACACGGCTGTAGGTTACTACATCTGACAGATGTGTCTCTGGCTCGTGCCTCTGGCCCATGGCTCTGGCCGATGGCTGTGGTTTCCGCTCCCTGGGGGTTTCCTGGTTTGGGGGAGCAGAGCTCTGCAAGTGAAGTGTGTGTAATGTGTTTTGTGCAGCGTTTTTGTGACAGGAGATTTTTTCAGATAATGTGAGCTGCCATATTGCCAAAAATAGGTCTGTGTAGTGCTGAGCAGTTCAGCCTACCTCATGATCAATAACTGGGTGTAATTTTAGGATTCCAGAGAGGGTCCTCGCCACCACATGACTCAGACCACCTTTGTGCCGGAGTCATATCTTGGTAACCTTTGGACAGAGCATCCACAGCTGAAAGAAAGTATAAAACCACTGGTCTGATGCAGAATCATTTTCCTGATCAGATTATCTCCGCTTTAAAAATGGGCACAAAAACATTAGTGGCCAGTAATTAGCTTTGTGAAATATCTGAAAAATCAGACCCTCTTTTCTACACAGACTCTGGCCTAATGGGAGGCGTTTAATGTTGTCTACAACATCCCATCTGGTAGAAGTGGAAGCAGGGGCCCTAGTGAGGGGGTGCCATCTCCCAGGCTGGTTTGTATCTGGTTGGACCGAGATGTCAGCTTATCTCTGTCTCCTCGGGCCAGTTAAGAGTTGAGTGTCATCTGTGTGTCCCCTTCTCCCCTTCCCTGGAGAGAATGTGGATTATCACTATAAGCTCAGGGGCAGAAACAAGCAGAGCTGAAGCCCAAACCCCTTTCTGAATCTTCTTGCAGGGTTTGGAAGCAGACAGACGCTGGCTCCTTGGTGCCTGTAGGCTCCCTGGAGCGTAGCTTATCTTCCCTGTGTCTGTGCAAGAGACCCTCGGCATCTCCCGCTGCTAGTTGCCTGGCCTCTTAGCTTTCTGCTGCCAGCCATGAGCTCTCTAGTTGATTGTGTCCTGTTTCCATATGCCAGTTTTTTATATCCTTCAACATAGGGGCTCTTCGTCGGGAACTAAGATTGGACCTCCAGGGTCTTTGAACAGGCCTTTCAGATGGCGTGCCTGTGTGCTTTCAGAGGTTCTGTGAACAGATGATGTGAAGCAGGTGTGGGGTACTGCATCCGTGTGATGGTTGGGGCAGCTTGTCTCCTCTGGGCCTGTGGGCGACCCGTGGCTTGCTGAACGAGGTGACCGATTGGCTGTTTGCCTTCTTCAGGATTGATGAAACCCATAATGCCCCCGGATTCCCTCAGTGGGACCGGCTGTCGCTCTGAGGACCAGAGCTGTGTGCCCCCGCTGCCAGAAAGGAAGGTGACCGCCATTGACCCCGCCCCCGTGTGGAGCCCTGAGGGTTACATGGCATTGCAGAGCAAGGGCTACTCGCTGCCCCACCCGAAATCCAGCGACAGTTTGGCCATGGACATGCATGTCAGGTGAGGTGATGCTTGGTCCTCCTGCCCTGCAGCTGAAGAAGGAATCTTGGTCCTCAGTGAGATGGGCTCTGGGAGGAGGCCCTGTCCCGGGAGACACTGCCCTCAGGGAAGGGGCACCTTGGGAGGGACCAGTGTGCTCTGGGAAAGAGATTGAGATGAGGATGGCTGGGTGCTTTCATGTGAGAGTCTCCGATGGTGACTGAAGGCCCAGGAGGAATCCTGGGGTCAGAGGCAAATCCCACAGAACCTTGGGCCAGGGCCATGGGGTGGGGTTGAGCACGTGTATTGTGGCTCCTTCCTATGAAAGTAAGGCGAGCTGGCTCTGCCGGCCCAGCACCCCAGACTCTTCTCGGACTTCCCGGCTCCAGCGTGTTTGAACCAGAGGATGCCCAGCTGTTCATGGAGTCCACCAGCCACTGATCATCACTCTGGACTCCAGGGGCCGCCACCAGCCCATGGCCCAGCATCTCTGAGGCCCGTTTAAAGATAGAGCGAATGTTCGTGCCTATGTTTTTTTCTTTTTCTTTTTAAAAAAAAATTTTTTTTTTCTTTTTTTTTTTTTAACTGTGTTCAGCGTGGAAACCAGGAACCAGGCTCCAATCACATTGACTGATTTTTCTGGTTCCTTTTCAGGAGTGAAAGCTCTTACTCTGCCTCCCCCGGAAGGTCAGGGGGCATGAGTGCCCAGCGCGAGCTCCTTGAGGAGAGAGGGCAGGAGTACTTGAGCGCTTCTGACAAGAAGGCCCCAGCAGACTGTGACTCCCGTGTCTCCTCTCAGAGAGTAGGCCAGGAGCTTTTGTTTCCACCACAAGAAAATGGTCAGGAAGCAGGCACTCCTGTGAGTCACACCCCAAACCTCAGGTGCTCCCCACTGGAGCCCGACTTTGCCCCCACGGAGAAAAAGCCTGAGTATGGTGACTGGGACGTGAACCACCAGTCAAAGGTCACCGACCCAGACGCTGCGGTTGAGAAGGAGGTACCGCAGGAGGAGCCACCCTTCAGTGTTTCCTCCTGGGAGAAGGAAGGGAGCCCGAGTAAGCCGCCAGCCCTGGAGCCCGAGTGGACGCCAGAAGCCCGGGGCACCAGCAGCCAGCACACAGAGCAGACCAGCAGGACCCGTAGGTCCGGCCCCATCAAGAAACCTGTCCTGAAGGCCCTCAAGGTGGAGGACAAGGAGAAGGAGCTCGAGAAGGTAAAGCCGGAGCTGGCAGAGGGGAGCACCCGCCTGGCCCGGGGGACGGGGCCTGTCCACGAGGCGGCTGAGGACGAGGACCAAGAGAATGACCCCGCGCTGGCCAATGCGGCTCCAGCCACTTCGGAGGACCAGGGCTCAGCCCGTGCCAGCTTGGGCCGTGAGACCAGCCATCCCGAGGAGGACAACAAGCCTGATGGGGCCCCGGAGGCCAGACCCTCCAGGGAGGCCAGCCACACACCCCCAACCAAGAGGAATAACTGGATCTTTATTGATGAGGAGCAAGCCTTTGGGAGCCGAGGGCCAGCCCGGGGCCGAGGCCGCGGGTTCCGAGAGTTCACCTTTCGTGGGCGACCCACTGGTAGCGGCCTGTGTGGCGGGGGTGTCCTTGGGACACGGGCCCTCTACAGCGGCAGCCAGAGGAGTGGCCGGGGCCGGGGGCCACGGGAGTTTGGGCCGCCAGATGACTTCCCTCGGGCCAAACCCCGGCGGAGGATTGCCAGTGAGACCCACAGCGAGGGCTCTGAGTACGAGGAGCTTCCCAAGCGGCGGCGGCAGCGAGGTGCTGAGCCCGGGGATGAGGGTGCACTCCCGGAGCGGGAGGAGGCCACGGGAAGGAAGGGCGACTTCAGGGAGTCCTGGCGGTCTGGCAGGATGCACCCTGAGGACCACGGCGGGCCTGAGGCCAAGAACCGAGGCCCCCGGGCCTTTGGGCGTGCCCTCCCCCCGCGTCTGAGCAACTGTGTGTATGGCCGGAGAACCTTCGTGGCCAAGGAGGTGGCCCCTTGGCCCAGCCGGGGTCCTGGTGCCTCCTGGCAGGAGCCTGGCCCCCCTGATGCGTGTGGGGCCCGGCGGCCCTTAGACAGAGACTACATCCCAGACACCTACAGACGCCCCGACGCCTTGGGCTCCCGGGGCTTCGAGGATGGCCGCGTGGAGGACAAGAGGGCCTTCTTCCAAGATGACCACGCAGCAGATTCCGAAAGTGCAGAGAACCGGCCCTTCAGGCGAAGGCGGCCTCCGCGCCAGGACAAGCCCCCCCGCTTCCGGCGCCTCCGACAGGAAAGGGAGGCCCTGGGCCTGTGGGGGCCGGAGGACGAGCCACTCCTGGCAGCCGGCCAGTGGCCGGGCCGTCCCAGACCCTGCCCTGGGGACAGGAGCAGCGCCACAGGCCACAGGTCCCCTGAGCTCGCCTATCAGAACTCCTCCGACCACGCCAATGAGGAGTGGGAGACGGCGTCCGAGAGCAGTGACTTCAGCGAAAGGCGGGAGCGGCGGGCCGGCCCCGAGCTGGACCCCCAGGCCGATGGCGGCCCTCCTGGGGTGAGCACAGGCGAGAAGAAGGAGCTGGCCAAGCGGAGCTTCTCGGGCCAGAGACCCCTGGTGGACAGGCAAAGCCGGAAGCTGGAGCCGGGAGGGTTTGGGGAGAAGTCTGTTAGGCCAAGTGGCGGTGACACTTCTCCCCGCTATGAGAGTCATCAGAACGGGACGCCTCTGAAAGCCAAAAGGTAAACCAGAAGCAGAGTCCCGGGTTTTTTTTTGTTGCTATGGTTCTGTTAGCTGGTGTTTCCGGCAGCACCTCACGCATGCTGTCCCGCCGTGTGTCAGGGCCCCGACTCCTTCCCTCTCGTTGTGCTCCAGGGTGACCGCCCGCCAAGGCCATCCTGTGTGAGCACCTCCATCATTAACTCTCACCCTGCTGTCTGCTTCTCTTGTGGTGTGTTGTTGTGGCTTCAGAACCGAGACTAGAGGCCCCATCTGGTAGTCCCGTATAGTGGCTGTCCCGGTACCACTCAAGAGTTCAGTCTCCGTATGTCTCCTCAGGGTCCAGCCAAGGGGCCATCACCACAGGGTTGGGGTCGTTCTCTGTACGTGGCGCCTGCTGAGCACTGGTCTCTTCCCCAGACTCCCCGGCCCTCGACTGTGCCAGGCAGTTTCTTTGCTGGGGCATTGCTGGCCTCCTGGCCCTGCAGAGAGAGATGCTCCCTGAGTGCCTTTGCTTTTCCATGAAAGACAAGCAATCCCACTCTGAGGATTCCCCCCACACACTTGGTGATAGCCAGGCAGTAAGCAGGGGCTGTGGGTGACTCCTGAGGCCCAAAGGGCGCCTCTCTAGACTCATAGGCATTGGGGTGGGTGCCCTGTGCTTGCTGTCTGCTCACTGCCCACAGCTGGCCTGGGATCAGGGTAGGGGCAGAGCCTGTGCAGCCTGCATCCCTCATGTGGCTCAGGCCCCCACCAGGTGCCGAGGAAGACAATTATGCTGCTTCCCGGCCTCCTCAAGAGTTCAGAACACACAGGCCTGGCCTGTAGTTCACTCGTATCTCTGAACAAGGCGCCACAGGAGAATGTGAGTTCTTGTCGGTGTGGATCTAGAGGAACTTTCTAGGCCCCACTTGGCAAGACCTGTCTTTACTTGAGGTTTCTGCCCCAGGGGAGTGGCCGTGGAGCGAGGCCTGGGCTCCCTCTGCGGCCTGGTTCTAAGCCTTGCCCCTTATCTCTTTACTGTAGCCCTGCTGGGTGTGGTAGGCAAAGGGAAAGGACAGGAGTACTAGCTGGGGGAGGGGGCGAGGACAGAGCAGCTTCTCAGGGGCTTTGCTGGAGCAGTGGTCTGGGGGGGCCTCCCCACGGGCTTCCGACAGCATGTAACTAGCCACCCCTTCTGCTGGGTGGAGGGGACACCAGGAGGAAATGACGGAGACGAGGGCTGAGCTTGGGTGTGTGCTGGGTGTGTATGTGGCTTCTCCTTCTTGGGCCGCTTCTGAGCTGACGAGATCCTCCTTCCTCTCTAGGTCCCCAGACGAGGCCTTGCCTGGAGGTCTTGGCTGTGGCAGTGGGACTGGCCACTACACGCTGGAGCGGGCAGCCCATGCTGCCTCTGATGTCACCGAAGCCTCCTGTGAGAAGGCAGAGAAGGAGGCCAAGCTGGCCGCCCAGAGGTCAGGAGAGCAGGGAGAGACCATGAAACCATTTGACCTGAACTACGGACGTGAGTGTCAGCTCACATCTTCAGGGGAAGAAGGATCCGGGCAAAATGGGGGGCAAAGGGGGTAATGGCCACTGCCATGGGTTGCTGAGTTTGCCCTTTCGCTGAATATCTTAGGTTCTGGGCATGTATTGGGTTAAGAGCAAAACAGGAAGGATTCCTGCCCTCGTGTTACTCACAGCCCTGCTGCACTCCCATAACAGCCCTGCAGTGTCTCAGTTTTAGAGATGGGAAGCTGAGCCCCAGAGAAGTTGAGTGGTTTGTCCAGGGTCACACTGCTGGTTAGGAGTGGAGCTAGGACTTAGGTGTGTGTCTCTCTGAGGCCTGTTTTCTTAACTGTGACCTGTTTGGTTGCAGATAACAGTGCATTGCAGGGTTGTGAGAAGGGTGTAGAAATCCTCTCTGAGTTTCCTAGACCCTGGTGATGGTGAATATGCTGAGGCCCAAGCCAGCTAAGTGCGTGGCCTTTTGACCTGACTCAGTGCTTAGATAGGTGTGTGTAGGGTTAGGTTATCCTTAGCTTTCAATAAATGGAACCATTGCCCTTCCTTGTGAATCTTGGTTCAGACGCCATCATTGAAAATTGCGGATCCAGCCCTGGGGAGGAGAGTGAGGTGGGCTCTCTGGTGGGCGAAGGCTTCATTGAGGTCCTGACCAAGAAGCAGCGTCGCCTGCTGGAGGAGGAGAGGAGAAAGAAGGAGCAAGCTGTGCAGGTATGGGGCGTGCTGTGAGGGGACGTGGGTCTGGGACACAGGGACACTGGTAGCCTGCGGAGTCAGAGTGTTCTGAATTCGGCCCGGGCTGGGAGAGGAAGAAAGGCATGCTTGTAAGCAGGTGCTGCCTCCCAGGGCCCACTGTCGCTATGCTCCATGGGGTAGATGGTGTGATTTCCCTGCTCTCAGAGGGTAACTGATCCTTGGTGACACCAGCTGAAACAGGCTGAGCAGGACCCAGACCTCTGTTAGCCCCTGAAGTCCAGCCTACTCCTACTGTGGTCTCAGATCTCAGCCCACTGGGCACTTGCAGGGGTGGTTTGGTCGGCACTGCAGTTCCCACGTGGTTGAGGTCTTAACCAACGGTTAGTGAATTCTCTGGAGCAGTTTCTGGGTGTGGTTTTGGAGCCCACGGTCGTCTGCCTGGGGGGAACTCATTTTTCATGTCTGCTATCGAGGCTGGACCCTATCTCCCTCTTCTCCGTAGGTTCCTGTCAAAGGCCGAAGTCTTTCCTCTCGAATTCCTCCTCGGTTTGCGAAGAAGCAGAACAACCTGTGCCTGGAGCCGGGTGACGGGCCGGTGCCTGGTAGCAGCCTGGGCACCGAGATCTGGGAGAGCAGCAGCCAGGGTAAGAGCTTGTGTTCGGACCCTGAGGCTTGGGCCGCCTCCCAGCCTGGGGCCGTGAGCATAGGCACAGCACTGCCTGTCTCCTGGCTTCCTCTGCCGAGTCTAGGGTTAATGCCGACTGAGCACCACGTGCCGCTGCAGCCTCTGAGCAGATGTAAGAGTTTCCTTGCCTGAAGCGTGGTGGCGAGCAGAGCATTCTGCATCCAGTGACGGGAAAGCGTGGTCCCCACCCCGCCTGGCTGAGGTCGCTCAGGAGTTGGTTTGACTGTTGCCCATGTCAGTTATCCTTCCTTCTTACCTTGAGGGCAAGCAGCAGATGACTATTTGGGAGAACAGGAGTCCACTGCTTTCCTGTCTGTGCTGTGTGCCCTTTCCTTGCCAAAAGGTTTCTGTCAACTCCTTCCCAAATGCTGTCTTAGACTTGAAAGCAGACTAGGGTGGCCCTTAATTTATAGAACATCTGTTTCCCCGAAATTAAAAGAATTTCTTATCCAGTGGTATTTTCCTGGTAATCTTTCATTTTAAAATATAAAACCATTTTAATTGAGCAGATTGTTCTTGAGTTCCTGCTTTGGGCAAGGGCCTGCAGGGCGGACAGCAGGAATTTGGTGAAATCATCCATTGCTAGCTCTTTTATTCAGAGCAGCTGAGGCTTCCAGAGTGAAGTGACAACCCCAGAGCCACGTGACAGACACCCAAGAGCCTGGTTCTGAGCCTGATTCTCTTAGTTCTGCCACACAGTCTGTCTTCATGTTTCTGATTAAAACCTTGATTCTAACACATTTCAGTGTAATATTGGGAAATTGTCAACTGATTAAAAGTACAATAGCCTTTTAGTAAATTTTGGTGTCAGTCAGTTTGGTTTTGTGAGAGTGGTGGGTGTCGCAGCGTAAATGTCCAAAAATACGTACTTTCTAGCTTGGTCAAGCAGGGTGGACCAGCTCAGGAGTCTCTCCTGGCTATCAAGGCTTTCCTCCTGGATTGTGCAGTATCTCGTGGTTGCTCAGACCAGGGGTGTGTGGATGGCTTCAGAAGGGCCCTGGATCTTGGAAAAGAGCTTGGGAGGTTTTGTGCACACAGACAGGGTCTGTGACTTTCGTTGGATTTTCAAGAATGGTTGAGCTAACAATAGTTAAGTAATTAGAGAGGTGCCAATTTGCAGAAATAAATAGTTGGCTTATGTGAAAAATGCTTTATCACAGCAGAGGTAGTGATACGGAGTTCTAATCCCTATGAGTGAGAAGTTGCTGGTGTGTTTACCTGGAGCTCATCGTCCATGAAATCTCGAGAAGCTCATTTATGGAGATGTTTCTGGGAACTTTGGGAAGTTCGAGGGAAAGTGTCAGACTGAGGAGGGAGGTGGTTTGAAGACTTGAGTTTGTGGGAGCTGCCTGTGGTCGTATTTCTGGCTTGGTGGTTCCTCTTTGATGTCCTGACTCTTGTCTTCCTCCTTGGCAGCCCTCCCCCTTCAGGCCTCAACCAGTGACTCCTGGACCAAAGCTGCCACTGCCTTCACCAGCACCGAGCCTGGCTCTGCTGAGGTGAGTGGCCCTCAGGCACCAAGTGTGTGCTCATAGTCCAGGGCCGTCCCAGCAGCCTGGCCAGGCAGTGAGCCTGGCTCATCGCTGGTCTCCAGTCTTGTTTTCAGGTGTGTGGGAGGGAGAAAGAGGGGATGGCCAGGGAGTGCCCACCCTAGGTCCTTGGCATCTGGCCGTGCTCACAGTGCAGGGGCCCACATGTACCAGGGATCACGGGCTTGGGCCAGGAGACATGTCATGCCCCAGGTCTCGCTCTGCGGGACTCAGGTGCTGACTGGCCGTGTGTCCTGCACAGCAGGGCTTTAAGAGCAGCCAGGGAGACAGCGGTGTTGACCTGAGCGCCGAGTCCCGAGAGTCCTCAGCGACCTCCTCGCAGCGCAGCTCCCCATATGGCACCCTGAAGCCCGAAGAGGCAAGCGGGCCTGGCCTGGAGCCCAAGGCTGACGGCCACAAGGAGCAGACTCAAAAGCAGTCAGAGCCAAAGGTAACCTGGAGCCCGGCTCTCAGGAGCCAGGCTAGGTAGAAGGGCTGGTGTCTTTTGTCTTCTTTTCCGGCTCCTGGTTCCTTGGAAGCTAGAGGTCAGGGTCACTCCAGACTGTGTGTCTCAGCCTCTTTGCTTTTCTGTCAAGGATTCAGAACAAGGCTCGGGACAGAGCAAGGAGCACAGACCAGGACCCATCGGCAATGAGCGCTCTCTGAAAAACAGAAAGGGCTCTGAGGGGGCCGAACGGCTGCAAGGGGCTGTGGTTCCCCCTGTTAACGGGGTGGAGATTCACGTTGACTCTGTGCTGCCGGTGCCACCCATTGAATTTGGAGTCAATCCGAAGGTGAGGCTTGAAGTGTTTCTTCTACCCACCTCCTCAACCCCCGTTTTTGGTGCTTGGAGAGGAAGGAGGAGTGGGGTGGTAGGTGCTGGCAGCACTCCAAGGGATGTTGTGGGGTGGCGTCGTGGGTGAAGAGCTGCTGTGGGCTGGTTCCGTCTCCCTGTCAATGCCAGGCAGGTTCTCAGACCAAGCAGGAAGCCAGGCAGAGAAGGGGGTGGCTGCCTTGCTTGGGGGCTGTCGGGGAACAGCTGGCTGTTTTGTTCACGTGGTGAATAATGCTTACTTATTTATGTGGCTGTGCTAGGTCTTAGTTGCGTCACATGGAGTCTTTGATCTTTGTTGTGGCATATGGCATCTAATTCCCTGACCAGGGATTAAATTTGGGCCCCCTGCATTGGGATCCCAGAGTCTTAGCCTCTGGACCACCAGGGAAGTCCCATACTGGGTTTTTTGAGTTGCTGAGGCTATGGGTCCATTTCACGTGTGTCTCTGCCAGAAGGTGAACCAGGGTGATTTCTGTGGCTTTGTTCCCCTTTTTCCCCCAGGACTCTGATTTCAGCTTGCAGCCTGGCTCTGCCTCTGGCCCCGTGGGGAACCCAGTTGTCAAACTTCAGGACGCGTTGGCCAGTAACGTAAGTCTGTGCTTCTGCTGCCCGGCTTTGTGGTCCCCGTCCCAGCAGGCCAGAGAGCCTCGCCAGCGTGCTCTGGGGTTGGGCCGGGCAGTTTGTGTCTTGGTGCCATTTCTAGTTACACACCCGTGGCAAGTTGTTCCCCAACCCTGGTTTTGTGAACTTAAAACGGAGTGGTGTAACTCCTAAGGTCTGCTGTATTTGGCACTTTGTGATTCAGAACTTTCCCAGTTCCACGGTCACACACGTTTGAGAATGCTGTGCTAAATAAACAAGTTTCTTTACTCTGCAGTTTCTCAGAAATCCTGTGACCTGCAGCTGGGCGCCAGGCATGGCAGGAAGGGGGTCTAGTGCTGTATTTCTGACCAAATTTCCAGGGCCTCTTTTTCACAGTTTGGGGGAAGGTGCTGAGACAGGAACTGGGACCTCCACGCCTTGCAGTGGGGCCTGCATGCTGGCCGCCAGCCGTGCTTCTGTTGCCAAAACGTGGCGGCCCTGCTGGAAGGCTGGGTCCGGGCAGGAGGGGTGTGGCTCCCCCGCCTGCAGGTGTCCCACCGTGTCCTTCCATCCAGGCCGGGCTGGCCCCCAGCATCCCCATCCTACGGCGGGACCACCACATCCAGAGGGCCATCGGTCTCTCCCACATGTCCTTCCCCACCGCTGACCTCACTCTGAAGGTAACTTGGGGCCCGGCTTGTAAGGGGGCAAGAGCAAGCAGACCCCCCCCCCCCCCAGCACACACACTGCACCCCCACCCCGGGGCCTAGCTTTGTGCCGCCTGCTGCCTTCTGGGCGGTAACTTCCATCTCCCCCCACCTCCTTGCTTCCAAAGATGGAGTCTGCACGCAAGGCTTGGGAAAACTCACCCAGCTTGCCGGAGCAGAGCTCGCCAGGAGGCGCCGGCTCAGGCCTGCAGCCCCCATCCTCCGGGGGGGCCTCCAGCGGGGTCAACTATAGCTCCTTTGGCGGCGTCTCCATGCCCCCCGTGCCCGTGGCCTCAGTCGCACCTTCTGCATCCCTTCCAGGTACCTCTCTCCTGGTCCAGCTCAGAGATCCTTATCCATTCCCTTGAGGGAAATACAGGGTGCATAGCCCTGAGCACCCCCTGCCTTGACCTAAGGAGCATGTTCCTGGCTGGGGGCCACGGGTTCCTGTGTGCTCTGGTCTCTGGCACTTGCTGCTCTCCTCTTCCAGCCCTGGGAGGAGACAGGACTCTGTGACCTCAGCAGGGCTCTCTCACCTCCTGGAGAGAGGCCCCAGCAGAGAGACTGTCGCATGAGCAGCTGTCTGAGCTCTGTGAAATAGCACAGGGTCTTGATGGCTGGGTATGGGGTCACCACACCGATGAGATGAGCTCACACCCGGGAAGGGTTTTGTATCAACTGAGCCTCAGTAAGCGGGAGCCAGTTTTACCCCAATTGTCACTGTCCTTGTCACGGTATCAGTGCCCGAAGGAGCCTGTGGGGATTCAGGGGGCCCAGCTGCCAGTGTCTCAGTGATGCGATTCCAATAGATCCTTCTGACCCTCCACTGTGGACTCAATAGCAGGGAGATGAAGAGGACTGTGACTGAGGGACCATGGCAGCCTCCTTCATGACCGAGCCCTTCCTGGGGGTGCGGGGCGGTGGGTGAGAGGGGAGGCCGGCTGCAGCGGCCCCTCCCCCCCAGGCTGCACAGGAGCCAGGGCTAGCTCTGCCACGTTCCCTCCCCCACTGCTTCGCGGGACCTGGGACAGCGAGACTTGATCCTGTTCCCCTGCCTTGAATTCTGTTTCCAGGCAGTCACCTGCCACCTCTCTACCTGGATGGCCATGTGTTTGCAAGTCAGCCCCGGCTGGTTCCTCAGACCATACCTCAGCAGCAGAGTTACCAACAGGTGATGCCAGTGAGACAGGTGATCCAGGGATACAGGGGAGGGTGCAGCACAGGGCGTGATTGGCTGCTTCATGTACCTGTTCACGGCTTGTCTCATGTTTTGCATCCCTCACGTTACTGCCCCACACCTGGCGCGTTACGGCAGCCAGTCAGTGTTTCCTGAGTGAACGCTCGAGAGCCGAGGAGGAGGGATGGAGCTGAGTGCTCTGGACCGCTTAGCTTTCCTTTCTTGACGCTCTCCCTCCTGCACCCTAGCTGGGGAATTCACTGAAATGGGATTCTCTTTGGTGATCAGGTATCCTTCTGATGAAGAGAAGAAAGGCCTAGACTCCCAGGCATGGATGCGTTAGAAAGAGGTAGTTGTAGAAGTGAGCAGGTGTCTGTGTTCTTGCACAGTGGGTACACTGCTGTGCTGCCAGGGGCTGCGTGTGGGAGTCTCCTCCTGAAGCTGGTGCTGGGCCTTCCACGGGGGGTCCTGTACCTGCAGAAACCAGGGAGAAGCGCCGCCCCAGGGGCAGAGGACACGGCCCGTCCTGGTCTTTTCAGAGCGTATTCTTAAACATTATGTCGTTTGGTTCTGCAAGGTCTCATAACTGGGTCGTAGCACACGTATTCCTGTGTCCGTGGCGTTTCCCATCCGCTGTTCAGTTTCTAAACCCACCTCTGTTGGATGTGGAGCTCGGGCTTGTTCGTCCTGCTGTGCAGGGTCAGTGTAGGGACGGTTGTGCTGGTCTGGGGCTGCTGCTAGTTCTCTGTTCTCTCCCGAGAAGGAAGGAAGCGCAGGCAGGCTGTGTTGAGTTCGCTTTGAGGGCGGTGTTGGCTGCCCCGGGGAGAAGGACTGGGTGGGGGTGAGGGGGTGCCGTTGGCGGGCTGGGAGAAGCAGCTTGCAGGGCAGTGTGGTGACCGCCCACCTCCTGTCTGCAGGCTGCCGCTGCCCAGCAGATCCCAATTTCCCTTCACACGTCTCTGCAAGCTCAAGCCCAGCTGGGACTGAGGGGTGGGCTGCCCGTCTCCCAGTCTCAGGAGATCTTCAGCTCCTTACAGCCCTTCAGGTGAGATGCCTGGGTTTGGGGGCCTTGGCGGCTGGTCCCTTGGCCACTGGTTGCTGTGCGTGGGTCTGGGGGTAGGGGTTGAGCTGGCCCGCGCTCTCAGTGTGTCTGTCCTGTGCTTTTGGCCTCACAGGTTTTCCTGTGTCTCATACAGCCTGTATGTTTGCTTAATATTGTGATGTTCAAGCTGGGGTCCCTAGACTAGCAGCAGCAGCAGCGTCTAGGAACTTGTTGTAAATGCAGGTTCTCAGGTCTCATCCCAGGCCTCTGAGTCAGAAACCCTGGGGCTGAGCCAAGAGCCCGTGTGGGAGCGAGCGCTCTGGGGTCTGAGGTGAGTGCAGCCAGTGCAGCCGCCTGCCTGACCCGACCGTCCATCTGGCTTTTGCAGGTCTCAGGTGTACATGCACCCCAGCCTGTCACCACCCAGCACCATGATCCTCTCCGGAGGCACAGCCTTGAAGGCCCCCTACTCAGCGTTCCCAGGCATGCAGCCCCTGGAGATGGTGAAGCCCCAGTCCGGCTCGCCCTACCAGCCCATGAGTGGAAGCCAGGCCCTGGTCTATGAGGGCCCACTCAGCCAGGCGGCCGGGCTCGGCGCCTCCCAGATGTTGGACTCCCAGCTCCCGCAGGTCAGGAATTCAGTCATGCCTGCCTCCAAGCCCCAGATCTCTTTTCTTCGTGACCCTTTTCCCTTGTATCTGCCTCTTGACGCGCTCTGGCTTCCATGTGGCTTGTGGCCGCTGTGATTGGTGCCTGGGCTCAGGCCCCGGCCAGCTCCTCCACCAGCCGTGAACAGCCCCGAGACCTGGCTTCTGCAGCCTCTCCCCCTACCCAGGCTCAGGGGTGCTGAGTGTCCTCTCTCGTGTTAACTCATGCTTCTAGACCCTCTAACCCTGGTCCCACCACCAACCCCCATGTGCTGCAAGCACCACGTGACAAGATCTCTGGTTCCACGTCCTCCTGGCCCCTGGGCACATTAAACTGTTCTGAGGGTCACTCCCTTTCTTTGGACCCTGGATCAGTCTTGAGCTCCACTCCCGTGTGGTTCTCAGCAGGGTGGACGTCTCTGTGGATGACCCTCCCGCAGCCTCCTCACCCCCAGTGCTCCGCTCACCAATCCAGGGTCTGGACTGGTCCCTGCCCACAGCTGCACCTCTCCCATCATCTTGGGCTTAAGGGTCCTACCCAGTCACCACCTTGAACTTTTCACCCCCTTCCTCTAGTGACCAACTACCTCCAAACACGTTTTAACGCTCCCTTCTACTTGCCTACTCCTTGTGAGGTGGGGTACACCACGCTTGTAGGATCTTAGTTCTCTGACCAGGGATTGAACCTGTGTAGTCTGCAGTGGAAGTGTGGGGTCTTAACCACTGGACCACCAGGGAACTACCCCCTCCTTGTCGTTTGCACTCCGCTTCCCACCCCCACCTCTGTGCTCACCCATGTTAAACCCTGGCCTGCCTCTGCTCATCTGCTTGTGGATGGATTCAGGCTAAATAACAGACCCTCCAGATGGCCCTCCACAAACACAGGGCCCTCCCCACCCGACGCACAGCCCCCTGGATGCACAGTTCCCGATGGCTGGATTCAGACTGAATACAGATCCCTCCAGATAGCCCCCTGCACTCACACAGGGCCCTCCCTGCCCGACGCACAGCCTCCTGCACGCACAGTTCCCAGTGGTCTGGGTACCTCGCCTCTTCATTGCCTTCTCCCCGCCTTGACGGTGCCTCCTGTGTCCACAAACAAATGTGAGTCATAACCAGGAAGAGACCATCTACAAGCTCCCAGCACCACGACTCTGAAGGACGGAAGGGACCCTGGGGCGAGGGCAGCAGCTGTTCTTACTTATCCGGGTGCTGCGGCAGCATGCGTCAGCGCCTGCCATCCTCAGCCATGAGGGTCTTCCACCCTGCGTCCGCATCCCCAAGCAACCCTGTCCTTCCTCTTTCTTCTAAAAAAGGAAACCCTTTAAGGGCATTAGCCCACTCCATATTACTGAACCTGACCTTCATCCTCCTCCTCCTGATCGGTCAGTAGCATCTGACGCAGGGTTCATGCTCGCTGGGCCACGAAGACTCTGCCCCTGGTTCTCCTCCCTCCCTGAGGCCCTCTTTCTCAGTCTCCTTTGCTCTTTCCTCCTCGCCTCCCTGGGCAGTAAGTCACTGTGCCTCCTGGGCTCTGTCTAGACCTGTGTTTCTGAGCCTCATCCCAGCGCAGCTCTCCCTGGTTCTGTCTTCAGTCCAGACCTGTCTCTTGGACTTGAACTTAGGCCCAGTGGGCTGCCCGCCGTCTCTGCTCACAACTCACAGTATCTCAAACTTAAGGGAAGCAAACTTCATGCCCAGCAGGGTCATCTTTGGGTTCCTGTTCCCCTCAAGCCCCTATTGATGCTTAAGCCCAAAAGTATTCAGAGTCTGGGCCTTTCTCGTCCTGTCTACCCCGCTCCCACCCTCACCCCCGTCAAGGCTCTGCACGGCTAACGTGTGACTGCCACTCGTCTCAGTGATGCGATTCCAATAGATCCTTCTGACCCTCCACTGTGGACTCAATAGCAGGGAGATGAAGAGGACCGTGACTGAGAGACGACACGTGGTGGCCCCCGGCCCCCCCTCCTGAGGGTCTCCTGACCCACCTCCTTGCTCTCTCACACCTCGTTCCAGCCTTGAGGAGTATCCCCTTGGGCCTGGTGGTTCCCGCCTCGTCCTGTCATAACAGGCTTCAGGAGGATCCAAAGACACTGGGGACCCTAAGCCCCAGACCCCAGTGTTTTCTGTCGCCTTTGGAGGGAAAGCATAAAGGACTCCTGCCTGTTTGTGCCACAAAAGGGGGCGCAAAGATACCCATGCTCTCCAGCTCCCCTCTTTGCGGGACTCACTGGGTCACTACTTAGGAGGAGGTCTCTGGGCCTCGCTGACCTTTCTGTCTTTCCTCTCGACCCCCAGCCTGTGGTTCTTTCTCCTGCTTTCCTGAGAGTGTAAAATTAGGGTGATTTCTGCTGCGGTCTGTCGAGAATCTGTCCTTCTGGGGAAGAGCCTTGCTTCCTCCTCGGGAATGAGAGCCTGAAGCGCGACACAGGCTTGCTCTCGGACATGCTTGCTGTCCTCCTAACTGTGCCCTTTGCCCAGCAGCTGACGATGCCCCTGCCTGGCTCCCAGCTGCCTCTGCCCCGGTACGGCTCCGGGCAGCAGCCCCTGCTCCTGCCACAGTCCATCCAGCTGCCCCAGGCGCAGAGCCTCTCGGTCGGGGCCCCCCGCAGGATCCTCGCCCCTGGGTCCCAGCCTTCGGTCCTCAACACCAGCAGAGAGGTGAGGCTCACTCCCATCTTGCTGTGATCCTGGGATGCGGGGTGGGGGAGTCTTGGCTTTGGGGGACCCTCCTGGTAAGTCAGGAGCCATAGCTGTCATGCAACGTGGAGGCTCTCGGCCTGACCAGACGGCTGGCTTCCTGCTCTCTGCCAAGTCCTCTCGGTGCCAGGGCAGGAGCTTCTTGCTCACATGTCACCAACAGCATGGACAGGCCTGGGTGCGTGGATCAGGATGGCCTTAGGGGGCTGCTGCTGAGGTCCAGGGCCAAAGTCCTCGCCAGCTCCAGGGTTCCACAGAAGGTGGCCTCAGGGTGGTGCGCAGTCCATCCTCCCCATCTCGTGGCACCACCACCCCACCCCGTAGCCCCAGCTCTGCGCAGGGTGGTGGTGTGGGGGCAGCTGTCCCCAGGGCCCTCCTGTGACTCTGTCGCTTCACTTCCCGGTGTTTGTAGTCCTCTCAGATGGAGATGAAGGGCTTCCACTTTGCCGACAGTAAACAGAATGTTCCTTCAGGAGGCTCTGTGCCGTCGCCGCAGACCTACAGGTAAAGCGCCACCCTGGGGCTGGGTGCCCACAGCCGAGCCCTTAAGGTGCAGTCACGGGCCCCGGGAGAGCAGGGCGAAGGCAGGGCGCTGAGGCGGGGTCGCCTTTGTCAGCCCCCTGTCACCAGGAAGCTGCAGTGTGGGGGTGCAGGAGACTTGGGGATGGTTCTGCTTTAATCATTATCATAAACTGTTCTGATGCCGGAGAACTTTGTGGAGAGATAGGGAAAGGAAAGTCTGATGATACAGTAACATCAGGGCCGACCCTGGCTACTGGCAGCCTTCTCACCAGATTCTCCATAAAAGACTCACTGGCATGGGGGGTGCACACTCTGGAGCGGGGATTCCTCTCCCGGGGCCACATGTCCCCCATGGGCTTCTGACCCACCAGGGCTTGCTGCTCTGGGCTTGTGGGCATGAGTGGACCTCCTCTGGATCCGCCTCCACCTCTAGTAAGTGTCCCAGGTCGCTTGTTGGATTCAGAGGGGGCTTGGTGTATGTAAGTCATGAGCTGAGTTATGGCTGACCCTTGAACAATACAGGGGGCAGGGGTGCTCACCGCCCACGTGGTTGAGAAGTCAAGTATAACTTCACAGCCCTTCATATCCATGGTTCCATATTTGAGGATTCAGCCAACTGTGGGTTGTGTAGTACATGTATATTGAAAAAAATCTGCGTGTAAGTGGACCCCATACAGTTGTTCAAGGGTCAGCTGTTCTTAGTATGTTAGAAAGTTAGGGAGCGTCCAGTTCTGACAGCGTTTGCACTGACTGGGAAGGCCCCACACTCTGGGGTCTGGCCCGAGGGTTGGCACAGTCGACTCTTGTTAACCATGGAAGGTTCCTGGAATTCCCTCCTGTTTACCTGTGAGGAACACAGGTGTGCATGACCTGTAGTGCCTGTGCGAGGTGACCGCGTAGCTGGCTGAGCTCACCTCCCACATAGCCAGCCGTGTGCCCCCTCGACCCGGCGCGTGGAGGCCGAGTCGCCCTCCTTCACGTCAGTCCTTCTCCAGCTGCAGTTCCTGAGAAAGGGGTTTTTGTCAGTCGCCCCTGTTTCATTATCTTTCTTGTTCTTGTTTTCACTCTCTTGGCTTGCTTTTTTCCTGTTTGTTGTTTTCAAGTGTAATTTTCATATAGGCCAAAACTACAGACCTGTAAAAAGTATATATGGGCAGCAGCAGCAGCAAACAATGAGTTTGCTTGGGAAGAAAAAAGGAAGCTTCAGGCACAGATTCCCCTGCTGCCACAGGCAGGTTTTACCCTGTCTGATTGAAGAGCCTTCCTTGGAGGCTAACCTGGAAAAGGCACGCTCACGTAACAAGAGTCGCCTGTGTCCATTCACTGTCGGCATGGCAGCCACAGCTTTGTTTTTGGGAGAATGCTTAGAAAAGACAAGCATACCTGGTAGCTTTTGTTGGTGTCTTAGTGAGGCTGGGAGAATGGGAGTGGTTTACAGTGCAGTGTTGCCCAAATTTTCTGGAGACAGGGCTTTGGATGCATACCCTGTCAAAGAAGGGTTCCTTGACCAGATACTTGGGTGGGGTTGACGTGTGAGCCCAGGAGGGCTTGCTAGGGAGTTAGGGTGCACCTCAGCAGACGGCCTGCATTCCCCTGGCCCTCAGGGGGTCTTGTTGAGCTCTTCTCATGACCTTTGACCACATCCTTTTCCACATGTTATTTAGTCACTAAGTGGTGTCCGACTCTGTGGCCCCATGGCCTATAGCCCACCAGGTTCCTCTGTCCATGGGATTTCCTAGGCAAGGATACTGGAGTGGGTTGCTGTTTCCTTCTCCAAGGAATCATCCCTACGTAGGGATCGAGGCCGCATCCCCTGTGTTGGCAGTTGGATTCTTTACCACTGAGCCACCAGGGAGGCCTTTTTTTCCGCACAGCACCTGATTAATTAACATCCTTGGAGCTAGTTGTCTGTCAGTGGAATACATGTAGAAAGGTGATTTACATTTTTATTACTTCTGGTATTCTTTGCTACCCAGTACCCTCTTAATTCCCAAATGAAGAGTGGAAGGATACTTGGCATAACTCATGTATCAGGCTTTTGGGGGATGGGGGTGGGGCACGCTGTGTAGCTTGCAGGATCTTAGTTTCCCAGCCAGGGGTTGAACCTAGGCCCCAGCAGTGTGAGCACCGAGTCCTAACCTCTGGATCACCAGGGAGTTCTCTTCTTTTTAAAGTCTGAACTCCTATTGGAGTTTAAGCTCATTTTTATTTTTTATTTATTTCATCAATTATATATACACATATGTATCTGCCGTGGCACTCAGCTTGTGGGATCTTAATTCCATGACCAAGGATTGAACCCAGATCCACGGCAGTGAAAAGCAGAGTCCTAACCACTGGACCACCAGAGAATCCCTTCATGTGTCAGGTCTTATAGCCCTTTTGTCTGGAGCATCAAGTTGGTCCAGACCCTCCAAACCTGAGAGACGGTTGGTGACCGTCTGTCCTTTGGTCGGTGTCTGCCCATGGTGGGGACCTGGCCACCGCCCCTCAGGTGCGTCCCTGTGAACTGGGTTGGAGGTGCCAGGGCCCCGTGGCGGCACCCTCGCCCCCTGTGCCCTGGCTGTCTGGGTCTGTGTCCTCCGATGGAGGCTTGACTCCGTTTCCATGGTGACGCGTGTGTTCTCACCCCCTCCTTTGGTTTTTTCAGGCCTAGCTCTGCTAGCCCCAGTGGGAAGCCCTCTGGATCAGCAGTTAACATGGGCTCTGTGCAGGGACACTACGTTCAACAGGTAGAAGATGGCTTTCCAGACCCTCCAGCCCCGGATGCTTAGGCCCGTCTCCAAGTGCCAAAAGAGGAGGGACTGTCCAGCCTGTTTGCGTGCTCCTCTTAGAAAGAGACATGCCCTAGCGCTTAGAGAGTGGCGCCAGGAGCCCGCGTCCCTCCTGGAGAAGGTGCTTCTCCTTTTGCCGGGCGTCTGGATCCTTCCTTGTCCTGCTGAGAAGGGAGGATGCGGGTTCCTCGGAGGAGGTGATGCCGGAAGGGGGACTCTCCCTCCGTAACAATTGGGCTGTGAAGGCGCTGGGACCCGGTTAGGCCCAGGGGTCAGCTCTAGAAGCTGGGGGTATGCAGGCGCATGTGTGCCTGGCGCGTGTGCCTGTGCGTGCTGGCCTAGTAAGTGCTGTGTCTCGTCCTTGTTTTGGCCGGGTGGGGTCCAGACGGATTGACATTGTCCCGTTTATAACGAGAGGGCTGGCTCAGCATCTTTGCCTTCGGCACGATCTCTTCACTCCTCTAAAATGTGACCGAGCTCCAGAGCTCAGACAAGTCAGGTGTGGGATGTTAGCAAGACAGCCTTCCTGGCTGGTGGAGGTAGAGGCTCCGTTGTTCAGTTCACTTCTCCTAACTCAGTTCCCCAAGGGTCACTCTCTGAGTTGCTAGGCCTGAGCTTCTAAAGCTTCCTTGAGAACTCACACCACTGTGTGAGGGGCAGAACCAGGCTGCTCACTGCTCACCCCTCACTGTGCAGAGCTGCAGCATAAGGGGGCCCTGGCTGTGACCCTGGAGGTCACACTAGGGGCTTGGAGAAAGGCTCCCACAAAATGGGAGTCAGGTGGGTTGAGGATCTGGGAGGCCGAGTTGGATGAGAGGCCCCATGCCCCTGCAGCACGGACGGGGGTGCGTTGATTTGAGAAGGCCCCTGGGGCGGCCTTGGGTGGGCCGCTCCTGCAGAGGCCCCTGGGCGGCACAGATGCTTCCCTGGGACCCGGGCCTCCTGCCTCTCCCAATCACTGCACTCAGCGCCCTGGGAGGGAGCAGAGCCTTCTCAAGCCAGGGTCCTGCCCAGGAGAGGCATTTCTGAGTCTGGTCCATGACTGAGAGATGGGCTTCTTAGGGTAGCTTTCCTCTGACGCAGGAGCAGGAAGCAGGTGGTGGGACCATGGGTCCTGGCAGGTATGTTTGCACAAGGCTGACTTCCTCTGTCTCCGTCCATCTGTCCAAAGGCAAAACAGCGAGTGGATGAAAAGCCCGGCCTGGGAGCCGTGAAGCTGCAGGAGCCGCCCTCAGCCGCTTCCCCGCTGAAGCGAACCGGAGCGATCAAGCCCCGGGCGGTCAAGGTGGAGGAGAGCAAGGCCTGAGGGGCTGGGCCCGGCCTGCCCGGGAGGACTCTGCCCTTGGCCTTGCTGCTGCCTATCGCTGGGGAGTCTCGCCGAGGGATCCCCCATCCACTCACCTGGCCCGGACTTCAAGATCTCCCTTCTCTCCTCCATTCCTGAAAGCTCCGTTGTCCAACCGGCTTGCACCCGTGGATCTCTGGCATTGACCTGCTTGCTTTAATACGAAACAAACAAGCAAACGACTCCATTCCCATGTCCTTTCCACCATGACCGCGGAGTGACCGAGCTTGGAGTGACTGAGCGTCATGCCGTGCAGACTAACCCTGCCCTCCCCCACTTCCTCCCCTCCCTGCCTCCCGTCCCCGGGGCACCGTGGTCTGGCAGCAGGGCCGTTTTAGTTTGAGGCTTTTTGTTTTAAAAAGCAGCTATAGGTTTTTACAAAAGAGAAAGGAAAAGAAAACAAAAACACAAGCTTTGTATAGCTGGACTTTTATCTGTCCTTTGCCACCCTCTCCCTGACCTCCCCCTGTCGCAGTAGTTTCCTGTCACCTCCCCTGCTCAATGTGGTAGGTCACTGCGGTACCGGTAGGGGTGATGCTTGGGAGCACGCCTCTCCTGCTCTCTCTCTGCTGGTTACTTGCAGAAAGAAGTGGTTTCAGACACTGCTCCTGAGCTTGGGAAGCGGTGACTTCCGGGGGCGGGGAGTGGGCAGGTGGACTGGCATTTTAATGGCTTCCACCTCTGGGCTGATGACCACAGGGAGCTTATGGTCAGTCCATTGACGTTGATGATGTTTTTAGCCTAAGAATGACACAGAACTTCTGTTTCAGACTCTCCCTAAAGCTGGTGGGGACACTGCTGGGAACGTGAGGTGAATCATGGAAATAAAAGGCAGTGGTGTGTTCCCATCTTGACCCGGGCGGTGCCAGCTGACAGCACCACCACCCCCCCATCAGTGCCGGCTGCACCCATAGGGACTGATGTTTTCTCATGCTCCCTCTTCTCCGAGCTGCCTTGTCTCTCTGGGTCCTCCTGTCCATCCACCTCTCCCGCAGCTCGGCACTGGAAACCCTGCTGTCCTCTGTGGCGACAGGCGCCTGGACCATTGTCACTAGAGATGACGGGTGTGGTCGGGTCTGTCACCGCGGCCCGAGCTCTGGGAGGAGGCAGGAGGGCTTGCTTCTCTCCCTTTCTCCCCTCCCAGCTACAGGCCCAGGCTGTGGGGCCAGAGAGGCCTGAGCAGGGCAGTGGGGTCTCCGGTCTTTCCAGAGGCCAGAGCAGGGCCCAAGGGGAGGTGGGCAACTGCAGGGCTGTCAATGCTGCCAAAACAGCCTGCCTAGCCTTTTAATGTGTGCAGAGCTATTGCTGTCCAAATGTGGGGGCATTTATGCTGTCTGTTTGCTTTTAAAATAAGTGCTACAAGGAAATCATCCTAAACTCCAAGGAGAGACGAGGGGAAATGTGAAGTTTTGCCTATGCTCTTGAGAGAACTAAGCTGCCATCAACCTGCTGTTGCTGGCAGGTCTGGGGGAGACTTGGCTCGAAGGACGGGAGGCAGGGAGATGGCACGGCCCACAGAGTCCACCTGCAGTGTCGCCCAGGTGGTGACGGCTACTCGGGCTGGGACTTTAGGCTCTGGCTAGTGTGGAACACGGAAAGAAGGGCCTTAGGAACCGCTGTAGTCACTTGTTGCTCTTCGCTGCTTTAAGGAAGCGTGGGAACAACAGCCTCTGGCAAAAGGTGCAGGGTTCCAACGTTTCATCAGTGGTGTCCAGCACTCCCCTCCTTGCCTCCACCCTCAGACCTTACTTCTCACTGGCGTGTGTTTTTGTTTTTTCTTCTCTCTCATCCCCTAAACCTTTACGCTGAAGCCCTTTCTTGCAGGGCTGCCACTGGACAGAGCTCCCTGTGTGCCCACCTGCCCTTGTCTCCCTCTCCCTGTGAGCGCCTGGCTGCTGTCCCCACCGACAGGGCTCCCTTCCCCTCCGGTGGCCCCTTCAGGGGCCTCACACTCTCAAACAGAAACGTGGCCAGACCCCTCGCACCTGATTCCAGTGCATATTGTCAAAAGGAAAAAAGGCTTTCTCATTTTGAAATTCAGCAGGACAGGCCTGGATGCTGTTACAAACTCTTTTAAGATGTGTCCCTTCAGGTGAACCTGCCCTCAGAGTGACAGTACTTCCTGTTTGAGAAAACAAAAAATGAAAGGGTCACCTGTTCTCCCTTTTCTCTACCTACCCCTGTATTCCCCCCACCCCCAATAAAAACAGAAAACACTAGAATTTATTTATATGTATTGATGTCGTAGGTCTAGGTGGAAAAAGAAGTAAATGTTTCACTGCTCTATTTATATATAATGTCTGAATTATTCTGTGCAGGAAAGGCCAGGAAAATTGCATGTGAAGTTCAGTGCGTTTACCACCTTCGTGTGCCCAAACTGCAGTCTCTTTCCGGATAAGACAGATTTTACAATGAACTCTGGAGGCAGAGGGTGGGCCCTGGGCCCACCCAGCACCCCATCCCTTCCTTGGTCTGATGAAATGCAGTAATTACTGCAGAGATGTCTGGGGGGCAATCTCTCTCCTTTCATGTGGTTTTGGAGCCAATCTCCAGGTAATAGGACTTGGGGTCATATTTTGCCTTCATATCCCCATCCTCAGAGTACAAATCCACACGAGGCCTCTGCCAGAAAGCCTTGGGTCGACCAGTGGGAGGGAACACGTAAAGACTAGCACTCAACAATTTTCTGCCCCTGGGCAGGGGCAGGGGTCAGAGCCCTCTCACTTTGCCTTCAGCTACTCAGCTTACCCTTCTTTGCCATGCTGGCTGCTCCACCCTGGCCGTTGATGATGCATCCTGTTCCTCGGCAGCCAGTGACCCTGTAGTTACTGTGTGTCGTCCAGCATCAATTCCTCTGTGGGGTAAAACCCAAGAGCGTGAGCTCATGTACCCGTGAGGCCTCGTCTACCCCCTGAAGATTTCTTTGCCAGCTGTATTTAGTTTTCGTTTCCTGTTTTGAATTAATGTTACTGTTTTCAAACTTGGAATTCCTACACTTTGGGCTCCAGGTTCCTTCAGGGGAAAAACTAAAGAATGACTGTTACCCAGAAAAATCGGTCAGTCCGGTTCCAAAGCCATGGTCATTGCAGCAACTTCTGGGGACACTGGGGTATCTTGTTACATACTGATATCAGTTCTCTCCAGCTCTGCCCTCACCCTCCTGTCTTGTAGATCTGCCTTCTGGATGGTTGATGAGGTTTGTCAAGGGCTGTGGAGGCTCAGAGTGTGCACTCACAGGCATGGTCTCACTCAGAACTGGCATGCCGAGGCAGCGTGGGGTCAGCAGTTGAAGCCCCCTCCCTCCTGTGTGGTTCTCCTCCGCTGAGTAGCTGCATGTTACCTCTCAAATCTGTATTTGTCCCATTTTTCTTCTTGCAGAGCTAGCCTGGGTTAGAAGGTCTGTTGGAAATGGCCTTCGAGCACCAAGGACACTAGGGTACTTGAACTTAGTACTATTCTGTGATGACTGGGAAATGCAGACTTCAGAAAGCTGGCTCTTCCAGTTTGAAAAGTGAACCGGACCTAAGACATCACCAGGACAGGAGCAGCTCAGTGTTGGGGTCGGACACTGCCGTCCAGCCATGCCCTCCACCGGGACCACGAGTGCGTATCTGGCCAGCGATCTTCCAGGCGTATCCAACCTGCAGTTCACCATTTCTCCACCCCAGTTAGGTGACCTCCAGGAGGGAGCAGTGTCCCCGAGGCCCTGCCTTCAGCATGTTACAAAGCCTCAGAGCGGAACTTTCTGTTGAGGCTCCTTGTGGACGACCTTCCGTTTGTGAAAATGGGGTCCTGCACACCAAGCTTTCGACCTCATGCCTTGCATAGTAAAAAGCGTTGGGGTTTTTTGTTGAGAGGGTTGTGGTTTTTGTTTTTGGCTTTTTTAATCTTATTTTGGCCTTTCCTCTCTTTGTCTTTTCATGTAGACCAGATATTTGAAAGGGCAGACGATGGCTAAAAGGTGTAACGTGCAGCTTGTTTCTATGTTGTTTGGGGGAGCTTTTACCTTAGATGGGAAAATGGAACCCTGGATTCACCAGGCCATGGTGACACCCTCCTCCTTCACCCTTCCCTCTGGTTCAGTACCTGTTGTTTCTCCTTTCAAATATGTGATTGTACTAGCTCTTTCCATATGAAAGAATTCTCCTTATTTAAATAAAAAAAAAAGTTTAAAAAAAAGACCCACTGAAACCAAACATGCTTTGTCAGGCTGTGTTCCTCGACCATGTCATTTGACTAGAAATGGAAGAGTTCATTAAGAGACTGGGCAATGTGAGGGTGAGGAGGGGCTGAAGCCTGGGGTTATTAAGGTGGGTCTTCCCAGTGGGCAGACGTTAGCACTGCCTGCCCCCTGCCCTTCCTCACCCCACTCCCCTTGTGAAATGGCTGGGTCACAGAAGGTAAGTGCTTGACTTGTGTTTTGTTGCCACTTCTAATGTCCCTTTTCTTTTGCTGTAATAGGAGAGGTAATAAAGTACAAAGTTTTGCGGTACTTTGGGCTAGGAAAACAGAGCAAGCCAGGTGTGGGCCGTGAAGGATGGAGAGCTAGGATCTGGGTTCGAGTGGTAGTCCTCCGTTCTGCCCTCCACTAGATGCGTCACCTTGGGAAAGACACCACTGCCCAGAGCCACAGTTTTCATAATTATAAAATGTGGGTTGTAAACAGTACCTACTGGGCAGGGTACTGTGGATGCAGAGGCCATGGCAGCGTTCAGCACAGTGCCTGGCCCCAGGTAAGGATGTAGGAAACTTACACATTCAGGAAGTTTAACACTTTTCAAAAAGAAACCCTGGGCAGGCGTGGTCCCTGGGTTCCCTGCTCCCAGGAACCTGGCCCTGAGGGAGCCTGCGGGGCAACAGGAGGGAGGCCCTGGGTCCTCGGGACCAGAGAGCCCCTACATTGAGCCCAGCCCCACTCCGCTAGGGCCCGAGACGCCCTCTGGCTGCAAGCAGGTGAGCCTGCGCTCCCTCCTACATAGCCCGGGTGAGAGTCACCTGCACTACCTAATGCTGGGTGACGAGGAAGGCAGGAACGAATCGTAATTCGTAATTAGACTTGTAGTAAATACCCTTCCATCTCGGAGCTTAGTCGCTAGGTCGTGTCCGACTCTGCGACCCCATGGACTGTAGCCCGGCAGGCTCCTCTTGTCCATGGGATTTCCCAGGCAAGAATACTGGAGTGGGTTCCCACTTCTTTCTCCAGGGAATCTTCCCCACTCAAAGGATCGAATCGCCTCTCCTGCATTAGCAGGCCGGGTTCTTTACCGCTGAGGCACAGGAAAGCCCGTCCAGGAGTACTGACTCCCAGATAGACGAAGGTAGGCTAAAAAGCAGGGCTGCTTTCCTGCCCGTTAATCGTTGGGTCATTCGCTTGACCGGAAGACAGCCATGTCCCGCTGCAGAGCAGGCTCGGAGGGGCCCCTCGGGCCGGAAGGTGGGGGGCACCGCCGGGCCGGGGATGGGCCTCCGCGTCACACCGATCGAAAAGCCGATACGGTCGCACTGTGTCGTTTAACAGATGTAGCCGTGTATCTCGTGGCGCAAAGGAACCTGGACTCCCCAGCCGGGAGTCACAGACTTAAAAGACTGACAACCCTCCGGGATGTCGCACATTCTTGGAGCGCCGATCTCGGCTCGCCCAGTGCGCAGGCGCGCTGCACCCCGCCCCACTCCCGCGCCCCGGCAGGCCCCGCAGGCGCGGCGAGTCGAGCGTCGAGCGGGCCAGTGGGCAGCAAAGAGTGCCGAGCGGCCTCACCCACTACCAACGGTCGGCCTCGCCGCTCACCCCCGCCCCCAGGCAGGTCTGAGGCACAGGGAGCGGCTCTGCGGGGACCTGAAGAAACAGCAGTACGTTTGTGGCGCCGGGGCCCAGAGCCCAGTCGGGTCCCCCAGGCAGGTGAAACCCTCGGGAGAGAAGCGGAGTGCCGGGCAGAGGAGCGGGGCTCCCAGGGCGGACAGGGTCCCGGGCGAGAAGGGGGTGCCCCGGGCCGACGTAGCGGCAGGAGGGAAGCTTGTCGCCCTGAGGACAGAAGGGGGCCGCCGCAGGCCAGAGGCGGCGTTGCTGTGAGAACGCGGGGGAGGGGGGGGTCCTCACGGCACCTGCAGCCTCCAGAGAAAAGTGGGCCCGAGGGATGGGGGGAGCCTCGGGAAAGAGATGGGGTGCCCGATGTAGACGCGCCCTCAGGTGAGAAAGGGGGCGCGACGGGAGGGCGGCTCTTGGCGTAGACGGGAGGCTCTGAGTCTCGGGGGTTGGGGAACGGACGGAGGTCACCGGCTGTAAGCCGGCCACACTACCCAGGTGGACAGGGGCCCGGGGGTCCAACGCTGTCACTGACCGGAAGGGCTCCGCAGGTGGTGTCGGAGTGAGGGACTCTTCAGTCCTGAGGTGGCCACCTCACCGCGTGTGACTGCCGGTGAAAGAGGGTCCTGATGTCACAGCCTCCTCCTAGCTTGCAAGGGAGCCACCGGTGTTCTTGATGATAGCTTTTCCTCTGCTTTTCCAGGGCATCCTCCTCCCCCCGCCTGCTTTTCTGCAAGATGTTGGGATTCTTGCAGCACCCTGTGGTGGTGACCGCTGAGGTGAACTTGAATATGGTAGCTCTGACCGCGGTGGGATTGCTGAGCCGACTGTGGCAGCTTGCCTATCCAAGGGCCGTGGTGTAAGTCAAGCAACTCGATTCTGGGGGCCTCCAGAAGGAACTGTAATTTTTTTCAGTGCATTGATGAGTGGAAGTGCCTTTTTGAGCCCCATAAAATGGGAGAGCCAACTTCTGGGCTTTCTTGGTGATGGATGCCTTGGCAGTTAGAGGAGAGACCAGCTTGTCCCCAGGACAGCCCCTGCAGAGTCCACCTGTTCAGTCTTGCCCCGTAGGTCAGTAGTAGGTGCAGTAACCATGATGGATGACCTTTGACAGTCCAGAGAGTGGAGGGCAGAAGACTGAGGAATTTGGAAGCAAGTCCTCACTGATGGTAGAGTACGTGTTCTTTGTCATAATGAGAAATGATTGTTGTTATTATTAAAGGGCTGTTAATGATATGATTAATATATGTGTTTCTTTTCACTTAACTTTTTATTATGGAAAACATCAAACATATACAAAAGTACAGAGAATGATATATTAGTCACCCAGTTGCAATAGTTACCAGCTCAAAGCCAACTCCCTCCCTGCAGTGGGTTTTTTTGAAGCACATCATAGACACTATATTTCATTCATTGATCAATTTAGTATCTTTAAACGATCAGGATTCTTGAAAATCACAGGATCACAGTAGCATCATTATGCCTAAGAAACTGACAGCAATTCCTCTGTGTCAGCAAGTGTCCCTGATTGTCTGAAAGAGGTTTGCTGCAGTTGGCACCTCTCCCTTTTACACCTGCGACTGTTTTGTTGGGTCACCAGCTCTGATTCTGACTCTCAGCTGCAGACACGCAGGTAGACAGCCAGATCAGCTTTGTGTCCAGGAGGGCTTTGGTAGACTGGCTCGTGGTACATCCTAACCTACACGCAGGGAGAGAAGTAGAATCTGTGTCAGAAAAGCCTCCTGAATGCCCAACTTCTGGGGGGCATTTCCCTCCTATCCTTGTGGATGTGTGGTGCTGCACATGTGTCTTAATATTCAGGGATGCCATGCAGCTGGGGCAAAAGATCCAACCTTGACTGGTCACTCTCCAAAGTCATTTGGAAACAAAGGTGTACATTGATCCTCATACCTTTTGTGTACAGTTAAGATCTCTAGCTGAACATAACTTGGGTTTGCTTTGCAGTTTTGATGAAGTGTATTACGGGCAGTACATCTCTTTTTACATGAAGCGGATCTTCTTTTTGGATGGCAGTGGACCACCGTTTGGTCACATGCTTTTGGCCTTGGGAGGTAGGATTCCTTAGTAAAAGAAGTGGCTCTTTAACACTTAAACATGGAAGTTCATGACAGCAGAAGCAGTGTCTTGTTTTATTTATTTATTTATTTATCTATCTGGAACTGCCCTGGGTCTTCATTGCTTTGCACTGACTTTCTCTTAATTGTACCGAGACGGGGCTAGTCTTCATTGTGGCACACGGGCTTCTCATTGCAGAGGCTTCTCGTTGCAGAGCACAGGCTGTACGCTGCACAGGCTTCAGTATTTGCTGCACACAGACACATGGGCTTAGTTGCTCCGTGGGTCTTATTTTTTCTTTATCATTGTTCCCCTGATGCCTGCTGTAGTTTGGTGCTTCAGAAGTATTTACTGAACAGGATAGTTATTGATTCATCTTTTGTTTTAGGTTATTTAGGAGGATTTGATGGTAACTTTCTGTGGAACAGAATTGGAGCAGGTAAAATATCATTGTCATCTCCCTTATTAATGATTAATGTGCACATATTAGAATTGAGAGGAAGTAACTATCCTAGAGATTAACAACTACGGTTTATTCATCTGAATCCAGGGTATGATAAATAGTTTGGGTACAAGAGAAAGAATTTCAAGAAGTCCAGTAAATTCCTTAGTGCTTCCTTGTAAGTATATTTTGCTTGGTCTTTGGTACAGATAACACACTGTACATGCCACTGTATGTGGCAGGTACCTTTTGTACATAAACGTGTGTTGCCACAGTGTTTTTGGAAACAGGTTGGGTAAATCTGTAAATAAGCGTTAACTCATTTCAGAGTCCTCAGCATCATCGCGTACTTAGTGAGAACCGGCCCTCGACCACATGAACCCGTGGCCTGCACACTTGGTCCCTGAGGAGACCCAGCCTTGCAGACTTGTGCTGTGGTCCATGGGCACGTGTGAGGAGGCTCCGTGTGAGGGGACGCGGCGGCGTAGGGAGGGGGGCTGTGTGCCCTGGGCGCTCAGCCCCACTGTGCTCGCTCTTCCAGAATACAGCAGCAACGTGCCCGTGTGGTCCCTGCGCCTGCTGCCGGCCCTCTCGGGGGCCCTGTCGGTGCCCATGGCCTATGAGATCGTGTGGGAGCTTGGCTTCTCTCACTGTGCCGCCACGGGGGCCGCTCTGCTGATGCTGATCGGTGAGGCCCAGGTGTCTGCCTGCTCTGGGGGGGCCAGGTCGACCCCAGTGCTGACCTCTGTCTGCGTCTCTGTGGCCCAGGAGGGCTCGAGGTTTAGTGGATGTGCCCCCTCCCATGTCTGCTACTCGCAAGACAGAAGGAAGCACATCTAGGGTGTCCAGATCAGACTCTGGGAGTCACCCCACTCTCAGGCCAGGGGTTGTTCATAGGACTGTGTTCAGACTGTGATATTGTGGAGGGGCAGCCAACATGTAGCGGGGTTGCCCAAATGATGCTCCTATGTATGCGCCCCCCACCCCCTGACCATCACCCCTGGTAACCCAGTCTGTCCTTGAATGAGAACCTCCTCTGCCCCCCCACCCACCTTGACCAGTGGAGACGAGATTCAGGAATGAGTGGGTATACCTCAGAGGGGACTCTCTCAGCCCAGGTCTGTGAACAAATGAAGTTAAGTCAGATGAAAATAAACCAAATTCATGTCTGTTGAGTGACAACCCTAACTGGGGCCCGTGCCCACAGAGTATTAGAACGTCCAGGCACCCTGCAGAGTTGGTATTTCTCCTACAGACGAGGAAAACGAAGGTTCAGGAAGGGCCAGTAATTTCCAGCCAGGTCGAGCGCCCACTGCCCACCTCCACACTCTGGGACGTTTGGCAAGGACCATTTTTTGTGGACATTCACCATTGTTCCCCGACACCTGATGCCCGTGTCCTTTTCCCAACAGAGAACGCCCTCATCACTCAGTCAAGGTTAATGCTTTTGGAATCAGTGCTGATATTTTTCAATCTGTTGGCCGTGCTATCTTACCTGAAGTTCTCCAACTCCCAGAAACACAGGTATGGAGAATGAGACAGAGGAGTCCAGGGGCTTGTCCACCTGAGCAGGTCTGATAACTTTCCACAGGGGACAGCTGCCCCAGGCACCTCCACTGGCTCTTGGCTCCTGACTTCATAAATAATTCTCATCTCTCTAAAATGTAAACTAAGTGGAAACATCTGACCCAAATGAGAAGTTGTATCAGGAGGACTGCTGTTTGGGGAGATGAGAAATCTTTCCCTTGTACCCGGAGCTTGGTGCAGACAGCTGAGATCTCTGCGGCCATGCCTTCTCTGGCACGTTTTGGGGGAAACGTTCCGAGGCCTCAGCTCTGCTTCTGTGCTTTGCTCCAGGCCCTTCTCCCCAAGATGGTGTTTTTGGTTGGTGCTGACGGGCGTGGCCTGCTCCTGTGCAGTTGGGTGAGTCTGGTGCACTGGGTCTGGGGCGGCAGCCACACCCCCCACGTGTGTCTTGTCTTGACTTCCTCTTCACCCTGTGTCTTTAGCATCAAGTACGTGGGTGTGTTCACATACTTGCTGGTGCTTGGGGTTGCCGCTGTCCACGCCTGGCACCTGATAGGAGACCAGACGCTGTCAAACGTAGGTGCTGATGCCAAGGGGTGGGGCGGGGCTGGCCTGGGGGCAGAGCTGGTGGGGATCAAGGGTGTAGGTCTGGGGTCGGAGTTAGGCTGATCCTGGGGGCGCAGGAAGCAGGGCTGGGGTGGGGGTGGAACTGAGGGCAGGGCAGAGATGTGGGGTCGGGGGTGACGTGGGGCTGGCTGTCGGGGGGCGGGGAGCAAGAATGAGAACCCTGACAGGCTGACTGGCCTGGGCCCACCGTCCCCCGGGTCGGGTGACGTCCGCTCCGTCCTCTGGCAGGTCCGTGTGCTCTGCCACCTGCTCGCCCGAGCGGTGGCCCTGGTGGCGCTCCCGGTCCTTGTGTACCTGCTCTTCTTCTACGCCCACCTGCTGCTGCTCTACCGCTCCGGGCCCCACGACCAGATCATGTCCAGTGCCTTCCAGGCCAGCTTGGAGGTAAAAGTGCCGTCCCAGAAAGAAGGCCACACTAGACTCGGGGTTTTCTTAACGTAAACCACCCCAGGTGAGCATCAGAGGGAAAACCAAATCGGGGAAGTGAGGCATGTCTTCACTCTCTCTACACTAATTCTGAACTTGCTCGTGGCATGGGAAGGGACAAGGGTTCCGCTCTCTGCAGTGTGACCTGCGGGCAGGTGCCAGGCTGCACAGGACAGACATATTTCTGGTGTTCATGCAACTCACTTTGCAAAAATAAAAACAGGCTCCAAATGAGGTGTCAGGAATGTAGAGCCTGAAGTCGGCGGACCTGCTCTTAAGGGCCGGCTCTGCTGACTGCAAGTTCTCTGAGTATTCGGGCAGATTTCTTAACTTACCCACATCTTGAGTTAGTCAGATGTAATTGTTATCATGGGCTACAGGTAAGAAGTAAATGAGGACGAGTGCGGGGAGTTCCCTGGAGGTCCAGTGGTTAGGACTCTGCACTTTGACTGCCAAATCCTGGGTTCAATCCTTGGTCGGGGAACTAAGATCCTGCATACCACATGGCATGGCCCCAAAATAAAATACGGACAAGCAGGGAGGGTGAGGTGAGCGCCTCCCCAACGGCCGCCTCCAGTCGCTGGTAATGTGTAACGTGCCAGGATTACGTCACATGTGACCATAGCTGATGGCGTGACTATGGCCCGGATGGGAGGGGCTGTCAGAGGGGCTGGCTCGGGTGTCACATGTGTGCTCTCTCTCTCTCCCTCACTGGCCACCCCTGTGCTCCTGTCTCAGGGTGGGCTGGCAAGGGTCACGCAAGGTCAGCCTCTGGAAGTGGCCTTCGGTTCCCAGGTCACCCTGAAGAACGTCTTCGGCCAACCCGTGCCCTGCTGGCTTCACTCTCACCAGAGCACCTACCCTATGATGTAAGTAAGGAAAGTCATGTTTTCAATCCAGAGGTTATAACATGTTTTTGGGGTTTTTTTTTTCCACATTTTTGCTGTTACCAGCTTTCACTCCATGTGAAGGAGCTTCTGAGATTGAAAGAAATGGAGCGGTGATTTCTCTGGTGGTCCAGTGGCTGAGACTCCACACTCCTAATGCAGGGGGCCTGGGTTCAATCCCTGGTCAGGGAACTGGACCCAACATGCCGCAACTTAGATGGAATATCCCTCAAGCTACAGCTAAGACCCAGCACAGCCAAACAAATAATCAATAAATAAGATAAACCTTAAAAAAAAAAAGAAATAGAGCTCTCAGAACCTGGTGTCATTGAGTCTCGTTATATACCATCGCTGGAGGGACCAGCCCCTCTGGGATGGAAACATATCTGACACCTCGCTGGGTGGCATCTGTAGGGACCTTGGGGGGAGGTCGTGGGCCCCTGACTCCCCACCCGCAGTTGCACCCTCTTCTTGCAGATATGAGAACGGCCGTGGCAGCTCCCACCAGCAGCAGGTGACCTGCTACCCCTTCAAGGACGTCAACAACTGGTGGATTGTCAAGGACCCCGGGAGGTGAGTACAGGTCGGGGGACAGCCTGGCCTCAGTCCCTGGCCTCCTCATAGCTTCGGGACCAGCTCTGTGCCAAGAAGCCCACGGTCAGAGACATAGCAGCGTTCCTAGCAAGTACAGTACAGTTCAATTCAGTCACTCAGTTGTGTCTGACTCTTTGCGACCCCATGGACTGCAGCACGCCAAGCCTTCCTGTCCATTACCAACTCCTGGAGTTTACTCAAACTCATGTCCATTGAGTCAGTGATGCCATCCAACCATCTCATCCTCTGTCGTCCCCTTCTCCTCCTGCCCTCAATCTTTCCTAGCATCAGGGTCTTTTCAAATGAGTCAGCTCTTCACATCAGGTGGCCAAAGTATTGGAGTTTCAGCTTCAACATCAGTCCTTCCAATGAATACCCAGGACTGATCTCCTTTAGGATGGACTGGTTGGATCTCCCTGCAGTCCAAGGGACTCTCAAGAGTCTTCTCCAGCACCACATTTGAAAGCATCAATTCTTTGGCCTTCAGCTTTCTTTATAGTCCAACTGTCACATCCATACATGACTATTGGAAAAACCATAGCCTTGACTAGACAGACCTTTGTTGGCAAAGTAATGGCTTTTTAATATGCTGTCTAGGTTGGTCATAATTTTTCTTTTCTTCCAAGGAGTAAGCGTCTTTTAATTTCATGTAGTCACCGTCTGCAGTGATTTGGGAGCCCAAAAAAGAAAAATCTGCCACTGTTTCCACTGTTTCCTCATCTATTTGCCATGAAGTAATGGGACCGGATGCCATGATCTTAGTTTTCTGAATGTTGAACTTTAAGCCAACTTTTTCACTCTCCTCTTTCACTTTCATCAAGAGGCTCTTTAGTTCTTCACTTTCTGCCATTAAGGTTGGTGTCATCTGCATATCTGAGGTTATTGATATTTCTCCCGGCAATCTTGATTCCAGCTTGTGCTTCATCCAGCCCAGCATTTCTCATGATGTGCTCTGCATATAAGTTGAATAAGCAGGATGACAATATACAGCCTTGACATACTCCTTTTCTGATTTGGAACCAGTCTGTTGTTCATGTCCAGTTCTAACTGTTGCTTCCTGACTTGCATACAGATTTCTCAAGAGGCAGGTCAGGTGGTCTGGTATTCCCATCTCTTTCAGAATTTTCCACAGTTTGTTGTGATGCACACAGTCAAAGGCTTTGGCATAGTCAATAACGCAGAAGTAGATGTTTTTCTGGAACTCTTGCTTTTTCAATGATCCAATGGATGTTGGCAATTTGATCTCTGGTTCCTCTGCCTTTTCTAAAACCAGCTTGAACATCTGAAAGTTTATGGTCCATGTGTTGTTGAAGCCTGGTTTGGAGAATTTTGAGCATTACTTTACTAGCATGTGAGATGAGTGCAATTGTGCAGTAGTTTGAGCATTCTTTGGCATTGCCTTTCTTAGGGATTGGAATAAAAACTGACCTTTTCCAGTCCTGTGGCCACTGCTGAGTTTTCCAGATTTGCTGGCATATTGAGTGCAGCATACTCACAGCATCATCTTTTATTATTTGAAATGGCTCAGCTGAAATTCCATCACTTCCACTAGCTTTGTTCGTAGTGATGTTTCCTAAGGCCCACTTGACTTCACATTCCAGGATGTCCGGCTCTAGGTGAATGATCACACCATTGTGATTATCTGGGTCATGAAGATCATTTTTGTGTTGTTCTTCTGTGTATTCTTGACACCTCTTCTTAATATCTTCTGCTTCTGTTAGGTCCATACCATTTCTGTCCTTTATTGAGCCCATCTTTGCATGAAACGTTCCCTTGGTATCTCTAATTTTCTTGAAGAGATCTCTAGCCTTTCCCATTCTATTGTTTTCCTCTATTTCTTTGCATTGATCACTGAGGAAGGCTTTCTTAGCTCTCCTTGCTATTCTTTGGAATTCTGAATTCAAATGGGTATATCTTTCCTTTTCTCCTTTGCTTTTCACTTCTCTTCTTTTCACAACTATTTGTAAGGCCTCCTCAGATAGCCATTTTGCATTGCTTTTTCTTGGGGATGGTCTTGATCAGTCTCCTGTATAATGTCATGAACCTCTGTCCATAGTTCATCAGGCACTCTGTCTATCAGATCTAGTCCCTTAAATATGTTTCTCACTTCCACTGTATAATCATAAGGGATTTGATTTAGGTCATACCTGAATGATCTAGTGGTTTTCCCCACTTCCTTCAATTTAAGTCTGAATTTGGCAATAAGGAGTTCATGATCTGAGCCATGCCGTGTAGGGCCACCCAAGATGGACGGGTCATGGTGGAGAATTCTGACAAAATGTGGTCCATTGGAGAAGGGAATGGCAAACCACTTCAGTATTTTTGCCTTGAGAACCCCATGAACAGTATGAAAAGACAAAAAGATAGGACACTGAAAGATGAACTCCCCAGGTCTGTAGGTGCCCAATATGCTACTGGAGATCAGTGGAGAAATAACTCCAAAAAGAATGAAGAGATGGAGCCAAAGCAAAAACAACACCCAGTTGTGGTTGTGACTGGTGATGGAAGCAAGGTCTGATGCTGTAAAGAGCAATATTGCTTAGGAACCTGGAATGTTAGGTCCATGAATCAAGGCAAATTCGAAGTGGTCAAACAGGAGATGGCAAGAGTGAATATCGATATTTTAGGAATCAGCGAACTAAAATGGACTGGAATGGGTGAATTTAACTCAAATGACCATTATATCTACTACTGTGGGCAAGAATCCCTTAGAAGAAATGGAGTAGCCATCATAGTCAACAAAAGAGTCTGAAATGCAGTACTTGGAAGCAGTCTCAAAAATGATAGAATGATCTCTGTTCGTTTCCAAGGCAAACCATTCAATATCATGGTAATCCAAGTCTATGCCCCAACTGCTAATGCTGAAGAAGCTGAAGTTGAACAGCTCTATGAACACCTACAAGACCTTCTAGAACTAACACCCAAAAGAGATGTCCTTTTCATTTTAGGGGACTGGACTGCAAAAGTGGGAAGTCAAGAAACACCTGGAGTAACAGGCAAATTTGGCCTTGGAGTACAGAATGAAGCAGGCTAAAGGCTAATAGAATTAGGCCAAGAGAACACACTCATAGCAAACACCCTCTTCCAACAACACAAGAGAAGACTCTTCACATGGACATCACCAGATGGCCAACACTGAAATCAGATTGATTATATTCTTTGCAGCCAAAGATGGAGAAGCTCTATACAGTCAGCAAAAACAAGACCGGGAGCTGACCATGGCTCAGATCATGAACTCCTTATTGCCAAATTCAAATTTAAATTGAAGTACAGCACAGCTGCAGTCAATGTGATGATGGCAAAGGGGGCCATGCCAGGAAGCGTGGGGAGTGACCCGAAGTTTCAGAAAAGAGTTAAATAAAACATGTACGTTCACCTTGTACGAGGAACACGCTGACGGGGTGGCTGTGAGACTCCACAGAGCCTGAGTGAGGACCCCACGAGCCTGGTCGTGCTCTCTTCCAGGCATCAGCTGGTGGTGAACAACCCCCCAAGGCCCGTGCGGCACGGCGACGTCGTGCAGCTGGTGCATGGCATGACCACCCGCCTCCTCAACACGTGAGTCCCTGCCGCTGCTCAGAGCAGGCGTGCCTGCATCACCACCTTGGGCCCCACTCTGCAGTAGGTGTCGAGGGTGGGGAGGGGAGACCTCAGTGATGGCGCGTGGGCTGGGAAGGAGAGTCCCATCCAGAGTGATGTGTGTGGTGCCCTGGCAGACGGGGGCACATGCTGAAAGGAGAAGCAAATTCAAGAAGGCCATGAGTTGGGGGACAGAGCACCTGACCTCTGGGCCACCTCTGCCGTCCTTCCACCTGGCCTCTTGGGTCAACCACGTGGCCTCAGGGACCCTGCCCTCCCCCCTTGGACACCTGGGCTCTCCACGCCACGCCCGCCTTGTCCTCTTCCCCCTTCTGCCATCACGGGGCTCCAGTCCCTCCTGCCCTCACTACCAGTCCTGCTGGGAATCGCCCACCTTCTGCAGATGGCAGGCACCCTCTGCAAAACAGAGGCAGTTTTCCGTCTGGAAACTCACGCTTGACCAACCTCACGTCTCTGCCAAGAGCCTCCAGGGATATCCAGCGTGACCGTCACGCTCAGAATAACTCCCTACTCTCCCCTGGCCGCTGGCGCCCCCAGGACCCAGACCGCGAACTCCCTGGTAGACTTCATGCCAGTCACCCTAGCCCCCTGCTGTCCCAAAATGACCCCGTGCAGCCTCTCTGGGGCCTTTGCTCACTCTGTCTGCCTGGAATGTTCTTCAGCTCAGACCCCACTGCCATCCCCACCACGGCCCACTCTTTCACTTTTTTAAAGAATAATTTTATTCATTTATATTTTTGGCTGCACTGGGTCTTCATTGTTGCCTGCAGGCTACTCTCTAGTTGTGGTGCTTGGGCTTCTCATTTCGGCGGCTTCTCTTGTTTCGGAGCACTGGCTCTAGAGCTCAGGCTTCTGCAGTGGTGCCGCATGGGCTCTGTAGTTGCAGTCCCCAGGCTCTAGAGCTTGGGCTCAGTTGCCCTGCAGCATGTGGGATCTTCCTGGAGCAGGGATAGAGCCCGTGTCTCTTGCATTGGCATGCAGATTCTTTACCACTGAGCTGCCAGGAAAGCCCCCATGTAGTCACTGAATTCAGGGGTCAGCTGAAATGTCCCTGCACCAAAAGCGTTTCTTGTGCACCGTGCCCTCCAGGGTCAGTGTTGTTTGTGGTGCTCACAGGGCCTGCAGTCATATTTGACTTTTCCAGGGTCGTGAGGGCCTCTTCCTTACCGCTCACTGTGGGTCCTCCCCCAGTGTGGTCCTGTGCAAAGTCCGATCAGGCATGGTTTCCCTGAAAGTGAACAAGGGGAACTGATGTCCCTGGGTGCTTGTTTTGCAACAGTATTCTTGGTGCCTCAGCCATTTCCACGACCTGGCGTCAGGGAGCCCCCAGTGGTCAGGCTGTGCTCCCGACTCAGTTTATCCTCTGCAAAGGGGATGGTGAGCCTGTGGTTTAGATGGACGTCCCCCTGCTTCCCCATCATGTGCATCCCCGGAGGCGTGGTCACTGCAGTGCCTCTGCCCTCCATGAGGGATTTAGCGCCCTGGGAAATGGCAGCCGAGATGCTTGAAGGTTGAGCTGGCTTTGTTTCCTGAAAAAAAGTGTTTTTCTCTCTCCTTAAAGAACAGTGAGTGCCTTCCAGGAGAGCTTGGGGCGCCCCCAGCAGCGTTGTTTGGTTTTCCAGGCACGACGTTGCAGCCCCCCTGAGCCCCCATGCGCAGGAGGTTTCCTGCTACATTGACTACAACATCTCCATGCCCCCCCAGAGCCTCTGGCGGCTGGTGAGTTCCCGGCCACCTTGAGCACGGCATCACGGCCCTTTCCGAACCGCACTCTGGAACAAGTGACCCCCTGTTCTGTAGAAAGGGGGAGCCAGGGGGTTTTCTTGTGTCCAGGAAGGAGCTGCAGGGTGGTGGGTGGGTCTCAAAGTGCTGTGGGGAGGAGGCCCCTCCCACAGCTCGGCTCAGACCAGCTGCCTGGGCACCCCGGGAGTCTCTTTGATCAACCCTTCCCTGGGGACAGGCAGGGCCATGGAGGAGCGGGGGCGATTTCTGGCACTGTCCCCCTGGGCCCTGGGCCCTCCTGCGGGTGAACCACCGGCTCTTCTGGGTGGCACACTGTGTCCTGGGCCACGCCGCAGGAGGGAAGTTCCATGGCTGGGCTGCTGGACAGTCTGAAGTCAGGGTCATGAGTGCAAAAACGCAGCAGCAGGGCCGCGATCGCACTGGGCTTACTTTTGGGAGAGGTGTGCCCCGCTTCAGCCTCCGTGGCCGCTGCCTTGTACCACCAGCCCCTCAATGAGTTCTCAATGCTGTGATGCAAAGCCAGGAGCCGTGAAGGCCACCTCTGTGTCTGTGCACAGCGGGGCCCGGGTGCTGGGTGCTGCACACAGGTGCGCCATGCATCTGCCTCTGCCCCTCCCCCGAGGCTGCTCTGATGTGGTTGTCACCCCAGCTGCTTGTCCCCAGGGTTGTCCTGAAGGTCCTGCCTGCTCCCCTCTCTGGTGAGGCCCATCGCTGACCCCTTCTCTGTGCCTCAGCCCCTTTCAGCCCCACCCGCCCTTTCAAGGACCTGAAGCTCCACGATGGGCAGAGAGGATGGCCAACCAGAGGGTGTGGCTTCCTTGTCCTGCTCCTGCTCAGCCCCTCGGGTGCTGGCTTGTCAGTAGCCATTGGACTTCCTGGGGTCGTGCCAGGCACCCGTAAGTTAAACCCGGCAGTGCCAAGCTCTTCCAGTGTCAGTTCTTTATTACCCATCACCAGGAGACCCCGCTCAGGGCACAGTCTTGCAGGGACAGTCTCTGACCTTCCTCTGCACTGTCTTCATCTTTGGCCCGAGGTCTCAGGGAGCAGGCATCACAGAAGCTCAGGGAGGAGTATCATCCTTAAATCCCCACTGGAAAGGCTATCTGCATCTGGGGGAGGGTGGTGTCCCCACCCCCACCCCCAGCACCTCTCACAGACCTCTGGAATAAAGTTGATGGCACTGTCTGGGACCAGCCTTGTCAGCTTCCCTTGGGGGACTGTCCCCTCATATCAGACCAAGCCAGTCTCAGCATGGTAACTGGTCTTTATTTTCACATTTAAGGAAATCTGATGAAGAGTGAACTAATGGCCCAGACCTGCTTTTACAGGACATTGTGAACAGGGAGTCGGACACGGATGTCTGGAAGACCATCTTGTCAGAGGTCCGCTTTGTGCATGTGAACACCTCGGCCATCCTCAAGGTCAGTGACACTGCCTCCCTGGTCCTGCCCAGAGGGACAGACTGAAGGGGGTTGTGGGGGGTTGCGGGGTCTCTGTAACTGCTCAGAACTGAACCCTGGCATGAGCTCCCCGGAGGAGAGCCACTGCCCTTGTGGGTGACCTGGGGTGGGGTCCCCCCAGCTGGGTGGGCCCAGGCCCTCCATCACGATCCCCCCAACATCTTGCTTTGTCAGTTGAGTGGAGTGCCCCTCCCAGACTGGGGCTTTCGGCAGCTGGAAGTAGTCGGGGAGAAGCTGTCTTGGGGCTACCATGAGAGCACCGTGTGGAACGTGGAGGAGCACCGCTATGGCAGGAGTGAGCGCTCCTGGGGGCGGGGCAGCCTGCGGGCTCCAGGCCCCACTGCGGACCTTCCCCTGCTCTCCCCCACGCCCTCCCAGGGCTGAAGTGGTGAGAGCTGTCTGGTGGGTGAGGGGGGCAGTGCCACCGGAAGGTGGGGCAAGGAGAGCTTTCGACTGGAAAGATGGCCAGGCGGGTGGGGGACCGTGGACCGTGTCTGGCGGGTTCTTTGGAAAACAGCGGCGGCTACCCTGGGTGGCTCCCTGACCGGGTTCTGCTCGCGTCCTCCGGTCCCCGTGTGCCTGCCAGGCCAGGAGCAGAAGGAGAGGGAGCTGGAGCTGCACTCCCCAACCCAGGTGGACATCAGCAGGAACCTCAGCTTCATGGCCAGATTCTCCGAGCTGCAGGTGATGGGTGGGCAGAGGGACGGGTGACCTTGCTCCTCTCCGGGAAGGCCATGTGGTCTGCCCAGCATCAGCCTTCAAACTGGGACCTGACTCGGCAGGGAGGGCCGCTGCGCTCTGTCCTCTGTCCGTGTCATGCCTGGCACCGTCAGCCCCTGGCACCCCGGCCTTCCTGCCGTGTGGCTTTGCTGGTAGTAACTGTCAGGAGGCGAGGAGACACGCAGCAGTGTGGCACTGCTCCCAGGTCAGGTCGACACGGCGCAGCCCCAGGGAACTCGGCACCAGGCACTCAGCATCCCCAGTGTCAAGGCGCCCTTACCGCCCCATCCCATCCCTTAATCCACAAACTGGAGCCCGGCAGAGGCACCTCCTGGGCTGCTCCCACGGGTGACCTGCGTGAACTTGAGGCCGGGTGCCCCATGAAAGGGGCAGCGGTTTACTGCGCCCCCGGGCAGAGCCCTGGCCACGGAGGGCGTCTGGCTGTCCGGTGACTCCCGGTGGCCTCTGCTGTCTGCAGTGGCGGATGCTGACGGTGAGAGGTGATGATTCGGAACACAAGTACAGCTCCACGCCGCTGGACTGGGTCATGCTGGACACCAGCATCGCTTACTGGCTGCACCCCAGGACCAGTGTAAGCACAGCGTCTGTGGGCAGTCAGCCTGCGCCCAAGAGGCCTGTGATGTTAAGAGCAGCCACTGCATCCACGCAAGCCCCGGCCTTCCTGCACCGTCCTGGTGAAAGCTGGGGGTCAGGTCCCCAGGTGTCCGCAGGGAGGGACCTGGCTTTGCTGCTGCCATGGCAGCGTGTGGTTCCCCGTGCCCGGCCGACGTGGTTTTTAAACCGATCCCACTTGATTTCCCACCTGGCACCTGGTGTCCAGGCTGGTCAGTGTTCTGCTTCCCTGTCCAGCGTGTCTTCACCTGGAGGGGCAAACACAGCATGTGGTCGTCACCCAGTAATGACTTAAGGTAGGGGGGTGCACTCCCCTTTCCCCCGCCCTGGACGTGGGGGGCTGCGGCTTGCTAAGAAGCGGGCACTGAGGACCTTCTGGTCTCAGTGCCTTGCTGCTCTGCATCAGCGTCCCTGTCCCCCTCTTCGTGAGCCGCTCTGCTGTCCAGAAACAACCCCGTCTACTCCCGGCTCTGATTCCACTTACAGAGCCGAGCACCTTTGCACGTCCGTCCTGGCTGTGAGGGCCGAGGGTGGGGCAGCGCCTGCGCCTGCCCTGGGCCACACCAACCAGCCTCTCCCTCCCACAGGCGCAGATCCACCTGCTCGGGAATGTCGTGATCTGGGCCTCGGCCAGCCTCGCCACCCTGGTGTACGCCCTGCTCTTCGTCTGGTACCTGCTCAGACGCAGAAGGAGAGTCTACGACCTCCCTGAGGGTCTGTGCCACAGCCCACACGCCTCTTGCGCCCCGTCCCTCTGGTTTGGGCCAGAGCTCCATGTGCTTCGGGGCCGCATCAGCAAGTGCGGCCTTGGGGCCACCTCTGTGTTTCTGCCCCGAGGGCACTTCTGTCTCTTCCCCAGAGACAGGATGCTATGTTCCAGTCCCCATGTCACTCTCAAGGCTTCTCCAGGGCCATGCAGGTGTCAGGCCTGAATTGCTCCCTAACCCCAGCACTCCTGGAAGTGGCTGATGGGACAGAGCTGCCAGGAGGCACTGAGGGGTGGGGGGTGCTGGTTTGCAAGAACAGAAACCCCCTAAAAACCATCCTGATACGGGAAAGGAGCCAACGCCCGGGGTGGGCCGTGAAGGCCACCAGGGGCAGGGAGGTGTCCTCTCTGGGCTCAGCTGAACTGGTCGTTCTCTCTACTAGTCCTGGCTCCTGGGCAGGTGCATGGTACAGGCCCGCCCCTGCCCCCTGGAGTGAGACCGGGAGACCCTCAGGGAGTCAGGAGTGAGCTGGGCCTGGCCCAGGGCTGGCGTCTCAGGACGGGCTCGGCAGGGGCAGCAGGAAGTCCAGGAGGTTCTTGGGACAGTCTGCTCTTCCTCCAGAGGCGGTGGAGGGGCTGGGATGGGAGACAGAAAGCAGGGGCCGCGAGTTCAAGGGCTTGCTTGTGCACGACCAGGCGAGCCTGCCTGGCAGCAGGGAGCCTCCTGGCTCAAGATGGCCTTCCCCTGCAGACCGCTGGCTGCGCTGGGTGCTGGCTGGGGCTCTGTGCGCTGGGGGCTGGGCCGTGAACTACCTGCCCTTCTTCCTGATGGAGAAGACGCTCTTCCTCTACCACTACCTGCCGGCGCTCACCTTCCAGATCCTGCTGCTGCCCGTGGTCCTGGAGCACGTCGGCGACCACCTGTGTAGGTAGGTACCAGGCCCTGGCAGCCACTTGCCCCAGGCCGGGGTTGGGGGGCCGGGGCAGTCATGGATGGCGATTCCAGCGTGCTGTGGATGGGGTTCCGAGCACGAAGCTAAGGCTGGTGGGAGGTGAAGCTGGGGGATACGCGCAGGGAAGGACCTTCGGCCTGGAGGACACCAGAACAGAGAAAGGAAAGGGAGGCGCGGGGCGGCCAGTGGCCGGGTCACGTGGGGCCCAGTGGATACACCAGGCTGCCTGTAAACCAGAGGGGGCCTGGAGCAGCTCAGGAGGAGCTCTGGGCTCCTGCTGCTGAGGTGGGGCAGGAGCTGGGATTCAGGAAGCAGAGCGAGTGAGGAGTGGCGCTGAGTGGGTCTGGCAGGACTTGACGAGGGCTGACACTCTGGCCAGGGCGCCGAGGGGATCTCGCGTGGGAAGGGCCAGCCCCCCAACGCCGTGCTCTGCTCCGGGCCGGCAGGTCCCAGCTCCAGAGGAGCCTCTTCACAGCCCTGGTCGTGGCCTGGTTCACCTCCGCCTGTCACGTGTCCAACATGCTGCGCCCGCTGACCTACGGGGACAGGTCGCTGTCACCCAGCGAGCTCAAGGCCCTTCGCTGGAAAGACAGCTGGGACATCCTGATCCGGAAATACTAGCGGGATGCGGACTCACGACGAGCCGCAGGGCTGGGTGCAGAAAAGGAAGGTCTTGGACGGGCGTTTCCTGCGGGCAGGCGGAGCCACTGTGAGCTTGGTGGAGACATGGGCTTGGCTGGGATTCTGCTCTGGTCTTGTTGAAGAAACTGCCCTCCGACAGGCACCTCATTTTCAGCAAAGTCTGTTTTCCCTGATCATAAAGAGCACCTCCTCACTACCGTGAGGAGCTGTGAGTCCCACCCGTGGAGCTGCTGGGTGGGACTCGCCACAGCCGAGAAAAGGCAGGGAGGGGCTGGTTCTAGCGACCCAGGCAAGGCCTGGTCTTGCTCAGAGGCCGGTGGTGGGCTCAACCGGGGCCCCTGCTCCTGCTGACCTAGTGAGGCCCCAGGAACTCCCCCTCACAGTTCAGTGGCCTGTGAACACCGGAAGGCCAGCCCAAGGGGGCTGGGGGAGGCTGGCCGTGACTCCTCCTGGTGATCCCCAACCCCCACCCAGAGAGCCTGCCGAGAGGTGAGCAGTAGCCTGTCATCCACACATTTCCTGGTCCTGATTCTGCCCTTTTTTATGTAATTAAAAAGGGACAAACTGGCATTCACATTTGGTGTTATTTATTGGTTCTCTCTCCAAAAAGAACATTAAACTTGACAAAACCGTCACAGTCATCAGAAACCAGCCCTCGAGCTCAGCCAGGCTCACCCGACGTCCCTGTGTAACTAGTTAGCACTCAACAGCTGGTGGCAATGGGGAGGGACCACTTTTACAGAGCAGCTGCCACATGGAAGGGGGACAAGCCAGGACAAGAGCACCAGTGTCTGGGAGGCAAGGTCACTGGGCAAGCACAAGGGACTGGCCACTTTACCAACAGCGTCCACACACGCCTTGGCCATGGGCGACACTAGGAAGGGCCTGTCCAGACGGCAGCCCGGGCTCTGGGGCGCCGAGCCAGACGCTATGCTCGCAGGAAAGCAGGTGGGCAGGGCTGGGCTGAGCCAGGGGACCCCGGCTATGTGTGTGGTGCTGGTTAAGGAAAAGCTTGCTCCCCAGGGCTCCCTCCTGGCTCTGCCTTCGGAGCACAGGCCAGAAGGAAGGACACCTCTCTGTGGCTCCTTGCGTGCCAGATCAGTGTGTACCAGGATCACGACCCGCCAGTGGCTCATGAAGTTGGGTTACTAGGTCACAGCGAGCATGGTATTAGGAAAACAGAGTAAACAGAAAACATGTGGTTGTGTAACAAGTAAAACGGAAGAGGGTTATCTCTTTAAACTTGTGTTCCAGTTACACATGCGTGAACCAGGTCACGCTAGTCTCTCTCGCCAGGGGCTCACTGTCAAAATCATGGTGACCAGGCTGTTTCTTCATCGTTCCCCCGAACATGGGCCTTGCGTACCACACATTCTGTGGCCATTCTCAGCAGCGAAGAGCCCTTCCAGCCCCCGTGACACGAGGAAGCAGGGGAGGAGGTCAGGGCCGCTGGCAGAGAGCCTGTCACACGGTGTGGGTGACTCGCCCAGGCCTCGCGAGGTAACCGGGGCCCTGAGCGCCCTGCCCGTGGCCGTGTGTCCTCTCCGGGCCCGCCAGGCGCCGGGCGGCCTGCCCCTCAGTGGGGCCTGCTGCTCGGCTCCAGGTGCGAGCGCTTGCCCGCGGCCAGCACCGCAGGGTGCTCCCCCGGCGCCGGGAACGCCCTCTTGTGGCTGCGCCCGTTGGCCCCTGTGCGGTGCCACTTGCAGATGTCGCCGTTGAGGATGTCCTGGATGTGCTGCACGATGAGGTTGATGGCCACTGCGGGGACACACGGGCGGGGTCAGCTGCCCGCCTGCCCAGCTGCCACCTGCTGTTACCTGCGAGGCGCATGCTTCCCTCCACGAGGCATCCGCCTGCCACCCAGCCTCAGCAGACAGACTGGAGCCCGCTGAGGCTGGGCACGGTAAAACCAAGCTGGCCTGGTGGCGCGGGTTTCTGTTAACTGACCCTAGGTGTGATACTTCTGCCAACAAGGGGCTCCCTGTCAAGCAGTCCTCCATGTTTTTTTTCCTCCTTTACTGAAACTTAACTGACATTGTACGTTGTGTCACTTTAAGGTGCAAAATGTGTTGCGTGTTCTAAGTGTGTTGTAAACCTGTGCCACACATGTACGTGAACAGGCCTCACCCTCCGGGGGCGTCTCAGTAACCTAGATGGGCTGGGCCGTGCCTGCCGCATGGCCAGGGGGGTGGGGGCGGCACAGGCCTGCTCCTTACCCATGTTGTCAACCCCTCGAGGGATGATCACGTCTGCGTACTTCTTTGTCTGCAAGGCAAGAAAAGAAGGGTATTGTGAGATGCTTTCGGCGTGCCGGGGCCTAGATGCGGGGCGCACGCGCGGGCCGCCATGAAGGGTGAGGAGGCGGGGGCAGAGGCTCAGGTGAGAGACCGAGAGCGCAGAAGGGAGGGAAGCCAAGCTGAAGCAGCGGGAAGGGACGGCACGTGTCTGCCGGCCTCTCCCAGACGCTGGTCTCTGTGAGCACCGCGGTCGGGGCCAGTTCTCTGCGCTGACCACCTGGCGCTCCGGGCCGGCTGAAGTGGGGCGCCCTCCCAGTGCACACAGGGTGCAGGACCCTGCAAGAGCAGGGCTGCGCCCCAGGCAGGGACATTGCGGGACCTGCTCCCCTTCCTGCCTCGCCCCTCCTCTGCTCCCACGCCGAGTAGCCCACTCCTGTTGGGCGCCTACGGTGCCTTTGAGGAGGGACCCCAAGTGCTGCTGGGGGTAGGAGGCACCTCCGAATGAGCGGAGGGAGGCCCGCAGACTCGTGAGTGCTGCCGGGGTGCGGACCCGGGCCAAGGAGGCCTGCTCCGAGAGACGAGCCACAGGGGGCGGGAGGACGGGGGCAGACGGGGCCCCGGGCAGCCGTGTCTGCAGGCAGGGGGCTCGGGGCCGCACTCCCACGGGGCTGGGCCACTCTGCTGGCTGTGGGGGCAGGCACGGTGTGGCCGGGAAAGGGCTGGGAAAGGTCCTAGCGGCGGGGACATGGGCAACTCAGGCGCCTCGCCGTGCCGCCCCCTGAAGGGGAGGGGCGGGGGGGGGGGACTGCCCGAGCACACTTCTGCCTCCACCCAGGGGCACCTGGTCACACGTGGCGTCCAGAGCTTCAAGGTAAATGACCTGCTTTTCAGAAGTGTCCTTCTGGGGATAAGAGGCTGCATCAGAAGTGTCCTTCTGGGGATAAGAGGCTGCACAACAGTCAATTTCCTAATCATCTTCTAGAGACTCCAAGACCACGAATGTAAAATAAAATGTTTTCATGAACTAGCAAGAACTGAACTCCTTTGTCCCATTTATCTTAAGCAGGAATCCTGCTTCTAATTCCTCTGTGCCTCACTTTTCCCTTTAGGAATCAAAATGTTGTGAAATTTCCCTTTAAATCTCTCCACAATCTTATCCAGTGAAAAGGTGAGATGGAGGAAAAGACAGATGGCCGCACACAGTGAATTCCGCCTCTGCACGCCAGCCGGGCCTTCCTCCACCCCAGAGAAACACACGGTGTGGAGGAAGTTTTTAAGCACCTAGTGTGCACCAGACAGCACTCTGGCAGCCGACAGACAGAGACCCCCGCCCCCGTTCAGAAGGGCTGGGGGGAAGGAGAGGACAGTGTGGGCCTTGGGCAAGCAGCGCCCTGGACAGATGCAGACAAGAGCCTGGGAGGAGGTGATGCCGGTGCATGGGGTGAAGCCTGGCACGGGGAGGACCCATCCCCAGCTGAGAACCTCGCCCTGGGACCGTGAGCACGAGTGGCTAACTTCTCCACGTATACAGCAGACTGCGTCCGTCCACGACTCGGCTCTCACAGAACAGGCACCGGGGGGCCTTCTGACAAGGGGGGAAGGAGGTCCCCGGGCAAGCGGAAGGCGGTACCGGCAGGCAGAACTCCTCGAAGGCCGGCTTGACGAAGGTGGTGTACTGCGTCAGGATCTGCTCCAGGTCCCGGCCCCGCTGCACGTCCCGGAGAACTGCAGCGACAGGAGAGAGCAGGGGCCTGCAGACGCTGGGGGGACCTGGGGCCGGGCCGGCCAGGGGCAGAGGGGCCCACGTCCGCCTTACCTCTCCGAGACAGCCTGACGTCAGAGTCGGTGTCCACGAAGAGGCGCAGGTGGAACATGTCCCGGATCTCCTGACTGTAGAAGACGAGGATGCCCTCGAACAGGACCACATCTGCGGGGTAGACCACCGTGGTCTCCGCAAGCCTGTGGGGCAGGCCAGGGGAGGGGCCTGCCTTCAGTGTCAGACCCTGGGCATGGATGAGGAGGGCTGTCCCGGGAACCAGTGGGGCGCAGCCCCAGGGCGGGGAGGGGTGTCCTCACCAGCCCCCTGCACACAGCCCTCTCTTCCCCAGAACCGCCCACTTACCTTGAGTGGGTCACAAAATCATAGGTGGGGACCTCCACTGTTTTGCCCTCCACGATGTTTTTCAGAGTCCTGTGCATCAAATCGTTATCAAAAGCATCTGCAGGGGTGGAACAGAAGGCAGGACAAGTCCTTGTGCTGAGAACTCGCTCTGCCCCTGGGGTCTGCTGGGTGCGGGTGCTGCCAACGACCGACCCTAAGGAACATCTGGCCTGGAGGAGCCCCCAAGGCTTCCATCTGCAGGGCCCTCTGCAAACCACAGGCTGGACCTATCCTCGCTGCCTCGGGGCAATGCCACTGCCTGGGCCGCTGTCCCACCCACAAGTCTGAACACACAGATTTCCTGATCAGCCAGTTCTGGGAGGTAGGTGAACTAGGCATCTTGCTTCTAGTTCTGGGAAATAACAAAGACTAACGCTCCTCGGACCTTCTCCCCGTGTGTCCCCTGGAAAGGGATGAAGACCGGAGCCGGCCACTGGGCAGAATCATCTGCTAGCAGCAGGGAGGGGCAGCATGGCTATCCCCCTCACCCACCCCCTCTCCACCTGTTCCCTGACCAGACAAGGAAAGGGAGCTTCAAGGCCTCTGGTTCTTGTTCACCCACTGCTGGCCTCTCGAGGACTCTGCTCCAATGGACACGGTCTGCATAGCAGGCCCCTGATAGCAAGAAGGTGTTTAGGTTTCTCCACGACCACAACTGTGGCAGAGCAGTGGGCCTGAAGGCCCTTCTGAGGTGCAGATTCCCTGACCGGCTCCAACCGATGGAGCCTGGAGCTCCTGCAGGGCCCAGAGGGCACAGAAGAGACCCCCCCGGCTTAACCCCCAATCCGCTCCACAGAGGTTTAGCCAGGGACCAGCCAGGCCTCTTCCCCATCCATGGCCAACTCTGGACCCAGTCTCCGGTCAGCCTTCCTCCCCCACTCCCTCCCCACCTTCACGGCCTCTACCTGGGTGGTCGAAGTTGTACTGTCCCTTCAAGGCCTTGGCCTTCTGCTCCGCGGTCAGGACCTTATAGAATCTGTCTTGGCTCAAGATGACCAGTTTGCGCTGCCGGTGATCCACTTCCTTCTGTCCCAGCAGCTCCATGATCTTCTCACACACGGTGGACTGGGAAACACAAACAGGAGCCCCGCCTGGAGACGCCCACCCCGGCGCATCAGCTCCCGAGGGGCCGCCAGGTCAGCGGCTGCGCCTGGCGGGGAGGGCGCTGGGCTGCATCAGCGGGGGCAACGCGGACCCGGACCACGAGCGGTCAGGCCAGCCGGGAGCTTGCGGGGGAGCCTCGGGGTCCAGCGACGTGCTCCCCGCCTGGCCCGCCACGGCCGCAGCCCCTCCGCCCCCGGCCCTGTCCACGCCCGGGAGGTGGGCGGGGGGACACCTCGCGGCAGCTAGAGGCGGGGGCCTCCCTCTGGACTGAGGCCCGACAGGCCGCGCGGAGTTCCGGGGGCGCCCAGGGTGACTCGCAGGCCCCGCCGCGCCGCCCAGCCCCTTACCTTGCCGCTCGCGGTGCCGCCGCTCACGCCGATCAAGAAGGGCCGCTGGTGAGGGCGGTCCGCCTCGGGCCCGGCGCCCTCGCAGTCGCCGCCTCCAGCCGAAGCCATCTCCGGCGTCGCTCGACCGCATCTGGCTCCCGGCTCCCGCCGCCGCCGCCGCCGCGCAAAGGTCGGAGACGCCCCCCGCCCGGGGCTCCACTTCCGGGAGGCACGCGGCGCGGCAGGGGGCGGTGCGGTGCGCGTGCGTGGCACGGCGGGAGTTGTAGTCCTGGTTGGTGGCTGAGAGCGCGGCGCATGCGTGGACCTGGCCGGGCCCTCCCGCCGGGCCTGGAAGGCCGCCGAGGCGCGTGGACCCGCTGCCGCGACGCCGGGTTGTTTTTTTATTATTTGCTGCAAAAGCCAAAAGCCAATCCGTTTCGCAACTGGCTGCAGAAGTCTCCAGATGTCGGGCGGCCTCCGAGAAGGTTCCTTCTGCCCGCACCTCCGCACCAGCCTGCCTGGGGTGGCTGTGGGGGTGCGCCGGAATGATCCCCCAGGACTGCAAGGTCGGGGTGGGGTGCTTGGGCATAGAGGCCGGTCAGACTACTGAGCCCCATGACCCGGGTCGGAAACTAGAGCCGGTTCTGCAGCCTCATGTGCGGTCACCCAAGAGCGCGCCGTCACCTCCGCACCGGCCCAGGTGCTCAGCCCCTGCCTCCACCGCGTGGGTCCAGTCCTCTTGCCTGGGCACAGGCTGAGCCCTGCCCCTGTTGGCCCTCCACGTTATTCGTCCCTCCCCGAATTTCTTAACACAACCGTGAGCCTTCAGTGGTCCCCCACTGCCTCTGGCCAGCAAGTTCCTGGCCGCCTCAACCTGCCCCTTACATGGTGGGCAGAAGTCGTGTGGCGACTTTCTGCCTGAGCCCTAGAGGAGCTGGGAAGAAGGGGCCCTGTCTGCTGGACTCCGCCTGTGCCCCTGGTCCAAGAAGGCAGGCGCCGACCCATTCCTGTTGTGAAATGTCCTCACGGCATCAGGCCTCTCTGCAAGCCTAGCTCCTGCTGCACTGTGAGCCCTCCATGAATATTTGATGAGACTGAAATATGACGCAGGAGAGACTAACATGGAGACATCAGGCGAAGTCACTGTTTATGTCACTTCCGAAGCATTAACCGAGTTCAGCAAGGGTTACAGGACGGTTCTGCTGGGGGGTGGAGCGGAGAGGGGGTGATGAGGGGTTGGAGGGGGCTGGTTGGGCCTCTTGAGTCCTGAGGACCTGGGCAGAGGGAAGCGGATGAAGGGCGGCTTGGTCAGCATGAGAAAGCACCGTCCCCGCCAGCTGAGAGGCGCTTACAGGGAAGCTCAGACTAGGGCAGTCACACGTTCACAGAGGGCGTGACAAGGTTGGGGACCAAGCGCCAGGGCGAGTTAACAGTGACTGACCACCATGTTTCCCTACTCCCCAACTGTTGTGATTTTGTGAAATTAACGTATGTGAGTGAAGACAGGGCAACTGATGGCCAGTAGAGGTTCAACAACAGAAATGGAAATAGAGAAATTTATTACTCACGGGTCCTGGAGGAGGTACACCGCGTGCTTGGAGGGGCCACGCAGGAGGTCTAGGCAGGGTGCGGAGAAGCGAGAGAGGCAGGTCCTGGGGCGTAGTCCTTTATCAGGATCCCTGGGTGGAGTGCATTGGGGTTCCCAGACTAGGACTGGATTGGTTAATTCAAGCCAAAAGAGTAGGGTTCGCTCAGCCCTACGGGGGTCTTATCACTAGGGCACTCAAGACATAGAGGCACTAGAAAGCAGGGGGAGACTCTTGATCACAGAGCATGTGTTTGCTGGTGAACAGGCTGCTCTCTAGGATGTGGGGGGGTGTGAAGGGGCTCGAGTCAGGTTCAGCTCTCTGCAGGCAGTTGGCCAAACACAGTGGCTGTCAGGCAGCAGAACGATGGAGTATCTTGGTGAACTCTCATCAGGGAAATCCCATGGTGAGGCTGCCATGCTCAAGGCACACAGAGGGCCTGGCATAAGGCCCGGCTCTGAGGAGGTGCCGGTTCTGTTTTCTTCATCTCTGCATTGGCCTATTTGGCATCTGTTACTCACAGGGCCAGTTATATTAACTATAGTTTTTGTATGTGCATGTGTGCTCAGTCGTGTCCGACACTTTGCGACCTCATGGACTGTAGCCCACCAGGCTCCCCTGTCCGTGGAATTTTCCAGGCAAGAATACTGAAGTGCGCTGCCATTTACTCCTCCAGGGGATCTTCCACACCCAGGGATGGAGCCCACGTCTCCTGCATTGGCAGAAGGATTTTTACTGCTAGTGCCACCTGGGAAGCCTATTTTTGTGTGTGTATATTTGTATATATTTAATACTGACACTTTTGGGGGGAGGGGGGCATGTTGTACAGGTTAGGATCTTAGTTCCCTGACCAGGGATTGAACCCTGGCCCTTGGCTGTGAAAGCTCAGAGTCCTAACCACTGGCTTGCCAGGGAATTTCCGTTATTTTTTGTATTCTTCTTTAAAAACATTATTATTATTATCTTTTGGCCACGCTGCATGGCATGTGGGACCCTAGTTCCCCAACCAGGGATCAAGGCCACAGCCCCTGTGTTGGCTGCTCAGAATTGGAACCACTGCAAGTCCCTTCTTCTTTTTTTTAATATTTATTTATTTGACTGTGCCAGGCTTAGTTGTGGCACTCAGGATCTTTGATCAGGGATCTAGTTCCCTGACCAGGGATCGAACCTGGGCCCCCTGCATTGAGAACTCAAGAGTCCTAGCCGCTGGACCACCAGGAAGTCCTTATTTTTGGTATTCTTGTTGCTCCGGCACAAGGCTAGCCACTGGTGAGGGACAGCAAAGGGAGCCCATCTTTCACAAGCAAACCAGCCCACCCCCGACCAGCTCTCATCTAGCCCTACGTGCTCCCACCCAACCCCAGGCCCACGCGCCCTCCCGGACCTCCCACCCGCTCCCTGCCCGGCTGATTCTTCCCAGCATGCCCTGGTCCTCTCCCACAGCTGGGCCAGGCCAGCTCCTCCGTGTTCTCCGTGGAAAGCATGGACCACAACTGCAACTATGGAGCAGGTGTTGCAGTCACCTGCTTGATGTTGGTCTCCAGAGCTGAGCCATGAGCCCGGGGAGGGCAGGGCTGTGGCTGCTTGTTGGGCCGACTCTGCCATGTGCAGGAAGCATCTATCGTTGCTGAATGAGCAGTGGGGTTGAGACTCAGCCTTGGTTTTCTCAGAACCAGGTGAGGCAGAACTCTGGGATTCTTGCCCCCATCTTCATCATTGCCCCACCAGGTCAAGTTCACAGGAACACAGGAAACATAGCTTTCCAACATGGCCCTCCTCCCCCATCCCCCTAGCCAGCCCCACCGCCTGCAAAAATTGTCGGTTCATCCCCCCTTAGGTCTTTAAGCTTTTGTTGAACACAAGTTGGTGCTCAGCACTTGGGTTGACCAGGTGCTTGACATTTTAAGAGTATTTATTGCTAGTTTCCCAATCACAGGTGTAACCCATGCTCATTGCAGAAAATATATACACACAAACATGCACACAAAACTAAAATCAACCATAACTCCTCACCCGAGGAAAACCGTGGTATTGTATTCTGGTATTTGCTTTTCTGATCTGATATGGCCGCAGCTAGATAGTGCAAAGTTAAACAAGGTTTGGTTATATATCTTGAATAGGAGTAAGGCTTTATACAACCTGTCAAAACTGCAGAAATAGTAGGAATAAACCCACGAATCATTAAAAGCATGTATGTGTGCGTGCCTGCTCAGCGTGTCCAGCTCTTTGTGACCCCATGGGCTGTAGCCTTCCAGGCTCCCCTGTCCACGGGATTTCCCAGGCAAGAATACTGGAGTGGGTTGCCATTTCCCACTCCAGGGGATCTTCCTGACCCAGGGATCAAACCTGTGTCTCTTGCATCGGTAGGTGGATTCTTTATCATTGCACCACATGGGAGCCCATGAATAGTTGAAGTGGTAACTGTTAATAGTAAAAATTGATTGTGCAAAAGACAGTTCGTAAACAAAGAGCTTGCAAAGCATAACACAGAATAAGGCTCAGGGTGCGTTATTATAAAGCAGCTCGGACGGTGAGAGGCAGTTGGCTGTATTCTTTGCTGTGGTTGGTTATATTAATAATGTTGGGATTTTCTTAAGTGATAGGGAATTGGTTCCTTCACACCAATTCTGGGAAACAGTTTCAGCTGTGCTTATGATTTCCAGAGGCAGAAGGAAGGAATGACCCCAGTCAAGTTACTCTTGCAAAATAAGCTACATTAAATTTTGTTTGTATGGCTGAACTGTCACCAAACCAAACTTGAGTCTGTTTGTCTGAACGTAACAAAGCCAATCTACTGACACCAGCTTGTGGTGAAAGAAAATGGAGCGTTTATTGCAGGTGCCAAGCAAGAAGTCCTGGGCAGGCAGTGCTTAAAAGTCCTGAATGCCCCAAAGGCTTTGGGGAAGGGTTTTTAAAGACAGGGTTGAGGGAGGGGGTCGTGCGATGCGTGATCAGCACTCCGACATTCTTCTGAATGGTTGGTGGTGAGGTAATCAGGAGTCAAGAGCATCAGCCTGCCAGTTCTAACTGGCCTGGAGTCTGTGTGCTTGTGGGCAGCAGTTAACTTCTTCCACCTGGTGGGATTTGGGTATCTGCAAAACAGCTCAAAGGACACGGCTCAGAATGTTAACTATAGCCCTGGAGGAGGAACCAAAGGTCCTTGACTTTAATAGCTAAACTGTTATTTTGTCTTGCTTGACTGTTTTTCTTTCTGCATTTTCTCACTTCTCTGATTTAATGTACTCTTTAGAACTTGGGGTTCCCTTATGGCTCAGCTGGTAAAGAATCCGCCTGCAATTGGGAGACCTGGGTTTGCTCCCTGAGTTGGGAAGACCCCCTGGAGAAGGGAAAGGCTACCCACTCCAGTATTCTAACCTGGAGAATTCCAAAGACTGTACAGTCTGTGCGGTGGCAAAGAGTTGGACACAACTGAGTGACTTTCACTCACATAGGACTTGGGGAAGGCCTAGGATGCTAGTGGTTTTTCTACAGACAAGAGGCAGGTGGAGGACATGGTGGGGGTTGGGGTCTGTTCTGGGAAGGCCCCATAGGGTCCTGCTTGGTTACAAAACTGGTTTTGTCTACCCAGGGAATGTTCAAGGCTGGCCTTCATTTGTTTTTAATTTTAACAAACCCATTTTCCTGATGGGGAAATTGAGAAGCAGAGAGATTACATGATTCACCCAAGGCTTGTGGTTGCCAATGGACCTCCAGTCAAGAGAGCAGAGACAGCACGCTCACACACATACACGCTCCAGACATGGAGGAAGGCATTGTCCGCCAAGACAAGAAAAGGAAATACGGTATCCAGGCCTTGCAAGGAGGCTCTCATTGCCAATGGTTGAAGCCGAGTTGCCCATGACAGAACCCAATTGTGCCTTGAGGGCTGGGAGTCAGAGTCACAGCCCCATGCACAGTAGCAGGTTCTAGAACTGGCCCTCTGCATATGGCTGGAGACTGAAAGGGACTGGTGCTTTTGTGAGACTGAAGCAAGCCACTACCCCAGTGACTCTGGGCAGAGTCCTCCTGCAGAAAATGGAACGGGCCTTCCACGTGGTGCAGAAATGCCAAGTGGAGAAACAAAAGATGGTTCACCAGAGGAGCCACCTGACTCGTGTTGCAGGCGCACATGTGGCTCACGCAGGGCACCTTTAGAAGTTTACTTCTGCTGACCATGAACTCGTGATGATGCGGAAGCCTGCGAGGAGACCTGCCTCTTATGCAACAGCAGGTGCAGCAAATGGGCCAATTCATATCTGAGAAACTAGACATATTACAGCAATTTGAAAAGAATTTAAAACCAGGTCTGTACAAGTGTTTGCAAACATGGCAACCAAATGCAACTTGTAATCTTGGCCTAGATTCTGTCCTGGCCAAAAAAAACACACTAGAGAAGACAGGAAAGTCTGGTGTGCTGCAGTCCATGGGGTCTCTGAGTTTGAAATTACTTTCCAATAAAAAGTTTTAAAAACCATTTGAGGAGAAAGCACATGGACTAGAGAGTTGCTGTTTAGCCGCTCAGTCGTGTCCAACTCTTCGCGACCCCATGGACTGCAGCACATCAAGCTTTTCTGTCCTTCACTATCTCCCAGAGTGTGCTCAAATTCATGTCCGTTGAGTCATGGACATGGTGATACTAGCTAACCATCTCATCTTTTGCTGATCCCTTCTTTTGCCTTCAATCTTTCCCTGCATCAGGGTCTTTTCCAGTGAGTTGACTCTTCATATCAGGTGGCCAAAGTATTGGAGCTTCAGCATCAACCCTTCCAATGTATATTCAGGGTTGATTTCCTTTAGGGTTGACTGGTTTGATCTTGCAGTCCAAGGGACTCTCAAGAATCTTCTCTAGCACCACAATTCGAAAGCATCAATTCTTCAGTGTTCAGCCTTCTTTGTGGTCCAACTCTCACATACGTATATGACTACTGGAAAAACCATAGCTTTGACTATACGGACCTTTGTCAGCAAAGTGATGTCTCTATTTTTTTTGCATCACCACAGAAAAGACATTATGAAAAACATACAGATTTTAAAAGGACCAGGTGAAAATTCTAACCGCGAAAAGGAAAGACTGACACATTTTGCAGCGACTCCCCTGGTGATCCTGTGGTTAAGGCTCCACACTGCCAAGGCAGGGAGTTCATCTGTGTGTAAAACTCAGGCCCTAGACCACTTCCCTGGTAGCTCAGCGGGTGAGGAATCCGCCTGCAATGCAGGAGACCCCGGTTCAATTCCTGGGTCGGGAAGATTCCCTGGAGAGGGATAGGCCACCCACTCCAGTATTCTTGGGCTTCCCTTGCAGCTCAGCTGGTAAAGAATCTGCCTGCAATGCAAGAGACCTAAGTTCGAACCTGGGCTGGGAAGATCCCCTGGAGAAGGGAATGACTTACCCGCTCCAGTACTCTGGCCTGGAGAATAGGCCACGGGGCCGCAGAGAGTCGGACAGGACTGAGCGACTTTCACTGATGATGCCAGGTCACTGGGGCCGCTAGCCCACTACGGGGCAGACAGAAACCACCCCTCTCCCGTCCTCGGCGGTTTGCCTCCTCCTCCTTGCTCCCGGGGGTCTCTCTTCCCATCTCGGGAGCTCAGCTAGGGGCTGGAATTGCTGTCTGGCTTGTGGGTGTAGTTTAGCTATCATCTCTGGATGTTTGGAGTAGACCTGCTTTGAATTCTCCAGTCTGGCAAGTCTCAGGGAACGGAAGTGTCACACGCATTGTTTTAAACCCCAGGAGACTTCATATGAAAATCTGCACCGCTGGCTTCCCTTGCTGGGAGACACAGAAGGGGAGACTGGGCACTCCTCGGACCCGCAAGGCCCTTGTCGGCCGCCAGGGCATCCGCCGGGCTCTCCGGCCGGCCGGTCTCCCGCGCTCCTTCACCGCCGCCGCCTCCAACCGTTCCCAGCCGGGCCTGGGCTGCGCCCCTCCTCCCACCCGCCTCCGACTCGGCCCCCTTCCCCGGGGCCGGCCGGGCGCGGGTCCTGCGGAGGCGGCCAGGCCGCCTGGGCTCGGGCCCCAGCGGCCGGGGCGCGCGAGGAGCCACCTGTTGACCCAGCCGCGGGCAGTCCCGCGGTCAATGATTAACCGGCCGCGCAGCTCGCACCAGGAAACCCGAGCGGTCCGCGAGAGCGGAGCCGGGCCCGACGGCGGCGGCGGGAGGCGTGCAGCCCGGCTGGTCGCGCTATGGACGCAGGTAAGGGCGGCGGTCCTGTGGAAGAGGGGGACGACCCTCACCCCGGGCCCCGAGGCTGGCTCCGCGGGGTCCCAACCTGGCCCTGCTCTGGGACGCCTCTCCCTGCCGCCCGGGGCTGGGGGAACCGGCGGCTGCCGCGGGAAGTTCGGGGATCTTGGCCGTGCCCCCCTGCGCAGGGCGGGCGCCCTCGCGGGAGAGCTGGGGCGGGGCAACCCTCGGCTTGGCCCCCGGGCGGGCAGCAGATGCCCCTGCAGTGGCGATCTGGGGGGTCGTGTTCCCCCCAACCCCCACGCCCCGTCCTTCCTCTAGTAACTTTCTTCGCCCCTCTGGTTAGGCTGAAGTCCTTGGAGCGGGGGAGGGGCGACCCTGGCGGGGTGGGGGGGGCAGAGACCGGGAGAGATGGGGAGAGCCCCCGCAGACTGAAGTAGGGCCCGAGGGAAGCGGGACGGGAGCGAGAGCCAGAGAGCTGGACGGACTGGGTAGGGCCGCGGGAAGGCCCCACAACTTTGGCGTCCGCGGCGCAGCCAGCACTGGGGGCGGGGGTCGCGGCGATCCGAGAATCCCCCGGCCCGGCCCTAACCTCGGGAGTCCCAAGCTGGCGGGCCAGGGGCTGCTGGTGACGGCGGGGGGACCGGAGCCGTGGACGGTGCGGCCGGCCTAACACCCCCCACCCCCACCCCAACCACCAACCTGGGGCGGGGGCGCCCCTAGGTCTCTTCTGCAAGGGGCTCCCAGGGGGTTGCTGCAGCCAAGAGGGACCGGGCCCGCCGGGCTGTATCTGCCGCCGCTACCCCAGACCTCCAGGAAGCGCCCTCTTCCCCACCCTCGAGCACCTCCACCCGGCTCCCCCCCCCCCCCTTTCTGGCTGGAATGTCCCGGCGAGGCTCGGGTGTCGAGAACTCGAGAACCCGAGGCCGCGGCGCAGCAGCCCCGCCAGCAAATGTATTTACTCTGCAGCCCTATCTCCGCGCCATCGGGCCAGGTATTTGTCCAGGCCGCCCGGGACAGCTGCGGTTTTTGTTATGATAACTGGGGCAGGGGCTGGCGTCTCCGCGGGGCGCTCGGTGCCCGAATTCGCGGGGTGGGGAGGTTCAGGTTACGGCTGTGAACCTCAGCGAATGAGGCCCACCTGGGGCTCCCCTGGGGCACTCGTGTAGGAGGCTCTCAAAACAGAACCTGGCCATGTGTCCACTAGTGTTATCTTTAAACGATCCTTTTACTGTTCTTGTCCCCATTTACACGTGAGAGAAGGGAGGATGGGGAGTTTAAATCTCTTAAATTCGCACAGATGACAAAGCTGGCTCTTTTTTTTTTTTTTAAGATAACTGAGACACTCAACTCAAAAAAAATTTTTTTGGCTGCGCTGGGTCTTCCTTGTGCTGGGGCTCTCTTGTTGTGGCTGGGGGAGGAGGGGGTGCTATGCCTTTCTAGTTGTGGGGTGCCAGCTCTCTCTAGTGGTGGTGGCAGGCCCAGTTAGCTGCCCTGTGGTGGCAGGCGGAATCTAGTTCCCTGACCAGGGATTGAACGTGCAAGCCCTGCGTTGCAAGGCAGATTCTTATTAACCACTGGATCACCCTGGTTCAGGGTCACTGCCAACCTTGGCAATCATTCTCAGGGCCTGGCACCTGACAAATGCTTCAAAACAGTAGCCGCTCATTTGAACATCTTCGTGGCAAAGCTTCATCTACTTAGCAGCCGTACTGGCACCTAACCTTGCTGAAATGATGATATTTTGGTAGGATTTGTTGTACAGAGTTGTATTTTTTTCTGAAGTATGGTCGATTTCTTGTGTTGTGTTAGTTTCAGGTGTGATTCAGGTATATATCCGCTCTTTTTCAGATTCTTTTCCTTTATAGGTTTTTACAAGATACTGACTTTAGTTCCCTGTGCTATAGGTCCTTATTGTTTATCTATTTTATATATTAGTAGTTTGTATCTGCTAATCCCAAACTCCTAATTTATCCCTCCCCCCACAATTCCCTTTTGGTAACCATAAGTTTGTTTTCTAAGTCTGTGAATCGCTTTCTGTTTGTTGTCTGTTTTTGTAAATAAGTCCGTTTGTATCATTTTTTAGATTCCACATGTAAGTGATATATGATATTTGTCTCTGTCTGACTTACTCACCGAGTGTGATCATCTCTCCATCCATCCGGAGTTGTATTTCTGAGCCTAGAACGCAGTCCACTGGAGTTGCCCGGTGACAATGTGTGGAACTGAATGGCTGGCTGGCTGGGTGCCTCCACCTAGTCACGTGTTCAGAAGGTTGTTTGGGGGCTTTGTATGCCAGGGGAGGTGGATTTTGGCCGAGAGCTTGGTAAGTCAGCCGGCCAGTGACCCCTGGGCTGAGAGGACAGCCCTCTGGCATGGACAGCAAAGGCGGCTTCTTGTTTTGTCACAGTGTCCCTTTTGTTGTCGTTGCCTTGATTATTTAAAACCTCCAGTCCTTGGCGGGGTGGGTGAGGTTGGGAGCTGCCCTGGTGCCTCCCCCAGGGATATTTGGGCCAGCCCGGCCCTCCAATAGATCAACATCCCTGAAGCGCCCCTCTCCCCCCAACCCCAGAACCTTCTGGAAGAGCCCAGCTCTCTGGGTCAAGCTCAGAAGTCACAGGTCTTGCTGACGTTGTGTGACCTCATTTCTCGATGGTTTTCATTTCCCCTGCCTCTTGCAGATTCCTCAGACTGGCCAGAATACCTTTCCAGTTTCTTCCAGCTGCTTCCTAACCTCAGATCACAGAGCCCATCTTAGTTGAGGGTCCAAGCACTGCACACCCGCACACTCATCGCATTCCCACAATGACCCCGAGAGGTGGTGGTGTCCCCATTTTAAGGACGAGGAAACCGAGGAGGAGCTGGGAGGGGAAGTGGTCCAGGCAGTATTGCCGGTGAGCCTGAGCTCCTGGTCGTGACCGAGACCTTCATCCAGGGACCTCCCTGACGGTCCAGGGGTTAGGACTCCCCACTTTCACGGCTGGGGCCAGGGTTCAATCCCTGGCCAGGGAACTGAGATCCTGTAAGTTGAGTGGCACTGTTGGAGAAAAAGAAAACACCCTCATCCCATATGCACCAGCCCAGCTCTGCCCCGCACTGAGGGAGGAGGGAAAAGAGGCGTGCGTGATGTGCCCTGTCGCTCTTGCCAGCTTACTTCTCCTCCTTCCCTCTGGATGCGGTCGGGCTGGGTGCACCCCCACTGTACCCACCAGCCCCCCAACTTGTCTATGCCTGTCTGGCCCTTGGCCTCCTTTCTGGCTCGGGCCACTGCGGCCTCTCCCTTTATTCACCTGTGCCTGCCCCCCACTCTCCTGCCCTCATCCCGGTCCTTCCACTTCTCCCACAGGAAAGCTTCTGCATCAGTTATCAGCTGGCTTTTGTTGCGGAAGAAACCAGCTCAGAACTTAGTGGTCTAATGTAGCAGGCATGTACGGTCAGGATTGTGGGGGTCTGCAGGGTGGGGCCGGCTCCCTGGGCCTGAGTGGTCTGGGGGCTGGCAAGGCGTTGCCTGTGGGCCCCCCATTCTCCTCCTTGGGGCTGGCCCAGTGGGTGGCAGAAGGATTCCCAGCAGTGAGAGAGAGCAAGCCCCAGTGTGCAAGTGTTCCAAAGCATGTTTTTTTCTTTAAAGAATGCCATCACTTTATTTGGGGTATAATTGAAGTACACCAAGCTGCCTGTATTTAAAGTGTGTGTTTTGATCAGGTTTGACATATTGTGCATCTCTTCAGCAATCAGTACATCAAAATAACAATCTTCTTCACCCCCAAAAGTTTCCTTGTGCCCGTGGTTATCCCTTCTTGCAGCTACGGGTGGCTCTCTGTCCATCTCAATGGCACATTATTCTAGGATTTTATATACATGGAATCATACAGCCTGGACACTCTTTGACTGGCTGCCTGTCCGTGGCTTAGTGATTTAGGGATCCACCCACGTGGGCTTCTGTGCATATCCAGAGTTCTGCGGAGTTGTAACTGTTAAATAACAGGTGGTCCCCAACTACAAATTACAGATGGTTCAATGGTCTGGTTTTCAACTTTACAGTCGTGTGAAGGTGATGTGCATTTGGTAGAAACCTGACTTTGCGATTTGAATTCCGATCTCCGCTGCCCTGGCAGCATGCAGTCTGCATCTCCGTCACAATGCTGGGCGGTGGCAGGGCCGTGGAGCCCCGCCACCCCCTGAATCACGAGGGTATATTGCAGCCATTCTGTACCCACTCAGCCATTCTATTTTTCACTTTCATGACAGTGTTCAGTAAGTGACGGGAGATACTCAAGCACTTGATTGCCAAATAGGCTTTGTGTTGGACAGTTTTGCCCAACTGTAGGCTGCTGTAAGTGTTCTGAGCAGATTTAAAGCAGGCTGGTCTAAGGCTATGATGCTCTTGAGGTCAATGTACTAAATACTTCCCACCCCCCCCAACTGCATGGCTTGTGGGATCTTAGTTTCTCGACCAGGGATAGAACCCATGTCCTTGGGAGTGAAAGTGCGGAATCCTAATCACTGGACCACCAGGGAATTCCCCTAATTGCATTTTTGACTTAACAATATTTTTAACTTTTGATGGGTTTATCAGGATATAAACCCCATTGTGAGTCGAGCAAGATCTGTACTCTTAACACTTGGGTGTTTTTTTTTTTTAAATACAATTTTATTTATGTGTTTACTTATTTTTTGGCTGCACAGGGTCATCTCGCTAGGAGGGCTTTTCCCTGGCTGCAGAGAGCAGGGGCTGCTCTTCATCGCGGTGCAGTCTTCTCGTTGCAGAGCCTTCTCTTGTTGCCGAGCAGCGGCTCTAGGGTGTGTGGGCTTCAATAGTTGTGGCTCCCAGGCTCTAGAGCACAGGCTCAGAAGTTATGGTACACGGGCTTGCACGGGCGGCGCGTGAAATCTTCCCAGAACAGCGATCAAACCCGTGTCCTCTGCACTGGCAGGCGGATTCCTATCCACTATGCCACCAGGGAAGTCCCCAGCATTTAAAGAAGCCACGTTTTAAAGAACCCGTATTTATT